AAACAAGGCCTTAGTAGGCCAATTTAAGACCTAAAAGGCCTACTTTTTGGGGCCTTAAAGCCTTTTTTGGCTCAAAAATTTTTTTGGGCACAATTTTTTTTTTCTGGGCCCACCCAAGGGGGGGGGGGGGGCCGGGCCCCTGCCCCCCCCCCAGATCCGCCAGTGAGAAGGGGGACCATAATCCCTGGGGGACCATAATTTCTTTCACACCGGTGTAAAAGGGTAGGAGGTCCTATCAAATTATGGTCCTACTTTCCATTGATTTATATGGTGACCTAAATACAACTCTCCCTTATTATCGTATCCACAATCAGGGCCAGTAAGGGCCTTTAAGAAAGGGGACCATAATCCCCAGGGGACCATAATTTCTTTTACACCGGCAAGCTCCAGAGGAAGTCGACATGGACATCTATGAAGTTCAGAGGAAGAAAATATGGAATTTTATAACTCTGAGAGGAATAATACATGGAAACTTCCAATTTTGAGAGGAAATTGACATGGAAAAAATGCTCAAAAAGGGGGTCTTTGGCGCGGCACATAGGTATTAAGAGGTATATTGGAGTGAACCCCCCGGGACAGAACGTCAGACTTTTGTCAGCAATAACCCATGGCAAAATAACAACGTCGGAGAAACGTTTTCTTTACATCATATTTCCACTCTCACTCTCAATTACCACGTTAAGTTCATCTGCGTGAGCCAACATATGCCTGTGCCTCCACCGATCAGTATTTAAAGTTACCACAACTCGAGGCATAAATGTATATTCGTTATATATTTAACATTTACTTCACGTCACAAATTAAACGAATTTGTTGAGACCACAACGTCTTTGTCACGTTCTTTTTCACATACATGTATATGTATTTTTCACGTTTAAAACCCGTTTCGTCAACGTCAAAATTAACTGTTTCGACAACGTTGCAAATAAACCAATTTCGTGAGGACATAGCGTCTTTTTGTAACGTTTCCTGCACTTACAAATATTTTTTTACATTTTAATTGAAAACACGTTTCGACAACGTTGAAATTAACCGTTTGCACTACGTTGAAAATGAACCATTTTGGTCAGAAAATGACGTCTTTGTAACGTGTTTTACAATTACAAATATTTTTCACATTCAAACCATGTTTTGACAACGTTACAATTAGCCATTTTCACTACGTTGCAAATGAACCAATTTGGTGGGAAAACAAGGACTTTGTAACGTTTCCTAGACTTACAATTATCTTTCACATTTAAAACACGTTACGACAACGTCAAATTTTACTGTTTATATTACGTAGCAAATGAAACAATTTGGTGAGAAGTGCAACGTCTTTGTAACGTTTTCTACACTTACAAATATCTTTCACATTTAAAACACGTACGTTACGACAACGTCAAATTTTACCGTTAACATTACGTAGCAAATGTAACAAATTTGGTGAGAACACAACGTCTTTGTAACGTTTTTTACACTTACAAATATCTTTCACATTTAGAACACGTTACGACGACATCAAATTTTACCGTTTATATTACGTAGCAAATGAAACAATTTGGTGAGAAGTGCAACGTCTTTGTAACGTTTTCTACACTTACAAATATCTTTCACATTTAAAACACGTTACGACAACGTCAAATTTTACCGTTTACATTACGTAGCAAATGTACCAAATTTGGTGAGAACACAACGTCTTTGTAACGTTTTTTACACTTACAAATATCTTTCACATTTAGAACACGTTACGACAACATCAAATTTTACCGTTTATATTACGTAGCAAATGAAACAATTTGGTGTGAAATGCAACGTCTTTGTAACGTTTTCTACACTTACAAATATCTTTCACGTTCAAAACACGTTACGACAACGTCAAATTTTACCGTTTACATTACGTAGCAAATGTACCAAATTTGGTGAGAACACAACGTCTTTGTAACGTTTTCTACACTTACAAATATCGTTCACATTTAAAACACGTTACGACAACGTCAAATTTTACCGTTTATATTACGTAGCAAATGAAACAATTTGGTGAGAACTGCAACGTCTTTGTAATGTTTCCTGCACTTACAAATATTTTACACATTTAAAAAACGTTACGACAACGTTAAATTTTGCCGTTTATATTACGTTGCAAATGAACCAAACTGGTAAAAATTCAACGTCATTGTTACGTTTTTCACACCAGCACAAATTTCGAACTTTACTAACACATTACTACAACGTCATTTTTTAACCATCCACCGACGTTTTGCTGAATGTCACAATTTTACGTTGCTTTGACGTTTATATAACGGGAATATACAACGTCTCCAGTGAACTTATATACCACATATGAGTGACGTTACATGGACGTCACTGTTTGCTGGGTACCCCCCCCCCCCCGAGGGAATCACTTATTCCTATAAAGGGGTTAATTGTGTGTCAAAATGTAACAACAAGAGGAGGGAAAGCCCCAGAGTTTAAAGATGACAGAAATAATTACGTCTCTTGCTTACCACCTTCGTTCGTCCGAATTTTCATCGGCTAGTTATCAAATACTACACTTCGATGGGATGTTTTAATTGATATAGGCATATTCCGTACACCTTTCTTTCACTTGATGTGAAATGAGAAGATATGATATTGGTTAGCACGCCAGCACTGAATGGACATAATATTATTCGAAGCGTATTTCGAAAATATTGTAAAACCGCCATTGATGACATCATTTGTTTGTCATCTTTGAACTTTGCCCAATTGAAAAATAAAACTAATTACCAACTTATTACCAACTAATTTACAACTAATTATCAACAATTCTGCTGGCAATTGGAATTAAAGTTAAGCGTTAATTAAATCAATGATAATTATGGCCTAATTATCAGTAGCAAGTTCAACGTAAATTAACTTACAATAATGCTGATTTATGATTTTTATTTGATAATTAAGATATGAAATGTTTGAGGGTGATAGTAAGTGGTAAATTAAAACTTTTTTGTTCTGAAGTAGATAATTGGTTGATAGTTAACATAAAGGATGATTATAATGATAATTAGTCGTAAATTAGGCCCATGATTTAGAAATACAAACCCCCTTAATTTAATTTCAAGATGGTGGAAAAAGAAAACATGTGAGAGATATTTCTCTCATAAAATTGAGAATTACAACGTGAATGGTGCGTATACTACCATGAAATTTGGTCAACATTATTATAAGGGTATGTAGAACATGAATACAATGTATGTTAAATCTTATTCATACTTCTGTCTGAAATGTTTATGAATTTAAAAATCTTTTTGAATCAGATCATATAATATTAATCCTAGAATGCAATTTAGGTACTAACATGGGTTACCTATATTTCACAAGTAATCCAAATGTGCTCTTCTAAATAATGATTGTTAGATCAAAGACATTTCAAAACATATTTTTGATTATATCTGTTACGTCCTTATTATGTAACATTATAGTCTAATGTTTGTGTTCTGATTTTAGTTGTTGATGGCAATAATGATGTTTTCACATGCTTTTCATGAATCTTAAAAAATTGCAAAATAGAATAGCTTTAAAAAAGAGGTGGAGAAACCCCAGGGTTCAAAGATGACATACGCTTATAATGTAAATCTGTTTTGAGATGACATCGTCGCTGATTGGTTTAGCGAGTCGATCTTTGATTGGTTTAAAACTAGGTCAATTTGAAAACTTTGAAAACCAAGATGGAGGGTACGTTTTCGACAAAAGGAGGTGTGCGAAGGAGGAAATCGTATGTCATCAATTGAATCATAGGGTTTTCCCTCCTCTTGCTGTGAAATTTCAAAAGTTCAAGTTCAATGTTGTCTGTTCTGATAGATCCTAATTAAGATGAATATTCCGTCACAAAATAGTTCAAGATGAAGCAAAAATCTCCGAGTGAAGAGAAGCAAAAAAGAAGCGAGTCATTTTTGAGATGTCACAAATCTGACTTAAACCTAACTTTCAACTAATTATCAATAGTAAGTTAGGTGATAATTAGAGATTAACTTACATCAAACTTACAACTAACTTTCAACTAATTTACGTAAATAGCTCATTTGCATATTGATGGTAGTTAATCGTTAATTAAGTTGCAAATTAAGCGTTAATTAAGTTGATAATTAGCTCATTTGCATGTGAATTTTTACACCTAACTTTCAACTAATTATCAATAGTAAGTTAGGTGATAATTGGAGATGATTTTCCATAGGCTTTTTTCAATTGGGTGGTGTTATTCCCCCCTCTGCAGAACAACTTCAAATTTGACTTTAATTGAGAGCCGTTTCAGGCCTGTCAACTTGGGAACACCTAACATGAGTGACTTGTAAATGTTGAACACCTCCCCTCAAAATGTGGACACCTTGGTCCAAATCTGAACACCTTGATCCAAATTGTGAACACCTTGGTTTAGATTTTATTACATCTTGCCAAATTTTGAACACCTAAATTTTTTCGCGCTCGCGCTTGCTGTGTAGACGATCTTTTTTAGAAATTTTTCTTCGGAAATATTTTTGCTTGACAATTACCAGGTAAAATGCGTATTTGCGTGACATTTTCTGTCACGCAAAAATAACTGGCGTGACTTCAAATTCTTCAGCAAATGCGTGACAAATACGCAAATTGCGGGACAGTTGACAGGCCTGCCGTTTTGCCCCATATGTTTCCTTGAGGCCATACAAAACTTATAATGTGCCAACATTTTTTCTTGGCGCATCCTATGGCGGGGGAGGGTATGCATACATGCCCCTTCGGATCCGCAAGTGCCACCAGGCAAAAGCAGACATAGCAGATAGACCACTGGAAAAACCTGAGCTAGGTCCGATTGTCGGCCTAGCTAGCGTTCTAATTCACAAAAAGAATACTCATGAAAGTTCATGATGAATTCTATGTATATGGGAACAGCTAAAAACGGCGGTTCTAAGCTTCTCAACGAATCGAAAATACCGCGCCGAGAAACGTTGCCGGAAGTTTCCCGAATTTCATTAACCAATCAGAATCGACGTGTGACGCACTCGAGCAGTAATTCAGGAAGTCAAACAGAATATTTTCTCAGAAGATTTTCAGCACAGGATAAATGCAATGTTTACTGGAGTTATAAAGCCGCATTATAAATCCTATACTAGTATTAGAAATACATCAATGAATTGGAGCTCGTATGGTTCAAAATAGATCGGTTTTGACAGTGGCTCCTCCCGGGTGGTTACACCTTTTACTTACGTTTAAATAGCCTTCGAGGTACAGCAAATACTTTAAATAAGTACAGCGTAGTTTTATATGTCGATTTTGCATGGCCAGTGCCAAGTGTTCTACATTTGAGAATGTGCTGATGCTTCCCGTAGCTATGTCTAAGCTTAGGCGAACAGGGTGCCGGTCACTCATTGTGTTCTGAGCTGAATCACAAGCCTAGCCTAGAATATATTCAAAGGGAAATGTGTTGCGAAATCGATCTTCGAGTAAACATCGGTGAAAACAGCGAATATAGAACTGTTAACGGCCAGTGATTTGATTAGTAGGCTAATACAGCCGTAGCTTGTACTTAAACATACACTAATATGAAACAGAGCAAGCGATGAGATTAAGGTAGTTGTTCACTGGCAATAGATGACATCTATAGTTGAATTTACACAAGCCCAATTTACTAGTACACTACACGCGATATTCTAAGACGTCTTGACTAAAACGTTTAAAATTGGAAAAATTATGTTTACATCAGCATTTTTAAGACTTACGAAATATGATTGAGTTTACACCTGTGTTCCTTAGACGTCTTTTAGTATATACATCTAATATGGAAATATCAGTTCAGTCCTGGTTGACAGACGGTTCAGTCAAAATGGCTATTCCGTTCCTACTGTTACCACTCCCTTTTTTACATTAATTAGTCATATTTTATATTTCATAATTTATCATATTATTTAATATCATTGATATTTTTTGATATTATTGATATTTATACCAATATTGTATAAGATCTAATGGTAGGCCAAATGTCCAATATTCACTTTATTCCAAAAAACATAAACTGTGAATAAAACTGTTACATTGGCAATATCCATGAAGATCGACAACGTAACAAAAGCGAGGGACTAAACATGTGAATTGCGTCTTCGTTGATATACCAAACATAGAAATAGAAATATCTTATCGAAAACGAAGTCCGGAAGTTCTTCCATCTTGTTACGCCGACGTATCGTCAGCGTAACTAGTTGGGTACCAGTGACAACGATCACCTGACGGTCACGGGTGATTGGGGTTCACTACTTGTATACTTTTTGCTAAAGGATACATCGTGTTCGCAAATATACATGTGACATTTGACGCTAAAATGGCCGCCAATTTGAAACTGTCAAACTGGTGACCAATTTGAAAAAGGGATTTTCAGCAAAACTACTCCTTGCATGAGGCATATTTTGTTTGTCATGTTTTGTACTAACCCCAGAATTCAGCGTTTCAACTTGCAGAAAGTAGGGGGTAATCAAGGTCATGAAAAGCTCAATGCTAATAAATTCAAACCAGCTTCAAGTAAAGTTATTTCTTAATTTTTATGTTTAGATATGACCAACTTCCCCTGGAAACGATCTGTAGAGAGATATTTTACAAATGTCCTGACTGCAAGGGTGATTGTACTGGTAGCTATCACAATACAGACATCTACATCGGGTAAGTTTGTGATCATTGTGCTTGATCTTGTTTTTCTTGAATCCTGACCTATGCTACTATGGCATCCATAATATTATATACTTTCTGTGCAAGATATATAGAAAGATATAAAGAGAATTATTCTTATTCCAGAAAGGAAATTGAGATGATTTATCATTTTCAGACAAAAGACGCAAAATTGGTATCCTGGCAAAATTTAGCCATCACTTTTGAAAAGCTGTAACTATGATGAAAATTGATGAGAGTCGACAAAATATTCTGTATGTTAGGAACGCTTCAAAGTTTATCTTGTGATTTCATGAAAAATTGAGAATTGAGTTATTAAAACATTATCGATAAATATGAAATGTACCTTTTGACCCACCCTGTTTATAAGTCTAATCGAAACAGATTTGCTCTGTTTTTTCAGTAAGTGGTTCAGGGACTGACTACAGTATGGCTACACGATGTCACAATTATCGAACTACTTTAAACCTCACCGACAGTCAGTATATGAATTTATATTTAAAACGATCTGGCATGACTTTAGAGAATCCCTTAACTTGTACTATACGTGTTGTCTCTACCACACAAGCGAGTATGTACGTTAGGTTTTTAGGCAATTATAGAATCGGAGTAACAGGGTTCATTGGCATCTCCATAAGACAACGAAACAAGGAAGGGTATGTACCAAAGGCGAGCTTACATTATTTAAACATACCAACTGGGGAAGAACAAATTACAGAAATAAACTAGAAATCAAAACATTAAAAACAGAACCAGTTGGGCGCAAGGATCTATTAAAAAACAATAATGTAACGCATGACCATAATAGATACATATATATTTTTGATTTTGAGATTTTTACTCTTCAAACAGAAAAATGCAAATTAGAATAGATATTGTAACAATGCATATGTTGGAAACATAAGTATGTATGCTTTACAGGATAAACATATATCACGAGACAACCGAGGGAATTGAATATGTTGTTGGAAGAGCTACGGCCACTTGGTTTGGAGTCAAAGGGTAGTATCGCCAACGTTTTATTGATATATCCATTATCCATATCCATTACGCTAATTGTATACAATTCTATAAGAAAAGAGAAGAAACGGCGTCAATAATTTAAAACTTTTTATGAAATATTTCGTCTATATAACATCCATAATAATTGTAATTTTTGAATGATTTTCTAAATTAAGGCATCTAATAATCAAATTCCACAGTCCTATTATTCTATGGCTTGTAATTGTACTTCAGTTAGAAGTAATATATAACAATTAGTAGTAATATATAATATATCATATCACTGTCATATTCCTCACTCTCTGATTGGTTCACGTCCTACACGCGACTAAAAATAATATAGAAATATCCTATGGTTTTGAAAATATCCATGAGTGGATATAATTGATATTTTTGAAAAACATAGGATTGTCCGTTTATCCCATGGGGAAAAATTGTTTGATTTTTGCTAAAATATGATTTCTTGATCCTCATATCAAATATATCTTCACCTGGGATAAATAGAGGATATCCTATGATTTATGAGTGATATGATTTTTATCCACGAATGGATATGATATCTGCACGAGCGAGCGTAGCGAGAGAGTGCAGATATCAATACCCATGAGTGGATTAAAATCATATCACGAGTAAATCATAGGATGTTCTTTTTATTCCTTAGTTAAAGTCATCATCAGAATCGTCGGAAATTAAGTTATTAATTCGAATTTCCAAACGATCCGGCGATGTTGACACTTAGCCTCGTTTTGAGTCTGAAGTAGCAAAAATCCATAAACCATCGCATACGACGTCGTATGTCATGGCTAAAAAACCGTATGTTATGGTTAAGTGAAAATTTGTCAAAAATATCATATTTTACCACTGATTACAAAAATACCGTTTTTATTTTCACAGTTATCCTATGAATATCATGCTAACTATGGAATAATGGGCGATATTCAACTGAAATCAGGTGACTTTGTTTTGGGAGGTATTAGATATAGGGTATAAGTCACGTGACTTCCGTTGAATATCAAATGATATTCTCCATTCACGACTAAGTCCTGTGTATTTTATCTTAAATTATTAATTAGACGTAAATACTTTGTTATTCTATTAATGTGAAAGAGGAATATAACAGTGAATATTAAAACAAATATTTAATTCTATTTTCGGTGGAATTCGTGGAATATCACGATTCACTTATGCAAGATGCACAGGTATTCACCTCAATAGCTAGATTTAAACATACGTATACATTTTGTCAACTATAGAATGCGAGAGAATACAACATTTAATTTATATATTTAAGGAAATCCATCTTAGGTAGATCGGTACACGAGCAATACCCCCGGTCTATGGGTAGACTGACTACGATGAAGATTGGAAGCCCATTCTTCATTTATTACACAGGAAATCCTAGAGAGGATAACTTCCAAATACAGATATCACATAACGGTTTGTATGCAGAAATACTTTCCATTTGTTTTCTCATATTCTAAACTCTCAGTACAGTACAGTGCAGCAAGTGCATACTTAAATGTAGAACAAAATCTAGAGAAACGTTTTTTTGGACAATATTTATTGTTGATCATTCTCAAATCTATTTAATCAAACTTTAATCTGAAAATTTTGACACATTTCCTTATTGCTATGACATTTTGGAATTATCTGTACAACATTAATAATCGCATTCGAATTCTATATTTCAGACTTTGACCAATGTGACGATAATATAATAATGTCCCCATGTCTAAATGGTGGCACTTGTATTGATGGTCATATGAACTATACGTGCATTTGTAAAATCGGTTACCAAGGAGATCGATGCGACGAAAGTAGGTATACTACTCGAACATCCCCAACAGAGTTGTTCTAAAAAGGCCAATTGCGAGTTAATTTAGGCAAGAAAATCAGAAATATACAGCGGGAGAAAGATTCGAAACCAACAGCAAAAATGATCTTTGTGTTTCAAATCCCTGCAAACTGGTCTATGTGTGCTGTCTTTGTGATAAATGATAAATTAAACCCATGATAATTCTACCAAAGATTCTCGTCAATAGGCCCATGGGCATTTAATTGAAAGAGGAGTTTACGAAAATGTTTCGTCTCTTTTTGTAAGGCTCATTTATTATGTAAATGGTAAACAATAAGCGTAATGAATGTTTTAGAGGTACGCCCATCCTGTTCGATTGGAACTCCGTGTAACAACCACAATCAAAAGTGCATTCAACTGAATAACACTCACCACAGGTGTGATTGTATTGAAGGCTATAACGGGGATGGCTGTTTTAGAAGTAAGTCTGTTCTGTCTGGAAAATGGGATTCAACTTAAATAAAATCGTAACGTCGAATTTATTATGTATATTCATTCATTTTGATTAATATCAAAACAAGTTCACGATTGAAATATATTTGTCAATTATTCGCGGAGAACTAACACGCACATACTGTGTTCTCTGTCCTAAAGTTTTGAAAATAGAATTCACCTCGCCGGGTCTATATCGTTTTTGCTCAATTGAAGAACACTGTATCACTGCTTTATACATTTGATTACTTTAGGTGTGTGCGAACCAAATCCATGTTTGAATGGAGCGAAATGTATCATAGCGACAGAAGCAAGATGCAGATGTGCATATGGCTACAGAGGATCATTTTGTCAATCACGTAAATGAGATTATTTAATTAAAGGCAGAATCTGATCTATAGGGGGTGACAAAATTTCAAGCAACGTGTATAATTGACATACCAATCTATTCCTTACAATATCAAATACAATATCTCCCAAAAGATTCACAATATGTTATAAATCGGTGAAGTTATTAATGATTCAAAGTGCAAGAATGAGTGAAAAATGTTTAAATTCTCCCAAATAATAAGAATGGTAACCATTCTTATAGAAAAATAATACATTATAGTAAAAATCTTTAGTTTTCCTGGAATAAAGTATGTACTTTTGTGATTTTTAGAAAATAGACATGACAAGGAATGACATGAGCCAAAAATAATCTAAAAATGAAACAATTTTTTGTTTAGCCTGCTCGCTATCTCTGATTCTCTCTTTAATGATCCGTATGTTATTAATGTAATCTTAAAATTGTAAGCCTTTGTTAAATGATAATTATTATACACACTACCCTTATACATTCAATTCAAAGGAAAAGGTTTGCAAGGCATGTGTAATATCTGTACACACAAAAATGCATTTTAGAGCTAGATACAAACAGAAAAGTGACTTGTTATTATCAAATTATACCCAAGTCGTTACATCCTGCACATTTACTCCAGTTTTGAAAATACTATTATAATACTACAGAATACATATAAGTAATGTTTATTCCAAATTGTATGTTGCAGATGTTTGCGAGTTTCAAAATCCATGCCGGAATGGAGGAACATGTGAATCCATTAAAAGATGGCCTGGGTTTGATTGTATGTGCACTAGTAGATACGGTGGGGACACCTGTAGCGAAGGTATATTCAACATTATAATGCAAAGTAGACACTTTTAACATCACTAGTCACAGAAAGTCAAGATTAGAAAGAACGATACCTATTACAAAACATACATGTCTGTTAGTGCAAACAATTTTTATCGGATCCTTTGGTGCTATTTTGTAATCATAGACAGGTTCCAATTCAAATAATTCAAGTTTTTGAGGCATTTTTTAGAAAAAGCAACAGACCTATCTTTACTAGATCAGTTTTTCATGCTGATAAAGATATTAAAAGATGACAGCTCAACGGGGTGGTCACGACACTAAATTTTGGCATTTTTACCCCCCTAGGAAAATATTCTAGGGGGTACTATGAAACTAATTCATAACTCAAAGGATATATGAGCTATTTTTCTGAGTTGTACACCATACATTGCTAGTACAAATATGAATACTATCCTAAAGTTATGGGTTGATACCCTTATTGGTCTAAGAAAAATACAAAAAAACAGGAAAAAGATACGCAATTTTTGTCTTGCCAATTTTATATTTGTAGCTTCAAGCACAATATGACAGCTTTAACAGCTCATAGTAGTATTCTAAAAACATTTCTAAGCTATGTGTGGTATTGTAATACATCTATTTTAGTTATGAAGTACTATTTTGTAATTTTAATATGACTTTATAGTGCCCTACCCCTAGAAAATTGAAGAAAGTGGATGTGGTGAATTTTATCATTTTGCAGCATTAAGTCAGAAACATGTATTGATAGACACCAAATGAATAAATTCATATCATCATCAAATGTTAGGTGACATTCTAATTCATTTATTACTAGAATATAGGACTTAAGATATTTTATATGTAAGTTTTCAATTAAGAACATGTATCATAATGAAATCTAGTGTAATCACATACTAGAGAGGTTGGCATACAGTCTGGACATTGACATAAAGTCTAAACATTATAATCATCAATTGATCTCATTTGAGCAACTAGACTATGGTGGTCATCATGCACAAGTAATGTAGAGTAGAACCTGTTAAGTGGAACACCTCTGTAAGTGGAACACCTCCCAAGTGGAACGCCTTTTCAAAGTCCCGTTTTAAAAACCCATTGACTTAATGTTAATTGAACCTCTGTAAGTGGAACACCTCCAAACTTGAACAGTGAACACCCCATATTGAAAAATTAACCTGCTAAGTGGAATAGTCAATTTCCATAGATTTCAATATTGATATATGTAAACAGAATTAATCTCCTTCAATGATATCTGGGTATGAAAACAGGTAATACTGTGATAATTGGCAAATTAGGATTTTAATGGATTTTAATGGATTAGCCTCCTGTAGAGGTCAGCATGTGATGCAACCAATAATTAATTTGATAATCAGCAAATGAGGATTTCATAAGATTTTCATTCAGAAAATTGGATTAACCTCCTGTAGAACTGGACACGTTATGCTACCACTTATTAATATCCCTTGCTGTTTGTTTCAAACTTAATAAGTAAGATTAAAAATGTCATTTAAAAACAATTGAATTATTAACAGTAGGAACAAGTCTTTAAAACTTAATTGCCTAATCCTTGTACCTGAGACTGGCACAATTAAGAGGATTAAGAATGTCAGAAAACATTTTTGGCAGAATAAGGAGGATTAAGAACGTCAGATACCTTTTTGAGTTAAATAAATGGATTATTAATGGTATATACCTGCCCTGTAATGAAGGGAGAATCATATTTCCAATGATACATATAAATCCTATATTTGATCTTGTATGTTCCCTGCGAACCCAAAACCTCCGTAAGTGGAACATCTTCTAAGTGGAACGCAGAACGGAGAGTGTTCCACTTACACAGGTTCTACTGTATTTACATAATAATGTTATAAAGGAGCATGTAGGTTATTGCAAACAACTTCAGACAATTCTAACTTGAATTATGAACATTTTCTGACCATGAACAGGGGTATATCTTTTAGATCTATTCATTATCTTCAAGAAAAGTAAATATAATGATTAATCAGACCTAAGTGATATTAAAGGGAATGGCCCAATCAACATACTTTCATACTTTTTACTAAAAATGTTGACCTATTTTTTTACCAAAGATGCAACCTTTAATTATATTGTTGAATGCATAATTAGAATATGCTTTGAGACATGTTCTATTTCCTAAGAGGAAAAGTGGATTGCTCCAGGGACTTTAAAGACACTGAATTTGGATGACCAAAATGAACTGAAACCAATATATAGCATGAATTTTTTCAAAGGGGAAATAACATGGGGAACACTAATCTTAGGGGAATTCAGTTTTCTTTTCAAGAGCTATTTGATACATTAAAATAAAGAATAGTAATGCATTAAACATTGTTAAAATGATTGCATTTTTAGTGAAAATGAGGTCAACAACTTTGAAAAAAAATATATTGATGGGTTGATTGCTAGTGAAATATCTCCGAGTCCGATTGACTTTATTATCCCTGTATACCCGTCTTCATGGTCAGAAAATAGTCATAATCAAAGATATAACTGTCTGAAATTGTTTGTGATAACTTACCTGAACCTTTCCAGGTCAAATCAGGAGTGACAAAATTATTTCAACCAAATTTTTGACATGTCTTCAAATACGATAATATTTTCTTCATAAGATAGAGTGTCACTTGTGAAATTTATTGATTGACCTGAGATCGTACCATATCTTTATGACAGAGAAGCGAAATAGCCATATTAAACTTTAATGATGTTTGTTTAATTGTTGTTTGCCACTTTTCGACAATTGTCAAAATTTGGGGGTTTTGGGGGAGGGGTACAATTAGGTTAAAAAATTCACCTGATTCAGACTATCCTTAAATGAGCACTGATTCACCCGAGAGCATAACTTTTTCAAAACATGTAAGTGTTATTTTGGACCACTCACATTAATGTTTCGTCTAATTTTCCCTTAGAGTTTCATCATCATTGTCCAAATCTTTGTTGAGATATTTGAGATATATGAATGTTCATTATTAAAATCTTGCCTTCCTTTGCAGTTGGAAAAGATTCGGCATTAGGTGTTATAAGTCCCAGAGCACGATAAAATAAATAAAATAACAACAAAATGACATAGAACTGATAGACATTTTCTCCTGCGCGTGTCAGCCTTGGTCTACCAAATTGCTATTCAGTAGGAAGAAACTCATTTTTCAGTTTCCATTTTAATTTCCTGACAAATAGAGCGTAGCAACTTCTGTTTTAGAGAACAATAGAACAATAGAAAAGATTACTTTACCATAATTTTAATCATCCCACATTGTAGACATAAAAATATGAAGAGAATGACAAAACCTCTTAAAACACATTTCTTAGGAAACAAATAGTGTCGTATTCTTGTTACTATGGCAACAGAGTTTTTTCTTTTTGTCATTTTTGTCATACAGATTACCTATCATACCAGGACCAAATCCTGAAAATTTGAATTCAGTATCTTCGTTATTTAGTATCTTAGATATATAGGTTTCTTATAGTGTCCCCTGCAGGTTTTATCGGATTATATAAGGAAAATGCTATGAAGAGGGTTGCCCAAGGATGCCACTTAATAGTTGGTATTTTTGAGGTCCCAACCCTGTATTCATGGGAATAATTAACCATTGTAAAGCTTCTCATGGTTAACTGACAGAATTGATTGTATCTTCAACTAAGAAGACAATAAAATGTTAAAACCAGAAGAAAACCACACCAACTTTCTTCTATTTACCAGGGGTAGGGCACTATAAAGTCATATTAAAATTAGAAAATAGTACTTCATCACTATAATAGATGTATTACAATATCACACATAGCTTGGGAATGTTGTTAGAATACTACTTTGAGCTGTTTAAGTTATCATATTTTGCTTGAAGCTACAAATATAAAATAAGCAAGAAAAAATGACAAAAATTGCATATTTTTTCTAATTAATTGTATTTTTCCGAAACCAACAAAGTTATCAACCTATAACTTAAGGGTAGTATTCATCTCTGTACTAACAATGTATGCTGTAGAACTCAGAACAATAGAATACAATAATATGAACTAATATTATAGTACCCCCTAAAATAATTCCCTAGGGGGGTAAAAACGCTGAAATTCAGTGTCGTGACCACCCCGTTGAGCTGTCATCTTTTAATATCTTTATCAGCATGAAAAACTGATCCAGAAAAAATAGGTCTGTTGCTTTTTCTAAAAAATGCCTCAAAAACCCTTTCCCTTGAGATATTCTGAAATTGGAACCTGTCTATCAGTTCCTATTGATGTATTACAGCAATTGGCAATAAAACCGTTGTGCGAAACTTCTCCATTGCATTGTAATCTAGATAATGTATTGTACATGTGATAAATATGAAATAGAATTAATAACAGTCACATAAATGCTTGCAACAAGCCAGTGTTTAAGAACTTATTCATAAAAATACACTCATCATTACAGTGCGCAGATATTACAAGAAAAAGCCTCAGCCATTGGGAAGTAAAGTTATTACAGGGATTGTTTTCGCCAGTTTGTTTGGAGCATCTGCAATAATTGTAGCGCTTTTCTTCATAATTAGAAGGTAAAAATATAGTCACAATTATACTAGACTAGAATCATGTGATGATAGAAGCCTCTAGAAAGTGAAAGTACTTATATTTTAACGAGCAGGCAAGAGATCTATATCAAATCAAAATACTTTCTTATATATAACAAAAGATTTGTGAGATTCGACTTGGTGAACGAGGTTTCAAAAGGCACTTTTAAAACAATTAATAGAATATTCTTCATTATTTAACTAGTTCAAACAATACAGTAAGTGTTGATCACGACATAAATAGTTGTGGTCGATTTATCAGTTTCAGAATATTGTAATCATTCAATCTTATGTGTCTCCTTAACTGATTTCATAAGACGTTTTACTGGACGTTTTAAATTATGTATCTTATCACAAAACCGAACGGAGAATATGCATCTGAGCGAAAGTTTTATTTAAATTACAGATGCAGGAAATCCCCATCAACATCTTACAGAGAGCCTAGATCGAGATTGGGATATGGCACTCCTTCTATATGGCCAAATAATCGAGACTCCCCATCTTTGCCAACAGAAGAAGCCCATAGAGCGGAAACACGAGGCATGCTTCGTGACCTTGACACAGAGGGCAACCAATCACATACAAACAGATTTGACCACAACGTCACAAGCCAAAGAACCACAAGGGAGCACAATCTCATGCACTCAGGACATCAAGATAATAACTCCCCGCCAGTTCAATATGACCCCAACGTGTCCCCACCCGACTATACAGATGCGCTGGATGATAGATACAAACTTCCGAGCCCGGAGATCACCGAAGAACCACCGCCTTCATATGACACAGTTCAACTCAACGCGTTAAGATCAGAGAATCATAGAACTTGAGACATTAAATTCATGATAATAATATTGTCTCAGATGATAGTAACGAAGAACTGAAAAGTGATGTCCACTTATCGCTTGTTACGGATCAGACTCTTACAGATCAGACATATACCTGGAAATAATACTCAAACCAATCTTAAAACTCTGGCTATGCCAACAGAAAACACCCATGACACAACAGCAAATACCATCCATAGTAATTCAGCAGTAATTGAAAATATTCCTAATAAGGACTTAATAAGGAAGAAACAATAATCTAACCTGACGTCGTTTTTTCCCAGAATTTCTAAGCAAAAATCTAATTTCACCAAAGAATCAGTTTTTCGAAACAAATCCAGATTTTTTTCATTTTTCATATTATCCTCCAATGATTATCTTATCTTATTCTAGATTTTATTAATATCAAATATTTGATTTCTTGATATCTTAATAATGATACAGATATCACAGTTAGAGCAATCCTTCATATCAATCAGACCAGCTGTTTTCAGATTATACTTTTATACCAATTTTGAAATAATTGCAGTAAAAAAGGTGAACGATTTTTATGAAGTGCAAAAATATTTATGCAATGTTTCTCCGTTCAATTCATTCATTATACGAATTTGGATGATACTATGTTAAAGAATATACTCACTGCTGTTGCCTGACAAATTGTGCACAATACATACACTGTACCATGTGCATGTGTTATAGTATTTGTAGTACAGTATGCACAGGCCCCGCCCCCACTCACTGTGTAATGTAGGAGAAAAAAGATTTTTTCTACCTAATACATAGTGAGTGGGAGGGGGATGAACTCTTGTTCGATCCCGTGTCTGCCGTTTCCAATACTGATAGATGTTTATCTAGTCATGCCAAAGTAAATAAAGCCTAGTATTCAAGCACAGGTTTTTAAGATCTTGAATTTAATAAAATTGTGGAATTGTGGAATATAATTAGTCCTTGTGAGCCATATCGGCAAAAAATGTTGTAATACAAATGTTGTATAACCCTATGAAATTTCAAATTAAAGTTACGTCATTATTATATCACATGCCAAACAACAAACCTATTTAGTTTTCTACCCCTTAGTTTTACCTATCAAAGAGCGCATGTACCCAGAACACTACAGCTTTATGAATTTAATCATACACCCATGCGAACTAAAAATAATTTGCAGATTAGGTACTGTCTTCAAATCACGGTGAAAACTTGATTTAGAAGGAAATTCTAAGACGAGAACAGATGAAATCTTACCATCAGTATCAACTGTAACATTATTGTTCAAAATTGAAGTAATCGCATAGCACAACGTGTGTAATTCGTATTTCGAACGTTTGGAGTCTTTAACAAATATTATACCATAACTACATCGAAAAGAGTGTGAACAAAATAAATAACAAGAGAATAGAGGAATAGAGGAGCTTCCATATGGCTTTGAAATCTCGCTAATTCTTGTTTTATTATGAGATTTTAAGAGATTTGAACTTCTAACCTCTTGCAACTAACTTTTCTTTCTTTAATTTATACAGTTGTGTCCTTTATATCATTTTCCATGACGTTTTAAAAAGCGTGGGCCAAATCCCCATTGATGCAATGCTTAGATTCTTTGAAACCTTGGTTTATTCGTTTGACAACCAAACATTTCATGATTCAGCTATTTAGAAACTATATTATTGCGCTTTTGCCGCACTAAGTTGAGGCACTGAGGCATATGCCTATACAAATCAAAGTTTCCCATAACACACCCAATTTAACTCGTTGGTGAGTAACCTTGAAAAAGAGACCTTGCACTTCATCCTATATTTTAAGATGACAATATGGTAGTTTTCTCAGCTTACATACATCAGGAGTGTGTCCAGTTTTTAAAAAATCAGATCGCTTCCATTCAATTGGATGCTGCGACCAACTAGAATTGACACATGGCACGGATCTTTGAAGATGTTAAAGTTGACACGGCACTATATCAATCAAAGCGTTTAATTGGATGGAGTTAACGAAATTGCGCATATCGCTCCGAATCCACCACTGTTGAGTGCTCTCAAGATGAAACCATTGCATTGTATGGTACCTTGCATGAATGCCTATATGGTTAGAGGCAGTTGGACACTGAGGTCATGGGTTTGTGGATACCATTATTGTTGCAATGTATGCTTTTGCATATATGTAATTATGCTAATACACGTATATAGAGGTTATGGGAGGGATGGAATATGAAATTCATATTCAATCAGGACAATTACCTTTTTACTACATAATATTTTTCTGAAACTTATTTATTTAAAGGTTTATTGTATGCCATCACCAGATCACCAAAAGACAGTTGCTTGTACGTTATATTTGCTTGTTTTCAAATTTTCCTCAAATTCCAAACCAGTTCCATATGATCTTTGTTCATTTTTCTGGTAGAAGTGTGCTGACCGAAAAACATAAAAATCGAGAGAAGTCCCTGAGTAGTTCTGGGCAATTTACACCCTATGCAGACAGAACCTGTGGGAAATATTGGGTGCGGCGCAAATGAGCGGAGGGTGCGGAGCTAACGGTCATTTTTGAATTTAAAATTGGGATATTTCTGAAACTAAGCCGTTTTGGGACTAGAAATATACCAAGATATGTGTATTTGACACCAAATATCAATAAAATTGTGAAAATAGTAGTGCAATTCATTTTATAGCGACGCATTATGCCTTAAACATTTCCCAGACCTATATATTTTGAGACTATCCTTTTAATACTGCGTCCCCAGCATTCATAAAAAATGGTGTTCAAGATACACTACCCATGCAAATTATTTTATCTGTGTGATTTTATAAAAATTCGGAAATGTTCTACAGATATGAGCCCCCTCTAAATATTGGGTGCGGAGGTACGTTTATGGAGCTCCTCCGCACCCAATATTTAGAGGGGGCTCATATCTGAAAAACATTTCCGAATTATTATAAAATCACACAGATACTGCCTGGCTTCCAAGATGCAAAAATAATTTGTATAGATAGTGTACCTTGAACACCATTTTTATGTCACCACCAAAAGTGGTGACATATTGTTATGGTCTCCGTTTTTTTGCGACGGCGGTTGGTGGTTGGCGTCCGGCGGTTGGCGTCCGGCGGTTGGAGGTTGGCGTCCGGCGTCTGTAACAATTTCTTACAACTTCCTATAACTTAACAAATACTGTTTAGACTGACTTCAATTTTTTCTAAATCATCTACATGTTCTCAGAAGTTCAAATCTGACTTTAGATTTGACATTTGACCTTCAATGACCTTCTCAAGGTCAAAAAGGTCTTTTTTCAACTTGCTTCACATTGACTAAATTTTTTTTCAAAATCATCTACATGTTCTAAGAAATTCAAATCTGACTTTAGATTTGACATTTGACCTTCAAATCTGACTTTAGATTTGACATTTGACCTTCAATGACCTTCTCAAGGTCAAAAAAGGTCAAAAAGGTCTGTTTTCAACTTGCTTCAAATTGACTAAATTTTTTTTTCAAAATCATCTACGTGTTCTCAGAAATTCAAATCTGACTTAAGATTTGACATTTGACCTTCAATGACCTTCTCAAGGTCAAAAAAGGTCAAAAAGGTCTGTTTTCAACTTGCTTCAAATTGACTAAAAAAAAATTTCAAAATCATCTACGTGTTCTCAGAAATTCAAATCTGACTTTAAGGCCCGGTCACACCGCCTAAACGTTGCTGGAGCGTTCCTTGAACGTTGAAAAAAATCATCAACGCTCGTAAACGTTCACCACCGTTTAACAAAAGTTGGCATCCGTTAAAGCAACGCTGTAAACGCTCGGCCAACGCGGATGTTTCTCGAGTGGCCAACCTAACGCTCCAAAAGTTTTGAGCTGCTCAAAATATTGCGAGCGTTGAAAAAGGGACAATTTTACGCCCTGGCAAAGTTTATCACCGCTCCACCAACGCCCAGTCAAAGTTTGGCACCGCTAGACGCAAGTTCGTGGACGCTTGAATCCGCTAGACCAACGTAGAAATCTTAAACGCTGGACCACCGCTGCTTCGCCGGCGTTGCCCGGGCGGCGATTCAACGTTGCACAAACGTCGGTGGAGCGGTTGTTAGCGTTTTATCAGCGTACATGGGGTTGTTGGAACGGTGTCGGACGTTGTCGCAGCGTTCCATGGCGGCGATGAACTTTGCGTTGGCGTTGGTATAGAGGTGTCGGAGCGGGACCAGAATTTGGCCATAAATACGTGGAGAAATGTACCACTGTGTAGAACACTGTGGAGACACTTGTGCATTTTACATTTGATATATATTCATGTCTGGCATTTCAATTTTTTGCATTGTAAATTCCTAAATTAAGCGCTCAAAGTTTGAGATTTTGGATTTTAAAAAGGTGAATTATGCGATTTTTGTTTTTCATTAAATGTTAATACAAATAGACTTTTACTGAGACCTTTATTCAAATATAGTATATACCTAGTGTTTTCACGTCAAGCAATTCAATAAATTATCTGTGAATTTTCTGCGCAGCTTGTAAAATGTTGCACTCGTCATGGTATTATACAAAAAGTTGATGCGCGCACAGCAATTGCAAAAATTTGTCATGCGTCATGATTATTACTTTGCTGTAAATGTTATTTGACATTGTTAAAGCAATTTGAACGTAAATCGGTTCCAAGTAATGGAAATGCAACGATTAAATTGTGATATGTTTGTTTGAAATGATATGAGAGATTATTAAAGAAAATTGTAATGTTATTCATTCTTAATGTCATATTACATTAATAGAAGCACTTTAGATTTAAAACATTTCTTCTTTAATCCTTGAAGCACTTTTGTTAAAGTTACAAATTCCAATAAAGGTCTTTACTCTTAAACACTTCCCACTTGAAATAATTTCCCAGTAGTCGAACGCGATATGCTGCTAAACCAACGCTGCTGCTATTTATACCCCCGCCGAGGCAACGCTCTCATGCGCAGAACGCCGCTATACCAACGCTCGCATTACCGCTAAACAAACGCTAGCTACCGCTCACAACCGCTTAACCAACGCTAAAGCAACGCCGGCTTCAGCGGTGCACCGCTAAGCCAACGCCCGTGTTTTTGTTTTTTTCCCCATTTTGTGCGCGTTGACGAGCGTTGATGAATTTTTTCAACGTTCAAGGAACGCTCCAGCAACGTCCGGGCGGTGTGACCGGGCCTTTAGATTTGACTTAAGATTTGACATTTGACCTTCAATGACCTTCTCAAAGTCAAAAAAGGTCAAAAAGGTCTTTTTTCAACTTGCTTCAAATTGACTAAATTTTTTTTTCAAAATCATCTACATGTTATCAGAAATTCAAATCTGACTTTAGATTTGACATTTGACCTTCAATGACCTTCTCAAAGTCAAAATAGGTCAAAAAGGTCTTTTTTCAACTTGCTTCAAATTGACTAAATATTTTTTTCAAAATCATCTACGTGTTCTCAGAAATTCAAATCTGACTTAAGATTTGACTTAAGATTTGACATTTGACCTTCAATGACCTTCTCAAGGTCAAAAAAGGTCAAAAAGGTCTGTTTTCAACTTGCTTCAAATTGACTAAAAAAAATTTCAAAATCATCTACGTGTTCTCAGAAATTCAAATCTGACTTTAGATTTGACTTAAGATTTGACATTTGACCTTCAATGACCTTCTCAAAGTCAAAAAAGGTCAAAAAGGTCTTTTTTCAACTTGCTTCAAATTGACTAAATTTTTTTTTCAAAATCATCTACATGTTCTCAGAAATTCAAATCTGACTTTAGATTTGACATTTGACCTTAAATGACCTTCTCAAGGTCAAAAAAGGTCAAATAGGTCTGTTTTCATCTTGCTTCAAATTGACTAAATTTTTTTTTTCAAAATCATCTACGTGTTCTCAGAAATTCAAATCTGACTTAAGATTTGACTTTAGATTTGACATTTGACCTTCAATGACCTTCTCAAGGTCAAAAAAGGTCAAAAAGGTCTGTTTTCTACTTGCTTCAAATTGACTAAAAAAAATTTTTAAAATCATCTACGTGTTCTCAGAAATTCAAATCTGACTTTAGATTTGACATTTGACCTTCAATGACCTTCTCAATGTCAAAAAAGGTCAAAAAGGTATTTTTTCATCTTGCTTCAAATTGACCAATTTTTTTTTCAAAATCATCTACATGTTCTCAGAAATTCAAATATGACTTTAGATTTGACATTTGACCTTCAATGACCTTCTCAAGGTCAAAAAAGGTCAAAAAGGTCTTTTTTCAACTTGCTTCAAATTGACTAATTTTTTTTTCAAAATCATCTACATGTTCTCAGAAATTCAAATCTGACTTTAGATTTGACATTTGACCTTTAATGACCTTCTCAAGGTAAAAAGGTCAAAAAGGTCTGTTTTCAACTTGCTTCAAATTGACTAAAAAAAATTCCAAAATCATCTACGTGTTCTCAGAAATTCAAATCTGACTTAAGATTTGACTTAAGATTTGACATTTGACCTTCAATGACCTTCTCAAAGTCAAAAAATGTCAAAAAGGTCTTTTTTCAACTTGCTTCAAATTGACTAATTTTTTTTTCAAAATCATCTACATGTTCTCAGAAATTCAAATCTGACTTTAGATTTGACATTTGACCTTTAATGACCTTCTCAAGGTAAAAAGGTCAAAAAGGTCTGTTTTCAACTTGCTTCAAATTGACTAAAAAAAATTCCAAAATCATTTACGTGTTCTCAGAAATTCAAATCTGACTTAAGATTTGACTTAAGATTTGACATTTGACCTTCAATGACCTTCTCAAAGTCAAAAAATGTCAAAAAGGTCTTTTTTCAACTTGCTTCAAATTGACTAAATTCTTTTTCAAAATCATCTACATGTTTTCAGAAATTCAAATCTGACTTTAGATTTGACATTTGACCTTCAATGACCTTCTCAATGTCAAAAAAGGTCAAAAAGGTATTTTTTCATCTTGCTTCAAATTGACTAATTTTTTTTTCAAAATCATCTACATGTTCTCAGAAATTCAAATATGACTTTAGATTTGACATTTGACCTTCAATGACCTTCTCAAGGTCAAAAAAGGTCAAAAAGGTCTTTTTTCAACTTGCTTCAAATTGACTAATTTTTTTTTTCAAAATCATCTACATGTTCTCAGAATTTCAAATCTGACTTTAGATTTGACATTTGACCTTTAATGACCTTCTCAAGGTCAAAAAAGGTCAAAAAGGTCTGTTTTCAACTTGCTTCAAATTGAGCAAACCTTTTTTTCAAAATCATCTACATCTTTTCAGAAGTTCAAATTTGACTTTACAAGTTCTCAGAAATTCAAATCTGACTTAAGTTTGAACTCATAATATTGTGAGCAACTAGGTGGTGACATTTTGTCATGTTAATGCCTTGTTTATGAATGCTGGGGACTCAGTATTAAAAGGATAATTTCAAAATATATAGGTCTGGGAAAGGTTTAAGGCACACTGCGTCGCTATAGAATGAATTGCGCTACTATTTTCACAATTGTATTGATATTTGGTGTCAAATACACATATCTTGGTATATTTGAAGTCCCAATACGGCTTAGTTTCAGAAATATCCCAAATTTAAATTCAAAAATGACCGTTAGCTCCGCACCCTCCGCTCATTTGCTCCGCACCCAATATTTCCCACAGGCTCTGTCTGCATAGGGTGATTTAGGTAATAACAAACAAGTATTTATAACTTTATCTAAAGGGCAATAAATATACACACACACTTTACTTGGCAAGTTATTTTTTAATTCGTTGCACATTTTTTAGGAGATTGGACCTTAAAATTCATATTTCGAAATTGGGTCCAACTTTTTTTGGGCCCCTTCCTTCATTTTCAGAGGTAAATACTAAATACCATTTTCGTGAGAGGGATTGCGTTTGCAGGTGCATTTGATTTTTTCCAAATCAAAAAAATCCCAGGTGTGACCGGGAAGTAATAGTATCATGGAATAAATACTCATATCGATGATGTTATATTTAAGGAATCGACATAGCTGAAAATTGTGATATGAAGAAGGGTATTTACTTGATCACGGATTCGAATTAAATGTACCCAACGGAATATACAAATGTAAATAATATACATATTGTATCACCAGGCACATTTGGCCAAGATGGACCCATCGTAGAAGTAGAAGTTGGCTCAACAGTCAGAGGGGTGGAGGAGTATATGCCCAATTCTATCAAACCGATATACAATTTCATGGGTATTCCTTTCGCAGCGCCACCTGTCGATGACCTTAGATTCCAAACACCACAGGAAATCCCTCTCTGGACGGGAGAACTCGATGGGACAAATTATGGTATGTTTAAATACAGGTACAAGGTGAGCCAAAAATGTAGCCCAAACATATGTTAATAATAGTCATTCAGCATGAGTTTGAAATTACATTTGGCAGAATAAAACATTGTTCTAGGTTATTTTATTCTATCTGGTTTCATTGGCCTATCCCTGTTACAAAACATGCTCTAAAATTCTGGCATCACTTCAGAAGGCGAACCTAAACGTATGTAGCGAAGTTGTAAAGGACACACTGAGATGTTAACGCTAAAAAATTTTATCTCAAAAATTGAGATGCGATTTTTAAGGTGATATTTGTCCAAATTCACTACCTGTTCCGGATCCTGATATGAGCGAAGATTGCCTCTTTCTGAATGTCTGGACTCCATCGACCTCACAGAACGCCAATATGGCAGTCATGGTCTGGATGTATGGAGGAGCTTTCCAGTTAGGTAATGAACTAAAATAAATAGTTAATAGACTAGATGCAAGTAGAAATAATCTGGATTTACGTCATTAGAAATTCAAAATTAAGTCAAAATATCATATTTGAAACCTGCACGTAAAATGACATTTAAAAATGTGGTTTTAAAAAGTGTTTATTAACTTTGAAAATTCCATTTTCTCTGAAAGATGTGACTTCTAGGTCAACAGGTCAAGGAGATTTCCCATAGACCCCATAAAATCACAAAAAGTGAAATAGCTTTTCTTGTGTTTGGCAGGTAGTAATATCAACAGTGTCACGATTCAAGAGTAGCCAACATTTGGATTCTTATTGTAATGAAATAAACCGTGCAAGCTTTTTTTTACTTTACACAAGGCCTAGATGATAAGAAGAGTACCTACATTTTGAAGTGTGCTGTTTCGATTTTTACATTCGGACATAGTTGTTCACTAAATTCTTTGTTCATAAGCTCCTCCGCTGTAGAAGAATAACATTTGATCAGTTTAAAAGCATGTGTTGTCAAAAATCAATGTTTTAAAATAAAGTTGTAATTAAATGAAATTGTAAACTTTGTTACACATGAAACGCTTTTCATAGAGTTTGAAATTGCTTTTTGTAATTCTTCAAAAAGTAATATTTTGAATCAAATTGTTCGAGTGCTGGAGTGAATAATAACGTAATAAGGCCAGATCCTCAAAGCTAGCCCTCCTACATGTATCTTTCAAATGGTAAAGAAACTTTGAACAACCGGGAAAGAATAGAATGAAATGAAAGGACTTCTCAGCTCCTATTTATGTTTTCTAGGTGACGGCGATTCTTACGAAGGGACTGAGTTGGCAACTCTGGAAGATGTAGTGGTAGTCAGGTTCAACTATAGAGTCGGAGTATTGGGCTTCTTAACAATGGGTGATTCTAATGCACCGGGAAATGCAGGTTTACTAGATCAACGAATGGCCCTCCAATGGGTACAGCGGCACATTCGAAGTTTTGGAGGAAATCCTCGTGCGGTCACAATTTTCGGAGAAAGTGCAGGTTTGCAATACCATTGTATTTGTCAATTACCATTGTAAACATTATTTTGTATGTTTTGTTTCAATCCTATATTCGAGGGTGAGTATGGCGAAAATGCCCTACTTTAGTTTGGTACCTCTCGCCTAAACTACGATGTCCTCTTACATAATCCGGAATTCGATCGTTCCAACTGAGCTATGGTAATAATCATATCGAAGTTATACTGTCAGCCATTTCGATTCTGACATATATCCTGCCAAAGCGTGTCGCTCGTTTCTAGGAGCAATGTCAGTATCCTATCATATGGTTTCCCCAATGAGCCGAGGCCTTTATTTGAGGGCGATAGGGCAAAGTGGTGTAGCGACAACATGCGGAGCGTTTTGTGTACACCCAACAGAAGTAGCCGTAAACCGCAGTTTTGTGATCGCAAAAAGTGTTGGTGAGTTCTGAAAGTATACTTCATTCGTCCTTAATTATTTAATTTTATCATTCGCCAAAGACGAAATGATTGTTCCATTGAATTAGGTCTGATGCTATAAAATACTCTGTATGTACCAAGTAAAGCTATGCTCATCGCTCTTGAAATTCAAAAGTCAACCTTATGAATTGCATACTTAGGATGTACGCAAGGCGATTCAGCTAGAATAACTACTTGTCTCAGAAACCTCCACTGGGAAGACATTGAAGATCATTCATTCGAATACCTGCCAGGGCCTCACCTCGACGGTATCTTCCTCACAGACTGGCCCCTCAGCACGTATAACATGGGAGAATTTAACAGAGTTGATTATCTACTCGGTTTTAACCAAGACGAGGGATATATATTCATGGAAGACGCCGACCCTACTCGTGAAAACATCGCAACGTTAATCAGGGACTACCTTGCCGTGATTTACCCGGAAAACTTAGAGGCAATCCACCAAGCATGTATGGACGTCTATGTTGATTATGATTCAATGGTGACAGATGAGGATTATGAGAGGGCCTATTCGTATTTTATCGGGGATAAACTTTTCCTTGGCCAGATCCATGACATTGCTAGGAAGCACTCGGGTAATTGATGTTTACTACAACATTATTTTGACTAATTCTTTTTTATTGTGCATCCGGTTTGAAACATTGCTAAAACCTGAAATAGCAAATGCTATTTCGTAGGGGGTTCAAAGTTGTTATAAAGATTGGTCACAAGCAGTTTGGATATTGGGATATAATATGTAACTGAAATCTCGCTTTCTACATTTTTTTTCACCGCTCAAGACTTCAATAACAGAAAAATTCGGAATCCTTGAAGCAACGCTCAACATAACTTCGTGACGGACATGGATGTGCACGATGGCTACCATGATAGTATTAAAAGATAAAATCAAGTTTTAAAAAAGTTTCAAGTTGATGAGCCCATCAAATGACTTGGATGAATCGAATGCTTGCAAATGATTAGGCAATTAGCCTAATTCCAGAGTTTGATAAAACAGTCCTCAAGATCTCCACTACATTATTTAAATCTGAAAAGCTCTGAAGACGGAAACGTCATGGCCAGTTAGAGGGACATTCGTGGGGAGTGACATTAGATAACATACCAGTACTGATCAAAACTATTTGACCATATCCCGTGCATGTTTATAAAAAGTTGTTGTACGCCTTGTAACATTGTTTTGACGAAACGACGATTAAGATATATGACGTCATTGGAAACTTGCCTGTGCTAGTATGACGTCATAATTGCATTTCTGGGAACAAAGATAGCCATAACAACACAAGACACACATTACATCTATTTACTACGATACAGCTAGATCACGAGACATCGAGGTGAAATAGGTTAGCCTACAGATTGAAACGGCTAGTTGCTGTTTAATATACATAATGGGTAAGTATTTTTTAAAGCTATCATTTTTTGTTAAAAGTAAAACGCATCCAAAACATGATATTGGAAGTCATGTTTTTAGAATGTAAGTATGTTATGTGGAAATCCTTTTTTTAAAAGTTCATCTCGTTCACCTTTTTAGTCCTAGTGCACTGTCCGCAATTGGTTAATTTTAGATTAATTCGATATGTTAGTGTAAGGTCCTTCTTTAAAAACATTCGTGTAGCTTTTCTATGCCTCAGTTACTTGTTGCGGCGGCCATGGTGTGCTTAAAAAATCGAGGGCCATATAAAATTACGGGGCCGCTGTAGCATTCCGGCACATGGTCATATGATGTTGCTGTCACATATGTTAAGAATAACTTCGCCATAGGGTATCCCTACACTGATTTAACAGTTGCATATCTTTTAGTTTCTTCAAGGATCCTTTTACATCACCTTCTTCCGAGGCCACTACGTGACAAGACATGACAAAAGAAGGCAGTATGGCCAGGAAGAAATATCGTTGCCTTCGTCCTTCGATAAATCCCTGCATGTTTTTTACTGCTGTATACGGGTCATGTCGTAATCATAAAATTTGAAATCATTTTTCCACATCACAATTTAAATAGCGAGTTTTGGTCTTATTTAGTTTACATCTTCTGGATCGCTAACTTAGAATTTACAGCCAGTTTCGAATGAGCCCTAATGCCAGACAATAACGACATTTCGTCCATTTTTTGAATATCGCCATTTTTCTTGGAGCCGTTTATTTTAAAGGCAGAATCAGATCTATAGGGGTGACAAATTACAAGCAACATGTACAATTGACCTACCAATCTATTCCGTACAATCTCAAATACAATATCTCCCAAAAGATTCATGATATGTTATAAATTGTTGAAGTTATTTTGGATTCAAAGTGCAAAAATGGGGGGAAAATGTTCAAATTCTCCCAAATAATAAGAATGGTAACCATTCTTATAGAAAAATAATAAATTATTGTAAAAATCTTTAGTTTTCCTCAAATAACGTGTGCACTTTGGGTATTTTTAGAAAATAGACATGACAAGGAATGACATGAGCCAGAAATATTCTAAAATTGAAACAATTTTTTGTTTGCCTGGCCGCTAGATCTGATTCTCTGTTTAATTTTAGACGAAATCCTGACGAAATCATGCAATATCTCATCAATGAGCCCAGCCAGTTCCATTTTAATTCATGATTTATTTATCTAGCGATTTTTGAAATATTTAATAAATTTATAACACAATGGTCAGCCTTTTTCAAATGGTTCGTGGTGTTCCAGATGAAATTACTTCTCGCCAAAAATTGGCTAGAGACTCGAGTAACTTTTACAGAAGTCTCGGTTGTCCCCCTGCCACACATCCCTCAGCTGATTTACGAACTAAAAGCGTAAACATAGTAAATACTAAATAGTGGATCACGCTGTTGAGCATTTAGGACTTTCTTGTTGTTTTTGGTAGCATAATCGAACCATACAGTAAAAACAATGAATACTTTTTACCACCGAGTGAAACTAGAGGAATAAAAAAGTAAATGGTTTAGCTGAAGTAGTTTAAATCAGGTTTAAATGCTGAAAACGCAAAATATACCATGATAATGATACATGTAAGCAACGGTGTATCATCTCCAAAAGACCAATTTCTAGACCCATTGGGGACTGAATACTCTATCTTTTATGAGTACTTGTATCTACAACTATTTTTGATGTTATGAGTATTGGCTATCAATTTTATCAATTTTTCTTCAACATGTATTGTAATGACTTTAGTATGAATGAAATGTATTTTGGTCGTGGATTGTGATATTGGTTCTCGATTCGAGGGGGGGGGGGGTGTTAGACATTGTTTCTTTTTACGTTAGATTATGATTTTGGGATATATAGGGTCTACTTTTCTTATGACAGATTACACTTACAGTTTGCTTTTCTTGTTGGGTTTCTTTAAAGTTTTTAGTCACCCTTCCCTTTGGCATTTGTGCTTACATATCACCCTTGGTATACGCAGCTAACGAAAATTGACCGGTACGGGTCAAAAGCTGAACCGGTACGGGTTATCGGTTTTATTTGAATTTAAAATAGCCATAACTTGCTCAATATTGACTTCCTCGTGTCTAATTTGAAATATATGATGCCTCCCGATGCTTTTAAGTACCCCAATTTTTTACAGATTTTTAAACGGACCAAAACTCTCTAAATGCGCACTTATGCTCTTTTCTCTCGAGAACGACTGTCTCATTTTCACGATAACTTTTATTTAGTACTTCTAACATATAAGATCTATTTTTCCCCATCAAGGTATGATGTAAATGACATGCTATTTACATCTTGTGAGTTTCAATGACGCGCGTTTGATTTTATAAAAAATGCCAAACTTTGTGACAAAGAATTTCATCAGCTATTGCCCCGAACCGGTCCGTCTTCTCGCTGCAAGCAGATTGCCCCGAACCGGTCCGTCTTCTCGCTACAAGCAGAAAAGAGCATGAATGCGCATTTAGAGAGTTTTGGTCCGTTTAAAAATCTGTAAAAAATTGTAGTCCAGTAAAACCGTGGCAAAAATTGACAAATGAAGGAAAAAATTGCAAAAGTATTTAAACCTAGTGTAATCAATGCATAATGATGGGTTAAAAGACATATCAAAAATCTAGAAAAATCTAAGTAGTGGAAAACTTCGAAAATCACCATTTATACCCCCTGGGGTACTTTTACGAGGGGGTACTATGATAAACCTTAATAATTCCTGTTATGTACCCCAGATCACATTCAAATTTTCAGGGATCATGCAGCTATACATAGTCAGTTACCATGGCAAGTTTGATATTGATTGGTGAAATGATTACCATAGCAACACAATTTGATTACACAAAAGCTGTAAATATTTTGGATAAATCCAAAGCTTCCTTAACAAATGTCTGCTTATCTTTTTAAGTTATTCCAAATGAACACAAATTTGACCTTTAAAACAAATTTAGGGAGTTTTCAATAAGATAGCATGATCAAAATGATGAACTCATGGATGTCTATGACTCTGGACTCTACTGATATTTGGTGACTACTGCTCAATCTACTAAAAAGTGGGTGTGGTACTTTTGGTTACATTTTCTAACAATTTCATTTTGACAGTATCAATCACAGTCATATTTATAGGGGTCATGAATACAGATATTATAATTTGATATGGTAAATCTGAACATGATTGGTCAAGTGGTTGCCATAGTAACACAACATAATGAATGCAAATAGTGGCTAGAGATCATTTCAAATAAACCTTATATCTTAACAGGTTGTTCCAATTACATTCACCTTTTAAGAGTTATTTTGTGTATGATTCTAACAAAATTAAGTTTGGATAATATTGATACATGGTTGTTATGGCAACTTAACTGATAATGCTGTTTGTTTTGACACATGCTTTGCTACTGTAGTATCTTCTTAGTACAAAATACGGCAGGCCATGTCTCTAACTCTCTGTCTGTCTGGATATCTCCTTCTAGACCCTTCAACCTTGAGTCATCATGCTTGATCAATATTCTTAGTGGATCAATGAGTATCCTATTAAGGTCATAGGTCAATATCTCGGTATTTGGCATTTTAAGATCCTGGGCAGATGCTGTGACCCTTGACGACCAATGATAAGGTAACCTGAAGTCAAGGTCAATGTTATGGGTCAAAGTCATTCCAAGGTCAATGATCAATTTCTAGGTGTTAAAGTATTTTGGGGCCTTGTTGGCCCACTTGTATGGGTAGAAATTGCTAGAATAAGTAATGGAATTATGTTCAATTTGAATTGTTTTCACAATTCAAGTTTAAATGTACTTGTTAAAACATATTTATATCTACTTCCATTGTGTCTCAATCTTTCTGATATAAAGTTGTTTGTAAGAGGATGTATTCATCTCAGACTTTGGAGGCTGAGGCTGTACCCATCTTGAGACTCTTGAGACTGTACCATCTCAGATTCTGAAGGATGTATTCATTTTAAACTCTGGAGGCTGTACCATCTTAGATTCTGGAGGATGTATTCATCTTAGACTCTGGAGGATGTACCATCTTAGATTCTGGAGGATGTACCATCTTATATTCTGGAGGATGTGTTCATCTTAGACTCTGGAGGCTGTACTATCTAACCCTACTATCACACCAAACTAGTTCTCACTACGTTCTCGAAAACGGGTTTCAACTGTGTACGAACGGACTGGACCTACTAAGAACCGTTTGAGATCTATTTACAAACGTCATCGAACGTACTCGAACGGGTAGGTCCTCTAGAACTTAGACAATGCTCAAAATGTTCTCGTGGTCGTCACGTTCTACAATTAGAACGAGTGAAAACGTACTAAAGACGAGCTGGACGCACTACGAACGGAACCGTCGTACTTCAATCCTACTAGGGACGTTTTAACAACTAGTTTAACTGTCTGAGGACGTGTTGAGAACGAGGTAGAACTAATTGCAAACGGGTTTAAACTGATTAAGAACGTATTTAACACTGCTTATGAACGAGTTAGCAAAAATATAGCTATCACACCAAACAAGTTGCCACTGCGTTCTTCAAAACTGGTTTTAAACTGTGTGCGAACGGAATGAACGTAGCTGCAACTTTCTAAGGTCTATTTACGAACTTTATGAACGTTCTCAGACGGGAATGTGATTTTAGAATTTTGAATCGATTCAAAATTCGATGGCGACCATACCGATCTGTAATCAGGTCATGTTGACCTTCTAGACTAAGGGACGCGTTCTACTACGTTGCACACCGACGTGGTGCGACCTGAACGAACTGCGAACGAGATGGACGTATTGAAGACTGTTTAAGAACGAAGAAGCTAATTATTTCAGACATATTTCCCGACCACAGCTAGATTGAGCCCGTTTTACGACGTTTTCGTAGGACTGGCAAGAACGGGTAAGAACTAGTTTGGTGTGATAGGGGGGTAAGATTCTGGAAAATGTATTTATCTTAGACTCTGGAGGCTGTACTATCTTAAATTCTGGAGGAAGTATTCATCTCAGACTTTGGAGGCTGAGGCTGTACCTATCTTGAGACTCTTGAGACTGTACTATCTTAGATTCTGAAGGATATATTCATCTTAAACTCTGGAGGCTGTACCATCTTAGATTCTGGAGGATGTACCATCTTAGATTCTGGTGGATGTATTCATCTTAGACTCTGGAGGCTGTACTATCTTAGATTCTGGAAAATGTATTTATCTTAGACTCTGGAGGCTGTACTATTTTAAATTCTGGAGGAAGTATTCATCTCAGACTTTGGAGGCTGAGGCTGTACCTACCTTGAGACTCTTGAGACTGTACTATCTTAGATTCTGAAGGATGTATTCATCTTAAACTCTGGAGACTGTACCATTTTAGATTCTTGAGGATGTATTCATCTTAGACTCTGGAGGCTGTACTATCTTAAATTCTGGAAGAAGTATTCATCTCAGACTTTGGAGACAGGGCACGCCTTAAGCGTCGGACAGCTGGTCATTATCTGGTTACTTTTGATACTGACCAGTTGATTTTTTCACTAGGTATAGGAAAATAACATTGCAACTGGTCAGTAATGCCTTTTTGACCAGCAGCTCTGGAATCCTTAGGGCATACACTGTTTGGAGACTGAGGCTGTACCTATCTTGAGACTCTTGAGACTGCACTATCTTAGATTGTGAAGGATGTATTCATCTTAAACTCTGGAGACTGTATCATTTTAGATTCTTGAGGAAGTATTCATCTCAGACTTTGGAGGCTGAGGCTGTACCTATCTTGAAACTCTTGAGACTGTACTATCTTAGATTCTGAAGGATGTATTCATCTTAAACTCTGGAGGCTGTACCATCTCAGATTCTGAAGGATGTATTCATCTTAAACTCTGGAGGCTGTACCATCTTAGATTCTGGAGGATGTATTCATCTTAGACTCTGGAGGATGTACTAAGATTCTGGAGGATGCATTCATCTTAGACTCTGGAGGATGTACCATCTTAGATTCTGGAGGATGTATTCATCTTAGATTCTGGAGGCTGTACTATCTTAAATTCTGGAGGATGTATTCATCTAAGACTTCAGAAGCTGTACCATCTTAGATTCTGGAGGATGTATTCATCTTAGACTTTGGATACTGTACAATCTTAGATTCTTAAGGCTATAACCATCTATGACAATGGAGGCTGTACCATTTTAGTCTCTGGAGGCTGTTCCCATCTTAAGACTCTGGAGGCTGTGCCCAATTTAGAGTCTGTAGACTGTACCATCTTAGGCTCTGGTAGCTGAACTACGTTATAGTCTAAGTGCTCTACCATATTAAGGCATGGGATGTTACTTTCTAGGGATTGAGCCGCATGTTCTCGGGGGATTGGAACACGGTGCAGAATTTTGAATCAACATTGCAACATACATGTACACTCTAAACATACATATGGTAGAATACTCTCATAGTCAATATATTGCAAATGACATGGATTGAATGGGACCGCAACTTAGTCAGCACCTCAGCTTATTTCAGCAGTTGAGGTTACATTATTTATATTTTCACTTATCAGGCTATTGCTGAAGCACTTAAAGGAATATTCCTTGCCAGACCCTTTCTCTCTTGATATGGTAGCTATAATCATATATATAGTTTCCATATTTAGAAAAACATGGGAAAATGTTTTAATATGGTCAATATTGATCATTTAAAAATCTAGTGCTTATTTACAGTGAGCTGCCATCTTTTAAGATTTCTTGCAGGAAGTGATGTCATCAACTCTCAACTTCTATAACCTTGCCCATAACAGTATAGGAAAGTAACCAAAATCACTTCTAGACAAGTTATCATTACTTTCTGTGCAAAGATATTTTCAGGGCTTGTCAACTTAGAATAAAAGAAGAGATTTTCAGAAGGATTAAATAAGATACAAAGTTGAAAAAGAATATTTAGCTGGTTTTGTAATTCTTAATAGCTCCTCACCTAATGCTATATGCAAAGTTGAGAGTCGATGACATCACTTCCTGTGTGAAATTTTAAAAGATGGCAGCTTACTGGAATTTAGCATCACATTTCTAAGTGATCAAATTTGACCATATCAAAATATTTTTGCGTGTTTTGCTAAACATGGCAAGCATATATATGGTTATAGCTACCATATGAGGAGAGAGATGGTTTGGCAAGGAATATTCCTTTAATAAAAAAATAAGAACATTTATGATAATTACAGGCACAACATTACAGGCACAATTAAATTGAAAAATATTTGAACTCCTTTGATACTCCTTTTAAGTAAATATGTAGTTAAGATAATAAGTAGGTGTCCCTGGCCCCGCCCACATTTTACATTAATCATGTTTTGTTACTATGACCTACTGTGAGTAATTTGTGACCCATTGTTACTATTGACCAATTATGATCAAGATTACCATATCAATTGACGATAATGGGATTGATGACCCTATGAAAATGACTGTGATAATAATACCAACATAAAATTAATAGGAAATGCAACCAAAAAGTGCCACGCCCACTTTTCAATTCACCCCTGCCCCATGATGTTAGAATTGTCAAAATTAAGAACATAAATATATTCTGTTCATCTACAAAATTATATTTTATTGTATTTTACACACCATTGGCACAATAATATGTTGAATATTTGGTTGATATACCTCTTATTTTAAAAGGATGATGTTGCTCTCATCCTGACCCTAAAACTGGCCCTAGAAAATGAACAAATTATAAGAACTTAAATAAAAAAAATTCTGTCAAACAAATTAACCTACAGTACTGATATTCATAGTGTCTAATGTCTGATAGTAGGACAACTCTCATGAGTTTTTAAAAGTCATCACTATGTCTAATGATCAAATTATAGGCATTTATAGAGAAAAATGGGTGAAAAAAGTATACAAGGTAAGGTCATGAACAATATTTTCAAACTTTCTTCTATGAAACTATCAATTTTGATATCTTTCTTATCCATACATGAAAAAACAAGGGACACTTTAAAAAGAAAGTAGTGTTATAATTTTTAAAAAAAAATTGTTGTCATTTTGGGGGGTCATTGAGGGGGGTATCTTCAGCATGAAAATTCATAGTCTTCCACGACTTAGATTTTTCTAGATTTTTGATATGTTTTTTTACTTATCAAGACACATTGATTTCACCAGGTTTAAAAACTTTTGCAATTTTTTCCTTTATTTTTTTGTTTTTTACTGGACTATTGGGGTACTTAAAAGCATCGGGAGGCATCATATATTTCAAATTAGACACGAGGAAGTCAATATTGAGCAAGTTATGGCTGTTTTAAATTCAAATAAAACCGTTAACCCGTACCGGTCCAGCTTTTGACCCGTAACGGTCAATTTTCGTTAGCTGCGTATACCAAGGGTGTATATTCAGTATGCATTGATTTTGTGAGTTACCACCCGTTTCTAATGCAATGTAAGATCATGACGTCACGATGTGATATTCATTCACAATGATGTTCGGATAGTTTTTATGACGTCACAATTAGATTTCTTCAAATTGTTGTTAGGTAGACAAAGACAGAAATCATAGCTGGCAGAAGATATACATCTCGAAGCGAATCATTCGGTGATTCTTCAGTATTCTAGTATATTTAGTAATTAATCAATCAAGCGAATTATGGGTGAGTATCTTTTTATTGTTTTCGAAGCACGCTCGATTTGTTAAGAACACGTTTTATGTACACAAAATTGATCTTAGAAAGACTAGAAAAATGTCCACAATATTTTTGTCAACACAAATCCAATGCCATGACGTCATGATCTTGGTTTCATTTATCCTAAATATTTTTATGACGTCACACTTATACTTCAGATTTCTTCAAACAGTTGTTAGGTAAACGAAGAGAAAGAAAGAAAACATATTTAGTAGCGTATTTTTGAATGATTCTTCTATATTTAGTAATCAAGAGATAGCTGATAATGGGTGAGTGTAATTTTGCATTGTTTTCGAAGCATGTGTTTGATTTGTAAGGATACGCCTGATATATATTATTGATTTTTGAAGAATTGGAAGTCAATATTTTTGTTGCAATATTGTTTCCAGAAACAAAAATCAAAGTCATGACGTCATGATCCCGGTTTCATTTTAATTCTTGTATCTGTATGACGTGACACAGATTCCTTCAAATTATTGTCATGCTAACGAAGGCAAGGAACAACATAAATGGTGCGCATAACATGTACTGGATTACAATTCAGATCTGGGTGAAACGGTCTTTCAGATATGAAATGAAACTAAACGAGAAAGTGCGGCATACCTAGCTTTTTATTATGGCACACAAATTGCTATTTCTTCGAAAAACAGGCCAATGTTAAGACGTTAACTGAGCTTTTGATGTGTATCCCTGACATATATGAACATTTTTGGGGTTTTGTTCTGTTAAAGATTAATTTATTTTAAGTATTGTAATTACTACTAGTGACAACTGACAAGATCCCTACAGCAATGTACAAGTACAATTGAGACTTTTTTGTTTACCCTAGGCTATTTGTGGAAGATCTTTTCTTCATCTTCGACATTGACAGCCTAAGCAGTTTTTATTCAGTTAATTACATTTGATTTAATAATCAAAACTTTCCAGCACAGAAAAAATTAGATGTACAGGTTCTCTAAACGAATTTTTCTTTTGGTGACTCATGATATCACTATTCGCTTTCAGCTCCTACGGTGGTCTTGACCACTCGTTGCTTTAAACGTATACACAGACCATTTGTTCCATTTAGCTCATACAGTTCAGTCATTGCTTTAAGCTCATGCGCATCACTCGTTGTTGTAAGCTTCTACACACCACTCATTTCTTTTAGCTCCTTACAGAATACTCAGTCCTTTCAGCTCCTGCAAATTACTCGTTGTTTTTGAGCATAGGCAAAGGTCGATAGAAATAATTTTTTGAATTTAAAGAAAAAGATATATAATACTGGATTCTGTTGGTGCTGCCATCTTTATATCGGCCCAGAACCTATGCTTTTTAGAAACGATTCGTTGATGCCAATGAATGTTGACATTTCTTCATTTTAAATCTACTTTGACTCCATTTGATTTATTTTTCAGGAAACATATTGTTTTCCTAACATCGGTTTGCTGTTTGAAAAGATCCAACATTGTAACCCTATGTCTTTGCTGCCACTTAAGGTCTTTGTCAATTAATTGGAACCCCGATCGGTGCTGTTGAATGAAATAATTAAAACAAATCATCGTATGCTTTCAGGGAAGAAGTCGAAGTTCAACGGACCGTCAAAGAAGACATTCGATGAATTGTTAGCAGAGAAACTGCAACCATATTACGATGAGTTTGAAGAGTTCATGGTCGAACAAGCAGAGCGAATTTCGAGAGAGATCAAAATGGATTTCATCCAGGAAGGAGACGATGGAGTTGTGATCGGGGAGCCGAGCCGAGCCCCAAAGAATAGAAAGTACTATGGTGACAATTTCAGTGGCACAAAACAAGATTATGGACAATTTGCATCCAGAATCCCTATGCCTGCAATAGGAAACCAACGACGCCAACCAAGTATTTGCCCAATTTCATCAAATCCGCCGCTCATTTCACCAAGCTCAGAGACCAGATTGCCTCCAATAGCCGAAAACCAATATACCGCTCCTGTACCACCAAGAGGGCAAAGACCAATTACTGCTCGACCAACGCAACGCCAAACAGCTAGGCCAAGACCTTTCCAAGCACCTCGATCAAGTGATCATCTCGCACCAACCCCACCAGAGAACAGTGCTCCTACACGGGCATCCATCCAAGCTCGCAGGTTCAAACATCAACAGGACCAACAGCGAACTAAAGCACAGAAACTGGAAGACAGGATGCGCCGCGCAGAAGCAAATCATAAGCGTGCAATCGCAGAAAAACGGGGAAGAGCCCAACACAGTTTGGATTATGTAAGATTTTTTATATCGGTTTACGTCTTTGATTCTATGTTTTATACAAATAATTTCCGAAACTAACATCAGCCGATAAGAGATATAAAATATGATTGTCGCATTGAATCAACACTGAAGTGTAAATCGTTTATAATATCTGTTATTCAGGATTTTCTATTTTTATTTTCCAGTGGGAAGCTGGACAAGTCAGAAACCTGGAAATACATAAGAATGATAATGATGCCTCATATGAGAGAGCAAGAGCCAGATTGAGCGCTGCAGCAAAGAGAGTTAGATAATAAGCACCATATTAGCTACTTATGTAAATGTTAGGTTTACCTAGAGCGCGGCGAGGATGGTTCAGTCTTTCATACTTGCAATTTTTGCATTTCTATTTGTATATTGGTCATATACTCTATAAGAGTTAAAGTGATTCTTGATTCATATCCTATTTGACGTTTGCCCTTTCACTTTTTTTGTAACTCAACTTTCACAACCGTTTGACCCTTACAATATTGTCAATCTATAGTTAACAAGGCCGTCACACTTAAAAGTCGACTAGTAGTTCCTCTCAACTTGTATGTTAAATATCTGTATTTATAACAACATTGTTCGACGTGACCTGTAATTTCCAGGGTTGTGCAATTTAAGATGACTTAAGTTTCAGTTTTAATTTAATAGATAATTACATGGGCTGACCGTGACCTATAGTACACTCTGTCATTCTATTTAAGTTGATCAATCATTCAAGATCTCGTCGGCAGATTTAACATCCATCTATCGATAGCGAATGCAGTGACCTTGACTTATGGTTAATAGGGTCGTGTTAGAGTTTACCTTCGATTTTTAAACATATGTTACATAAGTTAATTGATAACCAGTTTTCGTGTAACCACTAGTGAACAGGGTCACGTTATTGAATTGAAATTTTCATTCACATGTCAGAGTTGCAAATGTTTTGACAATAGGTTGACTAATGAACCTAGACAACAGAAAGTTGTAGGCCTATAGTAAGGTTACGTTGTACTTTTGAGAGTGTTCTCTTGTTAATTCAAACACTTCCTGCCAAGTCGAGTTTGATTTTGGTTGTGACAGTATAATTAACAAGATGGATGGAAGTGTTTTATGAATTCTCGAACCACACGAGACTAGAATGAGATTTCTTAACTGTAGTTATATTCTTTGTAATTTAAACTAGATCTCGTTAAATAGAGCTCTCTAGTTGCATTCTACATTAATAGGGATCCCGTTAAATAGAGATCCTGAAACTGTCGTCTGCTCGTAATTACTTAGAATTCTAGATCTCGTTAAATAGAGCTCTCTAGTATAAACTACGGTTCGCGAATGGTCATTCTAGTCTTACGTGATTTGTGTGTTTGTAAACGTGTACATTTGTCTTGTTTCCTTACTGTGACAACTAAACCGAACTCTTCTTGTCACAGGGTGTTTCATTTGTCAAAAGGAAAGTTTCAGAACTATAGCGCTACCCTTAACCATTTGCCTCTTTTTACCATCATACCATCTGAGTCCGTTTGATACCTATATGTGTGGATGGAAATGTCAAAATCTTCATATTTATTGATAAGACCGAACGTCAACCGCAACATCACGTGTCTTTGAATAATTAGTCATGGTTGGCCACAATGCAATCGGTTAACATGTTAACAGCTATTGATAAGACCAAACGTCAACCTTAACATCGCGAGTCCTTGAAATATAGGTCACGGCTGCCCACGATGCAATCGGTTAACATGTTAACAACTATTGATCAGACCGAACATCAACCTTAACATCGCGAGTCTTTGAAATATAAGTCACGGTTGGCCACGATGCAATCAGTTAACATGTTAACAGCTATTGATAAGACCGAACGTCAACCTTAACATCGCGAGTCCTTGAAATATAGGTCACGGCTGCCCACGATGCAATCAGTTAACATGTTAACAACTATTGATTAGATCGAACGTCAACCTTAACATCACGAACCTTTGAAATATAGGTCACGGTTGCCCACGATGCAATCAGTTAACATGTTAACAGCTATTGATCAGACCGAACGTCAACCTTAACATCACAAGTCTTTGAATTATAGGTCATGGTTGACCACGATGCAATCAGTTAACATGTTAACAACTATTGATAAGACCGAACGTCAACCTTAACATCGCGAGCCTTTGAAATATAGGTCACGGTTACCAACGATCCAATAAGTTAACATGTTAACAGCTATTGATAAGACCGAACGTCAACCTCAACATCACGAGTCTTTGAAATATTAGTCATGGTTGCTCACGATGCAATTAGGTAACATGTTAACAACTATTGATACGACCGAACGTCAACCTTAACATCACGGGCCTTTGAAATATTAGTTATGGTTGCCCACGATGCAATCAGTTAACATGTTTACAGATATTGATAAGACCGAACGTCAACCTTAACATCAAGAGCCTTTGAAATATAGGTCACAGTGACCAACGATCCAATAAGTTAACATGTTAACAGCTATTGATAAGACCGAACGTCAACCTCAACATCACGAGTCTTTGAAATATTAGTCATGGTTGCTCACGATGCAATTAGGTAACATGTTAACAACTATTGATACGACCGAACGTCAACCTTAACATCACGGGCCTTTGAAATATTAGTTATGGTTGCCCACGATGCAATCAGTTAACATGTTAACAGATATTGATAAGACCGAACGTCAACCTCAACATCACGAGTCTTTGAAATATTAGTCATGGTTGCTCACGATGCAATTAGTTAACATGTTAACAACTATTGATAAGACCGAACGTCAACCTTAACATCACGGGCCTTTGAAATATTAGTCATGGTTGCCCACGATGCAATCAGTTAACATGTTAACAGATATTGATGAGACCGAACGTCAACCTCAACATCACGAGTCTTTGAAATATTAGTCATGGTTGCTCACGATGCAATTAGTTAACATGTTAACAACTATTGATAAGACCGAACGTCAACCTTAACATCACGAGCCTTTGAAATATTGGTCATGGTTGCCCACGATGCAATCAGTTAACATGTTAACAGATATTGGTAAGACGGAACATCAACCTTAACATCACGAGTCTTTGAAATATTAGTCATGGTTGCCCAAGATGCAATCAGTTAACATGTTAACAACTATTGATAAGACCAAATGTCAACCTTAACATCACAAGTCTTTGAAATATAGGTCACAGTGACCAACGATCCAATCAGTTAACATGTTAACAGTTATTGATAAGACCGATCGTCAACCTTAACATCACGAGCCTTTGAAATATAGGTCGCTGTTGCGCACGATCCAATCAGTTAACATGTTAACAGTTATTGATGAGGCCGAACGTCAACCTTAACATCGCGAGCCTTTGAAATATAAGTCACGGTTGGCCACGATGCAATCAGTTAACATGTGACGCCTATTGATAAGACCGAACGTCAACCTTAACATCACGAGCCTTTGAAATATAGGTCACAGTGACCAACGATCCAATCAGTTAACATGTTAACAGTTATTGATGAGGCCGAACGTCAACCTTAACATCGCGAGCCTTTGAAATATAGGTCACGGTTACCAACGATCCAATCAGTTAACATGTTAACAGTTATTGATAAGACCGAACGTCAACCTTAACATCACGAGCCTTTGAAATATAGGTCACAGTGACCAACGATCCAATAAGTTAACATGTTAACAGTTATTGATGAGGCCGAACGTCAACCTTAACATCGCGAGTCTTTGAAATATAGGTCACGGTTACCAACGATCCAATCAGTTAACATGTTAACAGTTATTGATGAGGCCGAACGTCAACCTTAACATCACGAGCCTTTGAAATATAGGTCACAGTGACCAACGATCCAATAAGTTAACATGTTAACAGTTATTGATGAGGCCGAACGTCAACCTTAACATCACGAGTCTTTGAAATATTAGTCATGGTTGGCCACGATGCAATCAGCTAACATGTTAACAACTATTGATAAGGCCGAACGTCAACCTTAACATCACGAGCCTTTGAAATATAGGTCGCTGTTGCGCACGATCCAATCAGTTAACATGTTAACAGCTATTGATAAGACTGAACGTCAACCTTAACATCACGAGCCTTTGAAATATAGGACACGGTCACCCACGATCCAATCAGTTAACAGGTTAACAGCTATTGATAAGGCCGAACGTCAACCTTAACATCGAGAGTCTTTGAAATATTAGTCATGGTTGCTCACGATGCAATTAGGTAACATGTTAACAACTATTGATAAGACCGAACGTCAACCTTAACATCACGAGCCTTTGAAATATAGGTCGCTGTTGCGCACGATCCAATCAGTTAACATGTTAACAGCTATTGATAAGACTGAACGTCAACCTTAACATCACGAGCCTTTGAAATATAGGACACGGTCACCCACGATCCAATCAGTTAACAGGTTAACAGCTATTGATAAGGCCGAACGTCAACCTTAACATCGAGAGTCTTTGAAATATAAGACATGGTTGGCCACAATGCAATCAGTTAACATGTTAACAACTATTGATAAGACCGAATGTCAACCTTAACATCACGAGCCTTTGAAATATAAGACATGGTTGCCCACGATGCAATCAGTTAACATGTTAACAACTATTGATAAGACCGAATGTCAACCTTAACATCACGAGCCTTCGAAATATAAGACATGGTTGGCCACAATGCAATCAGTAAACATGTTAACAACTATTGATAAGACCGAATGTCAACCTTAACATCACGAGCCTTTGAAATATAAGTCACGGCCAACCACAATGCAATCTGTTAATACGGGTAACATTTTTTGATAAAGCCGAACGTCAGCCTTTACATAACATTTGAAAGACAATGTTGTCAGCAAAACCATTTATTGAGGTCAATAAGGTCAGAGTGAAATTTATTTTTCAAAATCATTTTGAAGTCCCAAATCCTGTCACCATACCAACCCATAGATCATCTGATTTTTGAAGTTTTAATTATACAAAATTTTTGCTCCATTAAAGACAATTCCCAGAGAATGAAAAACAAACAGAAAATGATTCCAATTAAGTCAACAACCCAAAAAGTATATTATTTAGCATTCATAGTCTAATGTATTTAGTTTTAGAACCATCCTCGCCGCAAATCAAGATATTAGCGACTCATAAACAGACACATTTTTTGGATTTACACCGAACGAAACATCAAGAATCATGTTATAGCTAGTGAATACAGTTTATCCCTTTGATGAATATATTCCTTTCTCTTTGAATGTCTATCGAGCACTGGAAACAGTCCCTCGAGACATATGAAACTCAAAAGAATACTTTTTCGATCCAGTGTCTTCAATAAAAGCAAAGTGTATTGAATATGAGAGCACCTAACGAAAGTCTCACCATTATTCATTTCATTGGTAAACTGTATGTCATTTACAATTTTGCTCAATTCATAAAAGTCAATAATAGATCAATCTGATTCAAAATGTGCAATAATTTTAATGCAAATATGGTGTGGTCAAAGATGTATTTTGTAACAGTCGCTTATGTACAGCCAGATGTTATTGTTTATTGTAAAATCATGGCATTCTTTCAAAGTTTTTTATACACATGTATTGCTCAAATAAAGATTATACAATCAGTTGCGAAATGTGCAATTATTTTCAAACAAATACGGTATGCCAAAATTCTAGATCGTAATAGTATGTGTGACATTCCAACACATACGGGTTTTATTAGAAATGTTCTATAATTATTGTAAAATTATGTGATACTGTTCAATACAGTAAAAAATGTTCATACACAAGATCATGTTAAATATGTACACAATCTAACGGAGAGATACCAGAAACTGCTCACCTTGATGGACCATCTGCATGATTCAAGTAATTATCGATCACTTATTGAACTTAAGATCCTGCAATTAGACTGTACACTTTTTTATCAGTTGAACACACTATTCTACATAAATCTTATATTTTACAATATAGTTTACCGATTTTACAATTTTATAACGAAATAAAGGTCTAGTCAAATATTATGTATTGTGTTTTTGTTGTCATAATTATGTTAAGAGTTATCGTCTTTTTTCAAATCCCGAGTTGCAACATTAATCTCCCCCAGATCAATCTTAAAGTCTAGTTGATTTTATTGGTAAGTTCTTCAAAGTAAGAAGAAGAAGACTACAATACCTTCAGTCAAAATCATCTGAACGCAGGGTTTTCAAGACACCATTCACTTAATTTTTTCGTTTCCACTACAATTAGTTGGGAACGATATGAGATTGTGATTTGTCAAATTCTGAAGAACCAAATGCCAGCGGAAAAGTACAAAAAGAGTTACAGAACACGTCAGGAAAAATAAAACTTCTTAGAGTACACCAGTTATAAAAGAAAACAAGCCCCAACTATCCCAAATAACAATATTTAAATACACAGCTATGTTGCCTTGATTTCATTTCTAGTAAAATAATTGCAAAACAATTTCATGTAACTTCACAGTTTATTCAAGCTTGAGATACGTCTTTACCATTACAGTACATGCGAGAACTTTCTTTTACTACTTCAACCATCGTCCTTTCTGGTCGGATATGCCTGATTGGACAACTTCTAGCCACGCTTATGAAATTCCATATGTGTTTGGAGAACCATTTCACGATTCATTGTTAGTCTTCAGCGAGGCTGGTGAAGTTCTCAGTAGACAAATGATGACTTACTGGGCTAACTTTGCAAAAACTGGGTAAGCATTGCATAGGCCTTCAGAATTTACGCTTTTAGATGGTAACAGTTGGGTCGATTCATGTTGTATTATTGTTAATCCAAGGAGTTGCAAATATGATATCATCGATCGATTTTCCATGAATCTAAAGATGCAGATGAAAGAATTGGTCGGATATTTTAAACAAAGCTTTAATATTTGAGATCAACGACATGATCTTAGACTCAAATCAGAAAAGGGATACAATATTGCGATCTAATCAAAAATACATTCGATTGCAGAGAGAACTTTGAATTGTTCTCACATGGCAAAAATTCCAGCTCTAAGGCGACAACTTTTTTTTATCTTTCATCCACTCTTAGGGATCCAAATGGAAATGGACTTCCAGCATGGCCCGAAATGAATTGCTCATCAACAGATTATCTGGAGCTTGTGCCGAATCCGAGAACAGGGGAGCGTTATGAGCCGGAGAGAATGACAATCTGGATGGATACAATCCCAGCTTTGGATACATATCGCAGTGGAACTTACAGAGGGATGCCATGGGCGTGTCCCTTATAAAACACAGATAGAAATACTAGATATAGTATATCTTGCCAAGACTCAATCACATATGAATATACATGTACATAGAATTTATATGAGAATAAAATATACATATGCGCTATGAACATGCGAACGGAAGTTTCCAAGTTGGACACCATTTTTAATTCTTTTCAATAAAAACATGTTTTCGTAAAAGGAGCGACAGCGACAACCCAATTTAAGGGCTAGCAAACAAGAAACTAATACATAAATAATCCCCAATTCAACCAATCACAATTTTTTTCACATGATATACGTAGTTCAGTATTTTGAACAATATTATTAAAAAGAATGAAATTCAACCTTTTAGCAAGGTGAACATGATAACCTGCTTTAAGCACCTTCTTGGCCATTCACACATAACTAGGCAAGCTGCGTCTGATTCCAGCCAATCTGAACACACTATTTCATATAACTGCTTTGTAAGATATAACCATAATCAACTAACCACCCAAGGTCATTCAGTGAATGGTTGTCAAGGTGACAACTTGTCTCTTCAGATTGAAATTGAGACTTTGCTAACTTGACCCTCGCAAAAAGTTTCATTGACAATATGTTCATTTTGTGATTTCGTAACTTTTAGGTGATTTCGAAGAAAATATTTTGCAATGTGTGAAGAGAATTTAAGCCCAAGACTTGATGCATTCTGGCTGATTCATTCCACTCAGACGATATTTCCTAAACTTCACACTCGATGCTGCGTATATCATGCAAAGGTTGAAATAACACTATTTTAGGAATGCTTCAATCCACATTGCATTGAGTCCAGTGCTTAAATCCGTAAAATCATCATATGATAGAAGATCAATATTTCCTTTGTCACAGTTTTCCTTTATCAATCATTCAACTGTTTAAATAAAGAATGGCTGTACTGTATTCTGATTGGCCAGAATGTGGTATATCTGGAGTCACAAATATAAAAAGTATACAAAAATAATCACAAATGTGTACTCTTAATTGCTAGTATTATTCATTAACGCATTTCACACCTACTTGAATAATATACATTCAAAATAGATTGACTGGCCTTGTAGCTTGTTATATATCGTAAAATGGCAATATGGCATTTTTCTCAACACACAATTGTTCAGAACTAGTGGCTCGTTCGTACCTTACCTTAAGAGCCATATAGTTGGGGGACGTTGGACAACATACCGCAGCCATGGGTTTTCAGATGTCATTGTTGTTGCACTTTATGCTCCTGCATATAGGTAATTATACGAATTATAACACGCACTGATGACTACGTCTACGAATATATGAATTCCTAAAAAAATGTCAAAGATTATGAAAATTGGGATACAATTAAAATTTTAATGGCGTCAATTGCACTGCCGAACTTGGGTAAGGGGTCAAAACCCTTTATCTAAGCTGTTCTTACTATGCTTTATTAGTACCCATGAAAAATAATTGGCATCAAAAGTCTTCAGCTTATCAAATGCCGTAAATTAAAAACAATCTTGGTGGCTGTGAGACGATTTCCTATCAATCATCGATAAATTATTAAGAACGTGTCGCTTTAAAGCAATCATATTCTAGTGAAGCGGGTAAATTGAGGCGCTTTTTCCGTAACGTCACACCCATCTTTCAGACGATGTAGTGAAATATTTTGATGCCTAATATTCAATGTTTTTACATTAAATGAAAGCATATATGAAACCCTTCCGAAAAAAGAAACATAAACAGTCCGTTCAGGGTACCCCCAAATCGGTAAGGTTAGAGATGAGTCCCCTTAAATATTTTCCAAAGTATAATTTGGCATTTAATTAGTAATATAAACTTAAGAATAATCCATTCTGGCCATAGGGGTAATTGCCATTTTGAAATTGATTTTCATAAAATTAAGAAATGACCCCTTGGGTATGAAAGGGTTAATATCTAATTTTGCATTCCATTAAAATTCAGATGGAGGTCAGATTCTTAAAGCTTACCCTTTCAGCTTTTCACTGGTGTATTGGAACTACACATTATTTTCAAATATCAAATCTCGACCGAAAACAAAAATTCTGAAGCATTTTGTAGCATAATGGGGCCGCTGCACTTAATGACCCCTATCTTGGTTCAAACTCTTAAAAAAAGGTGTAGTTGTCATTTTGAAATTGATTTTCATAAAATTAATAAATGACCCCCTGGAGATGAAAGGGTTAATATCTAATTTTGCATTCTCTAAAATTCAAATGGAGGTCAGATTCTTATAGCTGACCCTTTCAGCTTTCCAACGGTACATTGGAACCTTAGTTCAGAGGTGGTCATTTATATCACACTAGTTTGCTCTACTATACCTATATTTTTGCATACTATTAATTTTATGTTTTTCAAATAAAGTCAAGGCAAAGTCGATATCACTTCGACATGCTTGCATTTTATGCTTGTACTGAATAAAAATGTTTAATATATATTTGTCTTTATGTTTTATCGACAGGCACACAAGGCCAAGATGGACCCATAGTAGAAGTAGGAGTCGGATCAACAGTCAGAGGGGTGGAGGAGTATATGCCCAACTCTAATAAACCAGTCTACAATTTCATGGGCATTCCCTTCGCAGCGCCACCTGTCGGTGACCTCAGATTCCAACCACCGCAGGAAATTCCTCTCTGGACGGGTGAACTTGATGGGACCGACTTCGGTATGTTTTCAAAATGTGGGATCAGTGGTGAAAGCTAAAATTAATCATCCAGGAATAAAATCTTGCCTGTAATAATTAAAACACAAATGGATAGTAAAGTGATAATGAAACTCATCTTCGGAATTATCTTCTCAATTATCCTATTCATATGTATAAAGTTCTTCCATTTATTTATCATTAATATTCATTTGTTAATAATGTTTTAATATATGTTTTGATGATATGGCACTTCTCATAAACTTAATCTGAAATTTGTTTTTGAGGTGATATTTGCCCTAATGTGATCCCACTGCTTCCCGCCATGAGTGAAAATTGCCTCTTTCTGAATGTCTGGACTTCATCGACCTCGCAGAACGCCAATATGGCTGTCATGGTCTGGATGTTTGGAGGGGCTTTCCAGTTAGGTAAGCTAATGTATAAATGGTTGATTTAACGGCATACGATTTCAATTTTAATTTGTAATTAAAATGCACATTTTCATGGACACGCCTTAATTTACAAAAGTCTCATGTATACATACCTGTACACCCCCAAAATGCAACCAGATTTTCGACTGATTTCGGCGCCGGAACCGCGCCGAATTATATTCGGCTGTTTTGATTGTTTTTGTGGCAAATGATGCTCATCGCAAAAAATAAGTGTCCCAAGATATTAAAAAACACTTTCAGGAACTCCTTGGTGTTAGATTAATAAGCACACTTCTTATATTTTAATGGGAATTACAATACTCACTAAGCTAACATCTAATTTAATCTTATGACATGATTATGGAATAAAACTTTAGAAACATGAATCTAAATTTGAAATTTGAATTTTTATCTTGAACAGATTTGCACAATGCACATTTAATTTATATACATACGGACTTATGTTTTCTTCAACGTTAGTGTACATAACACAACAAGAAATTTCAATATGTCCCACATCATTTGAGACTGAATGCCCTATCTTGTATGAATACTGGAATACTTACAACTATTTTTGATGTTATGAGTATTGGTTGAACAATTTGTATTTATCATTCAACATACAATGTACATCAGTAATAAGGAAAACAAACTCCAACTATCCCAAACTATGATCTAAAACAGATGTTGGATAGGAAAATTATTTAGACATACACGATGTTTTTTATCTAGGTGATGGCGATATATACGAGGGGACTGAATTCGCAACTCTGGAAGATGTTGTGGTAGTCACATTCAACTATAGAGTTGGAGTATTAGGCTTCTTAACTATGGGTGATTCTAACGCACCGGGAAACGCAGGAATTCTAGATCAACGGATGGCTCTCCAATGGGTACAGCGGCACATTCGAAGTTTCGGAGGAAATCCTGATGCAGTCACTATATTTGGAGAAAGTGCAGGTTTGTTCTGTTCAGTGCCATTTGGTTCCCAACACACAACTGAAAAAAACGCTTTGAAGTTACAATAATTGAAGACGCACTTTGCATTGACGCATTCATAAATATTGGACATTCGTTTCTAGGGGCAATGTCAGTATCTTTTCATTTGGTATCCCCGATGAGCCGAGGCCTTTATTTGAGGGCGATAGGGCAAAGTGGTGTCGCAACAACATGCGGAGCTATATGTGTACATACGACGGAAGTAGCCGTAAACCGCAGTTTTGTGATTGCAGAAAGTGTTGGTGAGTTTGCTGGGTTGAAGTTCTTGACTGAGATAATAATCTAAGAGACATCCTAAACATCTTACCTGTCATATAGCCTGTGTACATAATGGGAGAGGTCTTTCCATGGGGATTCGAATATAACCTCGGTGTGTTTTTCTAAATTCTCGGGTCAGTTACTAATAGTATCTATTTAGTAGCTCTTGTGAAATAAAGCTTATTGATTACGGCATTTATTTTCAGAAGGTATAAAATCAATGGAAGTAGTAATTAGAAAGTTTAAGCCCGGCTTCTGTAAAAGATGTGTCTATGTGTGTCTCAATATCTTAATAGTCTTCTAGAGCCAACGGGCACAAAGCGAGTGATCACTATATTCAACATTGTCTACTTTTTGTGTAGGCTGTCCCCAAAGCGACTCTGATGGAGTTACAGCATGCCTCAGAAACCTCGACTGGGAAGACATCGAGTTGCACTCATTCGAATACCTGCCAGGGCCTCACCTCGACGGTACCTTCTTCACGGACTGGCCACTCAGTACGTACAGTACGGGGGAATTCAACAGAGTTGACTATCTACTCGGTTTCAATCAGGACGAGGGATATATATTTATGGGAGACGCCGAACCTACTCGTGAAAACATCGCAACATTAATAAGGGAGTATCTTGCCATTATTTACCCAGAGAATCTAGATGCAATCTTCCAAGCATGTATGGACGTCTATGTTGATTATGATTCGATGGTGACAGATGAGGATTATGAGAGAGCCTATTCATACTTTATCGGGGATAAACTGTTCCTTGGTCAAATTCATGACTTTGCCAGGAAGCATTCAGGTGAGGGATTTTAGAGATCATTAAATAGAATAAAAAGTCTGTTGTAGACCCGTTAAAATTTAAATGTATCTTTTATAGAAACGACAACTTGAAATACCAACAACATGAATTTCGAAAACAATGTTGTACTTAATATGTAGTCCCTCAAATGAGATTTAGGGTAGAATCCTCAAATGTACCAAATGAACACGACCAACAAAAATATGACTGTGTTGATTTCTTAAAATAAGTAAATAGACAACCCCCACTTCCATCAATCTCTCGACCTAGTCCTTCCTTATAATAGATTACACACCGTAACCTACAGATAATGGACACATAATGTACTATCTAAGCTTAGAAGTTACACGTAGTTTACGTTGAAAATCTGAAAATCAAATATGAATGTCCCCATTCATCCATTCATTACAGTGCATGCCACAACTTTCCTTTACTACTTCAACCACCGTCCCTTCTGGTCAGAGATGCCCACATGGGCTACTGCTAGTCACGCCCATGAGATTCCTTATGTCTTTGGAGAACCATTTACGGATGATACTACGCTAGAGTTCAGCGAGGCTGGTGGAGTTTTGAGTAGACAGATGATGACCTACTGGGCAAACTTTGCTAAAACTGGGTAAGAATGTAAAATGTGGCTCAAAAGTTTAGAGTTCTGAGTAGACAGATGATGACCTACTGGGCAAACTTCGCTAAAACTGGGTAAGAATGTAAAATGTGGCTCAAAAGTTTAGAGTTCTGAGTACCTACTGGGCAAACTTCGCTAACACTGGGTAAGAGTATAAAATGTGGCTCAAAAGTTATTTTCGGTTGCAGATGAAGGCAGTTCGTTGGGAATATTGTGTTCTGGTTCGTTTTGATGAAACTCTAAAGTACTAAATTAATTCAGGTCGATTTTATTTTTATCATAAACATTAAGAAACCCCGATAAAAATTATTCGGTTTATTTCTTTTCGTGAAAGTCTCGAAATTACGATCACTGCCTCTTTTGAGGGTTAATGATATGATTCTAGTATGGGGAGGAATCTACAAATTGAGAAGGCAGCCAGATTTGATCTGTATAGCACGTTGAAATACATCTATCCTACTCTAAACGATTATATAAAATTATTATTTTCTTAGTATTAACGAAACTGAATTATATATAATATTACTTCCTTTGGGATCGGTAAAAACTGAAAAATAACGATTAAGTAGAATTACATTACTTCTTTCGCATCTTATAGAAATCCTAATGGCAATGGACTCCCTGCCTGGCCTCAAATGAATTGCTCGTCTACAAATTATCTGGAGCTTGTGCCGAATCCGAGAACAGGAGAGCGTTATGAGCCGGAGAGAATGAGACTCTGGGTGGATACGATCCCAGCTTTGGATACATATCGCAGTGGAACTTATCGAGGGATGCCATGGGCGTGCCCCTCATAAAATATTGCTGTTATTACGAGCTCATACGCAAACACGTTGATCCTGCATGCATGCATTTACGCTGTAAATGTTGTTCAAAAATAAATATACACGTCGGCATATGGGCTCGGGTGTTTTTAAGTTGAACCTTGTCATCGCTTACAGGCATGTACACGTTTTTTTTACAAAAGGTCTCGTTTTTCCTTATCCCTAGGATAATCCCATCATGTGCAGGTTGCGTGAAAAAAGCCACTTGTGTGAAAATTTTGGGCGATTTTTTAAGGTCACATTGTTTCAAAATTCAAATATGTCTTTTTTAGGTTTGCGGTCAAAATATGTAATAAAAACATTTTTCTGAACATTAGGGGCGGAGGTTCATATGCTTAACTTTAGCTTGTGAGGTTTGCAATTTAATAGAATGCGTAACACATAATGCGTTCATGTAAAAAATACAGTATATATAGAAAGCAAATGCTCGATAAACTACGGCAAACCAATTAAACACCTTTTCAACATGGAGGACGATTCCCTTTTTTCCAATATTGTACGTCTCGTGAAAATAAAGAAATTGAAATTGTAGCAGAATTCATTCATAAATGTAATATAACATAGAAGGGTATTATATATGACAAACAATGGACGCGTATCACAATCACCATTCATGTGCTCATCCATGATACATATTTATTTGTTCATTTATTTACTTATTTATTTATTATGAAGTATTAATTGTGTGTGTTGTTATATATACTGTTTTCTGTTGTATTGATATATTGTAAAATTAGTGTTTACTTTGTGTACACTCAAGAACCACTCTTTTGGATGTTTCTGCGTTCTAAAGTGGTCCTCCAAGCATCAGTTCACGATATGTTTTGCTAAAAAATCCACATTATTTTCGTTCCAAATCCAATACAAGTTCAAGTACATTTTGATTTATTTCAAGACAATATAGTGTTGCCCTTACTGATGGTTGAGTAAACTAGTGTCATAAGAATGACCCTATTTGTCACAGGGTTTGAACATACCATAAAGGGAAAGTGTCGGGAATAGGGATATAACAACATAACCGGATCAGTCTGCTACTTGGTGCTTATATGAACGAGGGTTTCTTTTGACATTTTTCTGAAAAATAATTTTGGAAAACCGGCATTTTTAAATTAACCTTTTACCTATAATGAGCTTCACATCGCAAAACCTGCGCTTATTCTCGATTTGTTTCAGAGTTAATCTGCGATACAGTGATGTCAACGAATTCTAACGTACAGTCAACTCAATGTAGCGAGTGGTATCAGCTAAGATTGCGAATACCAATTCAACTCAGCGTATTTAATTCACATGTCAACTCGATGAAGTGATGTCAACTCAGTGCAACGAAGTCATAAAAAAGTAAAACTAAAGGCTTCATTTGGAAATAGCACTTTATTGGTAACAGTAACATGGAATGTGAACGAAGAATACTAGTAACTAAAAAAAGTAAACATACTCAAAACACACTTAGACATGGCCCAAAAACCAAGTCGAGACACTTTCTTTCAACCATAGCGCAGTACTTCAAGAGGGACAGGCCCATGGCATTCCTCTGTAAATGCGAGATGTGTCCAACGCTGGGATTGTGTCCATCCATAGTGTCATTCTCGCTGTTTGAAACCGCTCCCCTGCTCTAGGATTTTCCACAAGTTCCATATGATGGCTTGATGAACAGTTCACCTGAGGCCAAACGGGGAGCCCATTGCCGTTTGGGTCCCTGTTAAAAATAAATGCTAAATGGAACAACTTTTCAGATTAAAAGTACCATATTAAAATTGGTTATTTTTCATAATCCTGAAATCGCAAGGTATGCAATCCAACACTGTCGAGAAAATTCAAAAGATTCCACGAATAAGTTATTCTAAATCTAGTGGACTGCTTAAATAAATGTGGCAGTTTTGCCTTCAATTCATGCTTACCCAGTTTTAGCGAAGTTTGCCCAGTAGGTCATCATTTGTCGACTGAGTGCTCTGCCAGCCTCGTTGAACTCTAGCAATGAGTCTGTAAATGGTTCTCCGAACACATATGGAATGTCTGAGGCATGTACAGCTGTTACCCAAGCAGGCAGATCGAGCCACTGTGGACGATGGTTAAATAGGTAAAGGAACGTCCTGGCATGTACTACAATGATGGAGGTACGTTGAGATGCCTTTTATAAAGGGCGATGTTTTTAAACAACACAGATTTTCTTAAGATGGGGTCTATTTTTGAAATACCCGCACGGTATATGGATCATGATCGAACAATTATAAAGGAGATCCGAAGGTACTAACTTGAATGTTTCCTAGCAACGTCATGACTAGGACCAGCGAAACCTCTATCCCCCAGTAAATAAGAATAGGCCCTCTCATAATCCTCATCTGTCACCATTGAATCATAATCAACATAGACGTCCATACATGCTTGGTGGATCGCATCTAGATTCTCTGGGTATGTCGCGGCAAGGTTGTCCCTGATTAGCGCTGCTATGTTTTCGCGATTAGGCTCTAAATCTCCGAGAGCCATGTAGCCTTCATCGTGATTAAAGCCGAGGAGGTAATCGACTCTGTTGAATTCTCCCGTGCTGTACGTGCTGAGGGGAAAGTCCGTGAAAAAAGTACCGTCCATGTATGGCCCTGGCAGGTATTCGAATGAATGATCTTCAATGTCTTCCCAGTCGAGGTTTCTAAGACATGCAATGACCCCAGCGGAATCGCGTTGGGGACACCCTACATAAAAATATTGATAAAAGTAGCATCTAAAAGAACTTAATCTTCTTTGCAGCACTTTGGTCATTATACAGTGTGGTCAAAGAACGGAAACCTGGTGGTGTTTTCCTCATATCTTAGTCATTTTAAGGATTCACTCCCTGATATTTGACACATTTGTACATCATTTAATTTTCCATCGGCTTACCATATATCATGACCATAAGACTGATAGTCACAATGTTACAGCACTTGCCCAACAACATGCCCCAGTGGTCACTATTGCACTATATAGGCAAACCTGCTCACGTCGTCTAAAATATCCCTACCTGACTTCTGCCTGTGGGATACACCAAAGATACGAAAATGACCTCAGGACAATTGCAGACCTTAATAAGGAGATCATCGGTGACATTTAGGCTATACCTACTGTGTGTGTAAAATATCAGGGAATAATTCGTTATATTACAAAGATATGAGGAAAATGCAGGGCTTCCGTTTTTTGACCACCCTTTATACGGAAGAATAAAGCTAATAAAGTATCTTCAACTCACCAACACTTTGTGCGATCACGAAACTGCGGTTTACGGCCACTTCTGTTGGAACGACACACATTGTCCCGCATGATGTTGAGACGCCACTTTGCCCTATCGCCCTCAAGTAAAGACCTCGGCTCATCGGTGATACCAAATGATAAGATACCGACATTGCCCCTTTGAAAGAATAGGTATTTTTGAGTGCACAAAGCGAATACGAATATGATGACAGTGGTGTCGTTGCCATTTATAAATGTTAGGGAGTTTCTAAGTAGTTTCTGGCTTTCTGCGCTTGAAATCGTGGATGATAAACTGTTACATTTCGTTGAATATTTTCTGTATCAAATGCTGAAACTTGTGATAAATGATAGCAATATCAAACCTGCACTTTCTCCAAAAATGGTGACTGCATCAGGATTTCCTCCGAAACTTTGAATGTGTCGCTGTACCCATTGGAAGGCCATTCTTTGATCTAGAATTCCTACGTTTCCTGGTGCGTTCGAATCACCCATAGTTAAGAAGCCCAATACGCCAACTCTAAAGTTAAACGTGACTACCACAACATCTTCTAGAGCTGCTAATTCAGTCCCTTCGTATATATCGCCATCACCTAGAAATTTGGCGAGAAGTTTGGTCAAAACACACTGGCATACATATCCGCGGTCTGTATATTTTGTGTGTCTAAATCACTGGGCAAGTTTGATCGATTGAAGTGGACAATTTATTTATGTTCATATCATAAATGGGATAGTTTTTCGCAGTTTTGTATCATCTTTATAATCAGAGGCGTTAGAGGATTTGCCAAGGGAGGGGCGATTCTCGGGTATGGATGGGTCGTGCGTGAAGCGCACGCAAAGCGCAATCAAGGGGGAGGCGGAGGGCGTGTCCCCAGAAAAATTTCAAATTTAGACCCTCTCTGGTGCATTCTGAGCATATCTCAGCACAACATTCCCAATAATAAAAACAAGAAAAAATTGCGTTTTTAGAAAACTTAATTTGACTTTGACTAAAAAACGTTGACTTTTACTAAAATATACATTATTTACTCATTTTTCAAAGTATTTCCATACTGTATGGGTTCCTGAGAAACTATATACATGGTATAGAATTAAATATAATATTTATGAGAAATGAGATCTTCTATGCTTGATGTAGACATACAGTAGACTAGATACTGGCATAGTATCATTTCTGTCAATATTACACTTTGACTTTAATTAGCACAAGAGCTTCCAATTCTAGGTTCGGTTTCGATTCTAAAAAATGGGAAGGAGGGGGGGGGGGCGGTCGTCCCAAACGCTTCCGACGCCAATGTTATAATGTACATGATGTATACATATATATTTAGCCAATCGAATAAAAAAATTATGCATTTATAAAATTAATTCGCCTTACCAAATTGTAAACCCCCTCCAGCCATCCAGACCATGACGGCCATGTTGGAGTTCTGCGAGGTCGATGGCGTCCAGACATTCAGAAAGAGGCAATTTTCACTTATAGCCGGAAGCCATGGGAAAGCATTGGGACAAATATCACCTAGAAAATATTATTTCAATTTTTTTAAATTAGTAAAGTCGAATGTTACGCGTAATTTTAGAGCGTTTCAAAATTTTCCTAGATTACATTCTCAGACCCAAGACTACTTGAAATTGAAGCATACGAAAATCACATCGATGGTTATAATTTATATATTACCACCACAAGTGGTGACATATGTTATGGTCTCAAACCTTTTTGCATTGTGTTCAATGTTCGGCGGTTTGTGTTATTCGTCTGTATCAAATGGCAGGTAGTGACATTCAATTTTGCATGTTAATAGCGCCTTGTTTAGAATTATCTCTCTTGACATTATCATGTTCTCGAAACGATTGTTATATAATCATGCTACATTCTTTGAAATATTTTAGATTGAAAATTTTTTTTTCTTTTTTCCATAGAACCCAAATGTAAAATTGAAATATTCAAATTAAACATTTCATCAATCTGAAAAGGCAAAGAGTTCCACGTGCAATTGTAGGTTAATAATGTAACATTTAAATATGATCCATAGGACTATAAAAATCTACCGAGCATCTCTTAATAATATTTTGTATTTTATGTTTTTGATAAGCTAAGAATAATGTTTAACACAACATACCATAATCGGTCCCATCAAGTTCCCCCGTCCAGAGAGGAATTTCCTGCGGCGGTTGGAATCTAAGGTTATTTATAGGTGGCGCCGCGAAGGGAATCCCCATGAAGTTGTAGACTGGTTTATTAGAGTTGGGCATAAACTCCTCCACCCCTCTGACTGTTGAGCCAACTCCTACTTCTACTATTGGTCCGCCTTGACCTTGTGTACCTGGTAATTTAATGCACACGTTTTTTAATAGGTGTCTGTGTTCATTCAATTTGGTGATCAACCGTTTAGTATCATGAAGGTTAAACGAAATTTAGTGAATTCTAACGATTTGTTTCACGAATTGACATGTTAAAACAAGAAATATTTATGGCTACGTGAGCTTACGTTTATTCATAATATCATCGTGGTAAGCCACGCCCTCTCCATCTCTATCCCTCTGAGATGCAACAGAGAGAGATGCTATGAATATCAGAATGTCATAATATCGGAATCTTATAATTCTTATAATTACCTAGGTACAAGAACGTGAATTGCACTAACAACAGCGTCCATAAAGCCATGGCTGCAGCGAACTGTGCAAGGACCTTAGACTATGGACTTTTATATGCAAACCAAAAGGCCAAAGATATATGGCATCAAACAACCTCGAACTCCCGGTGCACGTTGAGAAAAATGCCATACTGACATCGTACGATATAGGAAGATCTAATGGTGCGAGTTGACTTTAAAAACAAACATTGGCCAAACATTTTCATTTTGTATAGTAAAAGATAGCCTATATGATTGTCTTACAGGGTGACCCAAAACTGTAACTCTCAAAATTTTGGCCATAATGTTAATAGTGGTATACTTTTAGTGCATTGTCAATTATCATTAGCATTATAGTGGCAAATCTGATTTACACATTTATTTAAAACATCTAGAAATAAATGATGAATTGCCATGACTCTTGAGATATGTCGAAAACAATTTTTTGGACTAGCATTATCTGCTTAATAAGGCACAAAAATCTTAAGTACTTGACTACACTTCATCACCCAAAAAACTCAAGAAGATTCCACAAAGATGATAAGTCATTCATTTTTTTGGGTCACCCTGTATTTAAAATGGAAGAGTTAGGGAGTTCATAAAATATGCAACCTGAACTGATCGACACCGGTCATGTGGTGCAAATGTTGTAAATAAACGTGTCATTGTTTTGAATTTTCTCTGTAATACCAGGCCATGCTATTTAAGGAACAGCTGCTTTAGAAGCCATTGACTTCCTTACAATCTCTTAGTGTACTGTAGTACCAATGGCTAATTTTGTACCAGATTACATAGTGTATCTACACGCAAGTTTTTAGATTAGTGAACAAATAAAACAGTAGGTCAAACTAAGTGTAGTGATATCAACTCATTAATATGATATCATCTCAGGGTAGTGATGTCAACTGAGTGTTAACATGTCTGTTAAAAGGGTTGTGATGTCACTTAGAGTAGTGGTGTCAAATTAGTATCGTAATGTCAATTCATTGTTATGATGGCAACTCAGTTTGGTGATGTCACCTCAGTATTATTAGTTCAAATTAGTGTAGTGATGTCAACTCAGTTTTGTAACGTCAATTCAGTGCATCGAAAATCGAGATGTCAACTTAGTTTTGTGATGTCGCCTTAGTTTAGTGACATCAACTCATTATGAAGATGCCACCTCAATGTAATAACGCAGATGCGAGTAGGTAGTTACCAGATTCACCGCCAGGTGGCTCGTTCGGGTCAGATAGCATGGTGGGTATAGGAGAAAGTTCCCTTAAACTTAAATCACATCTGTTTTAATGATTCAATTTTCATATAACCCTTATGTATCTAATAGTTATGCAAACTGAAATATGTCCAGTAAAAGAAAATGTTATCTATCCAATACAAGAAAAGATATTTCACTTTCTGTGATTTTGTATCATGGGGTCTATGGGGAATCAACCCGAACAAGAAGTCACATTTTCAAAAAAAATTGAACGAAACCATATTTATAGATGTACTTTTACATGCAGATTTCAAATATGACATCACTTTGACTGAATTATGAATATTTAATGACGTAAATAAGGATTATTTCTACTCGCACCTAGTCTATTGTCAACTGAGGGTTATAATATGGATTAAGTGTGGTGTTTTCAACTTAGTGTAAACATATCAATTTAATCTAGAAATACCAACTGCAATATCAACTTGGGTGACATAGAGGTCATCTTAGTGTAGTATTGTCAATTTAGTGCGGGTGCAGTGGGCCTTCTCTCCCTATTATACAGTTTTTGAAAAAACAAAAACAAACAAACATCATATCTGTTTTCATTATATATTTTCTTAAATTATATTTTACATAATTTCATGAAACCATGTAGCAAGTGAAGCTGTCCTACCCTCACAAAATGGCTCAATTTCTGTCTGGTGCTGGTCTGATCAGTCTCTTTATTTGAAGAGCTCTCATATTGTTCCACCTCCTTTTCTAGAGAGCTTTTGTATTTCTCAGCATGTGCCTTTAGCAATTGATAAAGGATACATCGATATGACAAAGGAAGACCTGGAATGTCCCCATTGTTTAATTCTTCTGGGCCATCATCCTCCATCCAATCATCTCCACTATCTAGCACGGCTTTATATTCTCCATAATTTGCATAGTCCATTGTAATAATCTTTAATATGTGGCACATTTCATCGTCATTCAATACCCCTTCTGGTCCTATAACACATAACACTGCTTGTTCCTGGATAATACCTTGTCCTTTAAGAAACTCAAGTCTCTCTTGAATGTGTGTTAGTTCAACATTGGGGTTAGAGTCATTCTCTATCACTTTCAATGCTTGTGAGAAGCAGTCTGGATAAATCTCCACAGTGTCATAGTGGTTATTCCTAGGGGCCTCTGCGAATCCATACATGTGTAGAAGCTGGCTGTTAGATAGGGTTCCATATGTGTTAAACACCTCCCCTCCCTGAAAAATAATGCAAATTCTTACATGGCATTAACATGCAAAATGTCACCACCTGTCATTTATTACAGAAGCCGAATGTCAACCGTCAAACACCAACTGCCAAAAACCGTCCACAAAAGAGTTGGAGACAATAACAATGTGTCACTACTTGTGGTGGTGACATTATAACATAGTTCAGGGATATTGTCTTACAAGGCCATTGTCAATTTAAATGCTAATGTAACTCCATGCCCCATCAGCCCATTAAAATACAACTAGAAATTGCCATAATAAAATGTTTAAAATTTGCTACTTACAATCTAAATCAGAAAACCTTTGTCTAATAATGGGAAATTATCATTTACCTGTGGAATATCCATTGTAGCATCCATTGTTAAAGATTCCTTCCCAAAATGCAACTCAGCATTATTCTTTGCAATATGGTTCAAAATGTCTGCCATCGGGACCATCATCGGGGGAGGATCTGCTCCCTCCTCTTCATTTTCCTCATCTTCATTCTGATTGGTTGGTTCAGTGAAACTGTACGCCATTACAAATGCCACCATTTTCTTGTAGAAATCTAGATTCTGAATTTTGTCCCTATCAATGTGAATACAATAAATATTTCAAAGTGGTTTTATTTAACAAAATTCAACATAAAAATATACAGCCAGTAATAAAGAATAAGTGGAGAAATTCTGGTGAATTCTTTATGACTATGGGGAACACACCTAAATTGATTGGCACATACAGATAGGCCTAACTGATGACTATGGGACTGGATTAGATGTAAATGTTGTATCATTTTTACATGTTTTAAGTAATATCATTAGGCATGGAGAAAGGCACTTCTGATTTAGTTATGATTTTGTTATTTCAATATCTCCAAGTTTTAAAATCAGAGGACCAAAGGTTCTATCATTCATTAAATTAATTTTCATTACATAGACCTTTTAAATATTACTTACGGAAACAACTCTGCATGCCTCTTCATGAATGGCAGCACTATGTTGTTAAACTCATTGTTGATATTATCAATGTCAGTTTTGACAGCACTAATTACTCCTGTTCCCTGCAACTCAGCCTCCACATCATTCCTGGAATTTATTTTTTATTTATTTAATTGTTGCGCCATCTGTCATCTGTTGTACGCAAGAAAATTGCATCATCGGTAGTAGTTACAATGTACAATGTTCCATGTAACTAAGTCTCAACATCATTCTTGGAATTTATATATTTTTTAATTTATTAAATTGTTGTACATTGCTACTACCCATAATGTAATTTTCTTGCAGATGGCTGGAGGAGAATTAGGGGGAGGGTGCACAGTACACTATTATACCTACTCAATAATATTATTTTTATTTCTTAGTTGCAGCTAGACTAAATCAGGTCATAGAATAGATTTGGTCTTATGTTTCAAATTAACTGCATACATGTATTTCAATATAATAAAAAATTGAAACTTCATGCACATCTACTTGAGGTGGGTTCAGTAAGATCAATTTTTAACTTTTCAGTGTTCAATTCTACATGTTAATGGCACAAACTAATTCTTCTCTGCCAACCTAAAATACAACTTACATTGGCCAGAACATTGGCAGGTCAAGCTCATCAAAATCGGGAACAATTTCCAAATATGGTCGCCATTTTGAGTCGGGAATAGATGACTCGTGACAGAGAGTTAACAGTAGTGGTACCCAGTTGCTCTTGCTCTTGATTGTATCAGATTCTGAAAGAATTCTGAATAGTACAATATTTACATTTTAACACTGCAATACGTAATTATGTAGGTCTGTGTTTTTTAAAATTTTATTTTATATCTGACTAAGTTTGAATATGATTCTTTATGTAACAAGAGTATAATTCTATATAAGAACATTTTGAATCTGTTATAACTACTCCCAGAAATCTGATCTCATCATCCTCTTTATATGTTAACCATGTAAATACTATTTTTAAAAATATACTTAATGATAAAGATATGTCATTGACTTCCATGTTAAAAACATCTTGAAATGTGAACACCTGGCAATCTGAAAACTTTTGGCAAGTCCTAGTATATGTAGTGTTCAGATTAGACAGGTTCAACTGTATAACTTTGAAATGATTGAATGCCAGGAATAATTTTGTATAATATGTATAAATCTCATTAAATTACTGTCAACTTTCACAAGTAGCTAATTACATATATATGTGTAAAATTCATTATAATACAACCCTAAATACTGATTTTAGCAATACACTCACCCTTTTCCAATATATCTGCAATTTTACTTGTATCTGGGGCTAGAAGGAGTGCTCGAGGAATCTCAAATAAACACTCTCCCTTGGCGATATCTTTAGTGGCAATCATACCATACTGCGCACACGATCCAGTCTTACTAACCTCTACCTGAAACATACAATGTTGAAAAATACATGTAAGGTCAAGTATCATACAGTTGTTCTGATAGCACAAGCAAGAAACAACATGGGAACTTGTATCAACAGATGACATCAATCTTGGGCATCCAAAAATGAGGGGTGGGGGGTGGGGTGCATTCAGAACTCCTTGGGGTTCAAATGCAAGATATGATGGTGAAGACTATTGTTTTTTAGATGTACATGTCCCCCTTGGAAAAATTTTGAGTATGAGCCTTTCTAATGTACCAATACTAGTACATGGAAGTAGAGTGGCAATATGTATCCTGTGTTACATGATGCCACTATCCCCTCCCTTAGAGCCTATAGGTTATAAAATGACTTAGGAGGGGTAGTCAGTATTCGTCAGACTGAAGGTCAGTCTGAATATTTTCAATCCAAATTTCAAAAAAATTTCATACTGTAGGGTCTGTAGGAGTAGAGGATAGTCTAGTGGGGACTCACCATGAAAGAAGGTTCTTACCTTTGGACTTATATCTAGATTTTCATCCTTACACCATCTCAAGAAATTCGACAATTTTGAATCGAGGTTAGATTTCTTTGTTGCACCGTCAAAATCTGCTGCAACACTGGATTCGTCTCTCTTTCTTTTCAAACTTTCTGACATCTTCAATCTAAGGAAATAAATCAGAAATTTCTTGAAAATTGTCCAGCATTCGGAACTGAAAATTAGCTCAGATCTTGAGTAAAATTTAACAAATATTTATCTAAATTGTGAACTAGATATTCTTTCTGCATTTACCAGACGATAATAGTGATGTAAGCGTCGTAATCCAATGTTAACAGTCGTTTTGTAGACAAAATGCACTTTCCTTCCCACGTTGTTTTGGTGGAAGGTCAAGGTCACTTTTCCTGAACCGGAAGTGGAAGCCATCTTTTCGAATTTTAAAATTTCGAAGTTGGTATAGTTTTTTGTGGATTTTCTCACCATCTGTACACACTTAACGAGGAATGACTTTGCGAGCAGCTTTCCAAGGTATTTTCTATAAAATGATAAGTATATTGTTTTGGAAATATTTCAGATATTAGATAAATTTTAGGTTATTTGAAAAGTGTCACTCCCATTTTTTACTTTTATTTTTAACTTTTCATCTAATTTAAATATAATGTGGATGCGATTAACCCCAGTGTCTCAGGCAAAGGTTTTGGTCATAAAACAAACATAGTGATCCTATACGCTTATATAATTCAGATAAATTTGTTTCATGTGCAATAAACCTATGGCCTCTCTTCCCTGAGCCGTATCATATTCTACAACGCCACTAGAGTCGTTTAATTGCGTCAGTAAAACCTAAAAAATAAGAAATCAAAATATCATCATGCAATAATATATGGAAAATATATTCCTTTTGTGCATGAATGACATTTGTATATCTTGGATTGCTTCTGGTTTGGCTTATAAAGTGTGTGGCCTCTTATATTTGGATGCTTCTCTGCCATGTTATTTTCAATAAGATTAACATGGCTGAAATTCTTCAAATTACAAGAGGGCACAGACTTATTGCACAAAAAACTAGAAAATCTGAAATATACAAATGTCATTCATGTACAATATGAATCTACATTTCCATATATTATTGCACAATGGTCCCCCGATTTCTTATTTTTGGGGTTCTACTGACGCAGTAAAACAGTGAAATGGACTCTAATTGTGTTTGTACGCTCCAACGATTGTTCAGGCAGTGTTTCTACAACGTTGGAGGAACTACTCCACATTGCAAAGTTAAAATACCTACCTTTTTAACATTCCTGAGTATCTTAGGATTCTTTTTACGCACCCATATAATAGGTGATTCAAATGCATAAAAAGAATCCTTAGATACTTGAGAAGGAATGCATCGTCGTAAGTAACACACCAAAACATCATGGGTCGAGGGGAAATTATATGTAAGCCTTATATTACATACTTTCCCCTTGGCCTATGCAAAACATCATCCTGGATGTCTTCAACCCAAGATTAAAAAGACATGTAATATGAAAGGACAACTAGCAGGTTCTATTTCTCTTACATTTTTTACTTTAATTTTAATTTGCGTTCTAGGTGAAAACAAATGACAAAATATTGAGACGACACCAGAAAAAACGCCATCATGTTTAATTTTATGAAAAAAGACAAAGAAGAAAGAGAACGTAAGAAAAAAGAGAAAAAGGAAAAGAAAGATAAAAAGTCCAAAGATAAAGAACAACCGCTCACCCAAGAGGAATTACAACGTCTAGAAGCAGCAAGGCAGGGATTACTCCGATCTGGAAGTGATGTCGGTTACTCCCGCCCTACAGCGGGAAATGAAGTGGAGAGGTCAAAGAGCTATAAAGAAAAGCGTGAACTATTCGAATCGGGAAGCCAATCTAGTCTTAACTCCAATGGATCAAACAATCCGAACAGTTCAACGTTTGTTAGTTATACTAAAGTAGAATTAGGTGGTAACGGACAGAAACAAGGACATGGCCCACCAGTGCCTATTAAACCCAAACGTGGCATTTTGAAAGATAAATCAAGCTATGGAGCAGGTGTATCCCACCCTATTCCAAACCCAGATGATATGCTTTATGGGTCAGCTCTTTTAGAGGAGGTCACTCTCAAGAATGAATTAATGTCTGGGGAGCATACTCCTGTAAATCGCCCCCCACCTAGTCAAAACCAACCCACCCAAGCCAAAGCTTTTAAATCAGTTCCACCAATAGTTATTAAATCTGTAGAATCATCTTCTGCTCACCAATCAGCTTCTAATGGTATTGTTAATGGTGACAGAGAGAGGTCAAATTCGGAGAAATCTGATAATGAAGTTCTACCAAATTTTAGTGATATTCCGCCACCACCTTTGTCACCTTATGAAAAAACCTATGATGTGAATCTGAAACTTCCTCCGATTGCACCGCCCAAACCCTCAAGAATTCGAACCCTGCAGCTTAAACGACAACCCAAAGGAGATTTTGGGTTCACATTACGTCGCGGCTCAGTCTTAGAACGAGGCTATGAGGATAACTCAGAGCGGAAACGAACCGTTATTTTCGCTGAACCTGGAATGGGATTACGCAATGCAGCATCGACTGGATTACTACCCGGAGACCGTCTCGTAGAAGTCAATGGAGTTAATGTTGAAAACTCATCCCGAGAAGAAATCGTTGAGCTGATCAAGAAATCGGGAGATGTAGTTGAGTTGAAAGTGCAGCCTATCCCTGAATTGAGTGAATTAAGCTCAAGAACAAGCAACGATGGGGGAGAAGTTCCACTAGATGAGCATGCAAAGACTGGAACTCTTCAAAGGAGTGGCAGTATGAGATATAAGAAACAACAGGTATGTCCAGTTTAGTAGGTGTGTCTACTGTAATATCATGTTGTACTCTATTTAGCCTCACAAGCTTAAAAGTAGGGGGTCAAACTCAAAACAAGATTTATTTAGATCTGACATCAAACTTTTGATGCCTCCCCTCCCCATTTTTTGGAGGTTCTGTTACATCAGATTTTCTCTGGTTGAGTTTTCCAAAAATGCCAGTTATTTTCCTTTCAATATATTTCCCGATAAGGCTAATTGGGAAAGAGTGGAAGGGTATCTTATGTAATCTGCAGGCTACCTGGAAAAGGTTTTTATGACCTTAAATATCCAAGTACATACAGGTGAACTGTATTGATTTATAGCAATTTAACATGTGATCAATTAATTTATTTCAATTTGAAGTGCCATCAGATCTGATGGTCCAGGTATCATTATGGATTGGTCAACTACCTTATTCACCTTATAAATTACACCCTTTGCAAGAGCTGTCACTTTTGTCTCAAACTCTGAGTGAACAATAAGGTTTTAGTTAAGTGCTCATTGATTGATTTTAGTCAGAGGGTGGGGTAATACAGTTGCAAATGAGCACAGGGTAAAGACAAACATAAAAGTGTGAAATATCAACTGAAGATCATTCTGAATCCTTAGCCCAAGAGTAATTCATTGCATTACATTAGCTGCTATGAAATTAGTGAAGAACCATCTTGAAGGATCCATGACCATTCTGAAACTCAGCATCTTTCTGTTTCACCAGAAAAATCTCGAGGCTGAGAAGAAATGAGATGTCATGGTTTATCATGATGACTGAAGGCTACACATATTCATATTATACAGTCCCTGCTAATTATAGTTTTTAATTTCAAAATTGCATAGTCAATGAAATTAAATATTTCAACAATAGGTTGTTAACTCTGTCATGCCTAGATAACCTAACTGATTAACCCCTTGATCCCTGACCTGTGATGTTAAGTGCCCTCCCATATAATTTACTCTATTCTTGCTATCCTGGTTCATATACCATCTAAATAAAACATTAATTGAATGAATAACTAGGGGTTTTCATGTTAAGATTTTAATGATTTTTCATTTACATTTTGTTTGTTATGTTTTCATTTTTTTGCCTTTGGATTGTCCAAGTTTGAACAAAATCCTTGAGTAATTGATCTTCTGCATATCTCTGTAGTATTGTAAATCTCTATTTTTCATCTATAATATTGCAATTCTGATGGGCAGAGCCATTAGTTACCACTATGCGAGGCGCCAAGATCGATTCCTGGCTCATACGAAACTCTTTTGACTGATTGTTCCACAACTAATAAAACGACTATGTTGTTGTTGGGGGTTTCTGGTTCTGACTTCAAGTGTAAAATTCATAAAATAAAGAATGGGGTATTGCTGCGCTTGAGATACTAAAAACAATATTTAGCGAACACATTTTGGGAGACTTCTGAGTGATATATGATTGCTACTTGAAATACTTCATAACATGTCAGGAAGCAATCAAAACACAAGTAGGTTGTCAATTATAACTCAACATAACATCAACAATCTTTATGCTTCAGATGATTCTATTAAATCATGCAACAAGAAAAACTTGTACATTTTCTCTGGATATCTTTTCAAAATGACCTGTTTATGAGGAATTTGCGACTGTTTACATGTTAAAATGGGGAGAGGGGCTGTAGGGCCTCTAAGTTCTTTCTCTAAGTTCTTTGGGTGCCAGGTATTATGAAACACAGGAGGTAGATTTGCTTCAAACTTTGGTGACCGGCCCCTAGCTAAGACCCTTACAAGCGGATAAGGGGGGGGGGGGGATTGGAGAGAGTCCAGAGCCTTGATGCAATAGGAGGCAAAACACACTCCAAATCAGAATACTCTTGGGCATCAATCTGTAAATAACAGAGAGTGTCCAGTAAATTAGAATGATGCATTTCTGATTCTGAACATAGATATTTTTCATTTCATTTCTATTTTTCTTTTCTATCTTGTTTTTTTTGTAAAACATGACATTTTGAGCACTTGGATGTATGCTGGTATAAACATCAAAGACAGCCAGTAGGCCTGTTCTTGATATGTTTTTGTTATGATCTAGCCAGTCTGCCCTTTTATGACTCAATTTCCTATTTTCCACCACTGGCTATACTCAGTTTCCTGATAGCTAATATTGAAACAAAGATTGGAGGTCATTGTGAACTGTAACGCCTTGTTTCATTGAATATGAATAGGAGAATAGGAGCATATCATAAAAATCAATGCTAATTGAGCTTAACACGGGGGGGGGATCTTTTACAGGTTCCTGAACATGCGGTTCAATTTTAACTTGTCATAAAGTTGTTGAGACCCCCTGGGTATATGTAGGTACATGAGGGGAGAGGATAGGGCGGTGCCTCAGTTTTAATTTTCTTTGATTTAAGCATAAAATACAGAAGGCAGTTTGATGAAGATGTTCATGATGTCTAAATCAATTTCTATCATGTCAGAGACAATCACAAATCAACCAGGGCAAATAGTCATAATTCCAGTCATTTGGTAACTGGCAGAAATCTCAAGGAAAAAGTTTTGTTTAACTTTTGTTTAGCTTTGTTTAACTTTATTACCTTGACATTTAAGCGTTATATTGAAATAGGCAAATACAGTACTAGCTGTTAAAGCTGAAATTGTTTGCTAATTAATCAGAAAACAGTTACAGAGATAAAATATCTAAAATTTAAACTTTAATCGAAAATTGATACAAGCAGCAAGGTGGAGGCAATTAAATGCTTATGACAAATGTGTAATATTGGTATACGCATCAATAGTCTGCATTCAAAATTCTTAGCATTTTTTGCTACTTCACAACGTAGAAACATGATGGAGTTGGGCTTATTTAACAGCAATATTTGTCATTTGTTAGTTAGTACTCGCCCGAATGTGACATTTTGATTTAAAGTCTCTAAATATGTCCTACTCTTTCCAAGTGTACATTGTCAACAATTCTTGGTCATCATATTGTTTTTGTACTTGGCACAAACAAAGCTTCGTATTCATGTCCACCATCATTTCTAACAATATGATCAGGTATTGTATGCTGAAGTTCCATCAATTGCTGGTCACTTGGAGGGAATCAACATTTACTGCCTCATATCTGCAAGGAAAAAATATATATGCGAGATTCGGATATTGTTGAAATTCTATATTTATTCAGATTAGCGTAATAGCAAAGTTGCTCTTGCATAATGCAGTTATACTTCTCGATTATGTTATTTACTGCCTAATTCCATAAATAAACAAATAGTAACCAACCCACTCAACTATATCAAGTGCATTTGGTGTTCATGAGCAACCCATTTGGCTTATTAGTAATAATTATGTTATTTGTTTTTATTTGGCTGTTCCTTATTATTGGTTTATCGGTTGAAAGTTAGATGTTAATAAGGTACTTTCAAAAATATACTAAACAATGCAATTAGACAAACAGAGTATCTTATGCATTTCTAGGAGTTAGGTATAGTAGAGTTAACCATCTACAGGAGAGAGGATGTCTTTTGAAATAAAGTATGAGTATTTTTTATGAACATGCCTGTTTATTAACAGGAAGTCACAAGTACTTTTTGTAGAATTGTTCCAAAAAGTACTTTGAGAGAAACTAATGAATCATTTAGTTCAAGGAAATTTTTTACTTTATTTTTTACCAGAGGTCAGTTAATGAAAGGTCAAATTGAAACTGAAGGTCAAGGTCACATGCATGCATGCAAAAATAAGAAAGAAAACAGTAGGTGTTAGTTCCATGGTTCTTGCCACATAGTAAGTTACCTCTTGTTGTTACTTCGTTTATAGCAACACTTGTACCATAGTCCCAACAGAATGAATGTTATGACAACAGCAACGATTCCTGGGACCACGATGTAGAGCAACAATTCAGTAATATGAAGACCTGTTAAAGTGAAACAAAATAGGTTAAAAGCAACTTTCGTAAATAGACGTGAAAATAAAGATACAAATACTGGTTTAATGAAATCACAGAATGAAATTCTGTGTTAAGAGCTGATGTGAAAAAGTCAGTCCAAGCTATTGGAGATTGATCCCACAACCAATCGCAAAGATACAAATACTAAGAGATCTCACGTAAATAAGAGGGGGGCCAATAATGCTGTATATAGCCTCAGCCCCTCACAATCTATGTAAATAATTGTGTTGAATAATATGAAAATAAATAACAATAACCTATAAAAAAAAACAAAAACCTACTCGTATGTGAGAAATTAGCCTGTAACAATATAGGAAGTTAACGTAACTACAATATGGGTCATGATCCCAAAAATGAAGGAAATGAATATAAGAGAAAAGTAATTTAATTTAAAAAATACAGAATAAAAGCCAATTAGTGACACTGGGACACTGTACAGTACTGTAGCCAAAGTGGCAATGTACAATACCATTAAAGATGTTAGTCTGTGTAGGGATTGAATAATTAAGCAGCTACCTGATTTTGTATACAGTGCATTTGCAGTAATGTTAGAGCTAGAATGGCTGCTGGTGGTTGGTGTTGTGGTTGTTGTTGTTCTTGAAATTGTTGTTGTTGATGTAGTAGTAGTTGTTTGTAGTTCTCGGGCAAGCTGACCACCTGAAAATACAATGGTTTCATTGATTGCAATACCAAAATAGATCGGCTTTCTCAAAATATCAAAATAGGCTTTCTTGAGAGGGGGTTCATTAGCAGCAGGTGATTTTCACCGGTTGTTTTCACAAAATCGCCTGTTGTCTTTAGAGACTTTTCTACTTTTCCATGTTAAGTTTATATGATTTCCATTAATTTTGCCTGTTGTTTTCATTTATTTAGCCTGTTGTGAGAAATTCTAGTGATAACCCCTGAATTTCTTTAAGACAAAATACCTGAATTAATAATATTGAGTTTTGCAGTTTTGTCAAAGGGTGGTGTGCCTCCCTTAGGATAAACACGACACTGATAAACACCAGCATCCTCTGTTGTGACATCATTGATCTGAAGATTGGCATTTCCCGAAATGGTGTATTTGGTTGGGTTAGAATTTACTCCAGTACTACCCACATAAATGAAATCATCCCCTTCCTTCCATGTAATGGTCCATCCTTGAGCCACCTGATCAGCAGTAAGGGTGCAAAACAATGTCACTGTACTTCCAACTGTTGCTGTAGTTGTTTGTGGTTCTATGGCAAGCTGACCACCTGAACATACAATAGTTTCATTGATTGCAATATCAAAATAGATGCTTTCTTGAGAGGGGGTTTCATTAGCAGATAGGCAACAGGCGATTTTTACCGCTTGTTTCCACAAAATCGCCTGTTGCTTTTAGGGACTATTCAACGTTTCCATGTTAAGTTTATGATTTCCATCAATTTTGCCTGTTATTTTCATTTATTTAACCTGTTGTGAGAAATTCTAGTGAGAACCCCTGCATTTCTTTAAGACAAAATACCTGAATTAATGATATTGAGTTGTGCAGTTTTGTCAAAGGGTGGTGTGCCTCCCTTAGGATAAACACGACACTGATAAACACCAGCATCCTCTGTTGTGACATCATTGATCTGAAGATTGGCGTTTCCCGAAACGGTGTATTTGGTTGGGTTATAATTTGCCCCAGTACTACCAATATATATGAAATCCTCCCCTTCCTTCCATGTGATGGTCCATCCTTGAGCCACCTGATCAGCAGTAAGGGTGCAAAACAATGTAACTGCACTTCCAACTGTTGCTGTAGTTGTTTGTGGTTCTCGGGCAAGCTGACCACCTGAAAATACAATAGATTCATTGATTGCATTATCAACATTGATAGGCTCTCTTGCTAAAACCTAAGGTGTCTTCTTTGGTCTTACTCGAAGAAAGGGATCTCCCCACAACACATCAAATTAATTCTAAAACATACATTTACCAAACAATCCAATGTGCACAAGTTTCAACATTATGTCACCGCTTTTGATGTTGACATGAAAACCATTATCTTGATTAAGCCTAAATTTACAAGGTTAATATGTAACACATTTCATCTTAAGAAAGTCGAAGTAACTTAAATGTTAGGCAATATGACATTCAAAGCAAATCTGTACAGTAGTTGTTTCATATCTACAGTAAAGGAAAATGGTAAGCAGGTACATATTTACATTTACAGATGACACTGTCACCTCCCATGCATGTGACAGTGGTACTGTCACATGTTCAAATGGAAAAGGGTACATCAATTTTAAAAATTGTTTAAAGTCTCAGCGTAGTTAACAGGAAGTGACAAATGAGGAAGTCCCAAAAGCAAATTCTGGATTTTTTGATTCTTTGATCTAAGATAACAGAGTTATGTTTTGGCCTTCTGTCAGTTTTACTACTAATTAGTATTTTAAAACTAGTTCCACATATCATTTACTTGACCAGGATCACAATGGGCTTGGTCAAAATGACCCTAAACATGATGAAATAGCTTTTTCAGCCCTCTGACAATTATAACTGAGAAATAGTTAAAAGTTGTAATTTGGGAAAGGTCACCAAATGGTATATCTTATCAATTTTTTTTAATGATGGGAGCCTTAAAAATTTGAATCCATGTAGAAATAGAAAAAAGAAAAGAAAACTGTTTTGGAAAAGAATTTATTTCCCATTTTATTAAACCAAATATTCCATTCTCACGCGGTACTAACTTCGACCGTTAATTTGAATTTTTGACTTACCAGATGTTATGCTTTGAATGGAACAAGTTTGAAGAAAAATGGTGCAGTATGAGACTCGTTAAAGATTTTCAAACATCTAGTAGGTCAAAAATTCAAATTAACGGTTGAAGTTAGTACCACATGATTCTAGTATATTTCCTGCAGCCTGTGGAATATACAATTGAAAACTAGGCTGCATGAAGACTTGACAGTCATACTAATTTTAATAATGTGATCTGTTCTTAGCCAATGAGAAAGCGAGAGACCTTCCAATGATTATATTTACATCAATTTCTCCATAAAACCCCAATGTGATATGTAAAAATTACCTTGATGCTTTGATATAACACAATTCAGTCCAAGAAAGAGCAGAGGCCATATTGTGTCTAATTGTTTAATATACAAGAAGTTGTGTGGAAAGTTATAAATCAACATTTTCTCTTTTTTTTCCTTCAGCGGGCTAGTTAAGTTAGTGTATTCCTCCAACTCCAGTTATAGGTATGCTCAGTTGATAGCCAGTTTTTTAAGACAAGATCTTCAACTCAATATCAAAACGAAACCAAAAACACATTTTCTTATCAGTGACAAATAGTATAATTTTATTGCATACAGGTCTTCAATGACAGTAATATGTCTATTATTTGATTACATAAACGGTGTACAATGATTCAGGTGTATAAAGATATAAGTGCTTAACCAAATCAAACCAAACAATGAACCAGATACATTTTCTTGTCTTGAATGGATTTGAGACTGGCACTGTTACCTAACAAATGAGTTGAGATGTATTCAACTAACATGATGCCATACTCACACTGGAATAGCCTGACAACGGTAAAGTCAGATACCGCTGTCACAAATGGCGGACATAACCGTCGCTTCAACTGTTTAATCACTTAATCACTAATTCTGTGCATGTATTAAGCTCTTGTGCTGATGTATCATATGAAATCCCAATTTCGATCAAATTGGATCGTGAATCGCCACAATATAGCGTCTTTGACATCGTCAATGACAATGGAATCTGAATTTGAGTAATTTAGAAAGACAACGGCATATGGTAATTACAGTGTCCGTTGTCCCATATCTCATTTTGATCGGTTGAATTAAAGACTTTATTTTGATGGTAGAACATTGTTAACTGTACAATGAGTTTTTAGACACTTTGATTCAGATTGTCGTTCCAAAGGAATTTAGTTTAGGTGCTCTGTTAAACATACAGTTCATGAAAATCTAATTGAAGCGATGGTTATGTCCGCCATTTGTGACAACGGTATCTGTCTTTACTGTTGTCAGGCTATTCCGGTGTGACACTGTAAGGTTAATTCCAGCTCATTGTCAGAATCAACCTGGCATGCAATGATCATTTTCTCAGCAGGTTGATCGTACCAAAATTGCCTGTTTAAAAGGAATTTGTGACTGTTTCTATATTAAAATGGGAAAGGTTAGGGCCTCTTATCTAAGTTCTTTGGGTGCCAGCTTGCCATGTATATGAAACGGAAATTACACAACCAATGTGCACTTTAAAATCACGGTACCGTACGGTACATTATGATTACATTAATATTTCATAAAATATGGAACTAATATTGAATATTTAATGCAGAAATGTCCAAATTCAGTAGACATTCTGCTAAACATTTTCATGAAATAAAATAAACCTTGGCATTCATTGCAAATAAACAGAACAAGAATACTGTAAGGAAAAAAGATCTTGAGATCTTTAAATAAATAGCCGCAGCTTGTCTCTATCTTATATTGCATCTTTTAAATTCCTATTGGCTTCTCTATGTCAACTATTTTATTTTTCTTGTTTGGTAATTGTTAAACACTGTGTATGGATACCAAGGTTTCTAAAGGTTCATGAATTCTTTAATATTCTGTTTGTGTATTTGTAAGTTATGATTCATCCAAAAACATGGTTTCGTATTAAGAAAAAAATGTCTAATTGGCAGATTTAAGTGCTTGACACATTTCCCCTTCAAAGTTTGAAAGGGTATACTTAAAAAATGTTCAACCGTAGAAATCTAACAAAACAATCTAATTTTAAGTTAAACTGTTTCATTTATTATTGCCCTAGCTTAATTCACTCAATTAAATGAATATGCCAAATGTATTTTTGTAACTTCATGGGGTCCTTGTAGTTTATTTAACATACTGCAAACCTAGCTGTGAAATGTAACATTTTGTTGGTTTGTTATACTTTTTCCAATACTGCTGAATTCAGTCTCGCCCCTGTTATTTATTTATGCTGATTTTGCAAATTAAAATAATGAAACAATGAAAACTAAAACTAATTGTAAAAATTTGGATTTTCTCATGCATATTCATCATTTGATTTTTAGGCAAACCTCCAGAAAGAACATGTTAGATTTTAAACATATTCTAAAGATATAATTGATAAAATATGAATGTTTTATAGTCATTTTTTGGCAGAGATCAAGTTAAGAAAATAATAGAAAAATATAGATAAGTGCATATTGTCACTGCGAGAGTGTAATTCTCCACGGGACACGGTGATAAATTGATCAAATCTAATTTGATAGAGAAAACTTTGCCAAAGTCAAAAATAAGAGATCCATAAAGTCGTTACGACTTATTCATTTTGTGTGCTCTTAATAACTGCCCAAACCTTTTAAAATAAGAGCATCTTGAGATACATTTAAATAATACGGAAGGTCCAGTTCTTTGGAAATGCAATTTTGAATCTTTTTTTTTATCTAAGAATGAATTTCCTCATCTCATTTTGAACACTAAAATACACAACACATCAAATATAGTAAATAAGTAAATAGGTAAATCTGTATTAAAACTTCCCAGGTTTAATGTCTATACCTAGCTTAAGACTCTGATTGCCTGGAATAAGATTACATTTATTTTGAAATACAAAGTACAGTAAAACAGAAAGAACTCCAACAAAAATGAAGTACTGAGCGTAAAATGTTAACTTAAAATTGCATAGAAATATCCAAATTTTGGCAGTTCATTCAATTTGTAGAGAGAAATTGTATGGAATAAACATGATAAGAAGTACATTTTGGGCACAACTTATTTGTTACATGGAGATTATCTCAAGTGTGTTGACCAATGCTTTCACAGAGCTGATTTGTACTTTGCCTAAATGTCCATCTGTTCATGCTTTTCCACTCAATTTCTCTCTTAAATTGAATGAAATGCTTAATTTTCTGCCATTTCTATACAAATTAATGTCTTGCCAATCATTCCTGCTGATTTTATTCCTTGATAATTTTTTGAGTATCTTCTGTTTTTCAGATTTTAAATTTAAGCCCGTGATATTTTCATTCTAGGAATGTTGCATTCTAAAATTCCATTGTTACTCTGATCACAAACTTGAATTCTTGATAATATCTAAGATTTAAAAAATGTTTGACAATAGGGTTGCCCAGTAAATCTGATATGGAATTTAACCTCAATGAGAAAATAAAGATGTTCTATCTTTAAATACAATATGTTCAAGAGTTAGGCCATAAATGTTAATTGTCTGTTTTAGTGAGATTTTCATTTTTAAAAATAACCACATTGACTCTAAGTTTTATTTGACCACCATAAAGTGGTGACATGTTGTTTCCTTTGCGACTGTAATTGGCATTCAGTGTTGTCGTCTGTAACATTAATGCTTTCACTTTGTAATTGCAACCTATTGCCATGTTAATTTCTTGTTTCATATTACACTGTACCAAAAGATTTTGTTTTGACCAAAAAGGAACCACTAAACTGATATTGATTTGAAAGAGCCTCATTGATAACAGTCGAACCAATCAGCTCAGTCTCTTTTCACTTTAGTTGAACATTTTTTTCATTTTTTTCAATTTATTTTAAAATTTCCTCACCTTGATAACTCAGAGTGGTGGATATATCTCAAAGAATGAATAAAATGGGTCATTGTTCAATTTCCACAAAATCTGTATTAGAATTTGTGTAATTTTCTGTTCAGTTACCAAAATGAACATCAAACATAGTGTATTTAGGTAGAAATATGGCAAGCAAGCAAAATCTGAAAAATGCTCTGGTATTCAAGAGTTTAAGAATTAATGGCAAAAATAGAGTAAACTTTTACTATATCTTATTGTTGAATTACTTCAAAACATTAACTAATGTCTTATTATTTCTATTAACCTTTGCACTATGTGTATTTCTAGGCCAGATCAGATGTGCAGCTTGCAGAGACGAAGGCGTGGTCTGATGGCAATCACGTATGGCTGGTACACAAAGGAGGCTTTGCGGGAGGCAAACTACTCAAAGAGGCACCTGAGAAGGATGGACACGTTAAGATTCAGTTGGACCATGGGGAGGCGATTCTTGAAGTCGATGAGGAAGATGTTCACAAGGTATGTCATTTTTACTGTAAAAGTCCTAATTGTCATCGTAATGGCTGCTATTCATCTTACCTTACCTTTCTTTACTGTGAACTTGTAATTGAACCATATAATTCTGTTATCAACATTCAACTGGCATATTCCAGTTTTTTTTAGTTCTTAGTAAATTGGGCAGTTTGAAAAGTTTAATTATTTCGCTATCACCTTCATTAAGTAAAATCAGTATAACAGTATTGATGAATATATTGAAATAAAGAAAGAAATTGTTTTTAACCTTATGATAAAATATTTCAAAAAATTTTACATTCTATGACATTTTTTCACTTCAGGCAAATCCACCAAAGTTTGACAGATGTGAAGACTTGGCATCACTTCGATACTTGAATGAGAGCAGTATGTTGCATACTTTACGTCAGCGCTATGGAAGTAACCTGATCCATACATACGCTGGTCCCTCATTGGTCGTTTTTAACCCCATGCATCCTCTGTCCATTTACTCGGACAAGGTAAGTCGTTTTTCAAGAAATCTTTAAATTGACAGTGTAATGGATTTTGTTTTGCAACTTAGGCACAGTGTTGCTTAAATTTTGTTTTTCACAGTAAATGCAGAAAATATTTGATAGAAACAAAATTTGACAAATCTAAACTTGTTTTAGAAAACCTTTGATACCAGAAGATTGTGAGGCTTATAACAATTAAGTTTATTGATTAATACACATTTGTCGTCTGCTACCATTTGTTGCATTATGGGATACTTGCAGGTGATCCAGATGTTTAGAGGCTGCAAACAAGAAGATATGCCACCTCATATTTATGCCACAGCGCAAGTTGCCTACAGATCCATGCTAGCAACACGTCGTGATCAATCCATCGTCTTTCTTGGTCGAAGTGGAAGTGGGAAAACGGCAAATGCGAAACATGTCATGCATTATCTGACGGCAGCTGCAGGATCAGTCAATAATTTTGTTACAGGTAATTCACATCTGCTGTATAGCATTGCATTATGGGATACATGTGAGTTGTGTACTGGGAAGTTTTGGATATGGGGATTATCCCGAGGGACGTATCTACAAAGTATACCGCCTGAAGGACCCAGGGGAGATATTGATGTTTTTTAGGAACAGACCCTGTATCCCAAGCAGAATTTACATATCTAGCATAACTTATACTTCTCAAGACTTTTTCAACATAATGAGATTTTTAAATAGTAAGTTGTCCTCTAACTAGTTCATAAAATTGATTATTGCTATAAATCAAAATAAGTCCAATGAAGATTGCTAGAAATATTATTGCATAATTCTTATAGGGCCAATAATGGTTTAGCAGAAGCCCTATTCTTTAATTTAAAAAAAAAATTGGGAAAAATATAAATGTTGCTTTTTTTTGCTTCAGTTGACAAGCTCAACGCTACAGGGGTGCTTTTAGACGCTTTTGGGAATAGTCGGACTATAATGAACACAAACGCTTCAAGGTTCTCCCAGATTACAAGCCTTGATTTTGACCATTCGGGTCAAATTGCCGGTGCTTCCATACAGGTGATCATTATTATTTGCAAGAGTTCAATTTCATTTTCACTCTTTAGATTTGAGATTTTTCTGAAAGTTTATATCCAATCACAAGATGATTAACTCTGCAGGAGTTGAACTTCATTTTCACTCTTAAAGATTGAACGTATCCTCAGCTAGATTCTATATTCAATCATAAGATTACTTTAGAAAATCTTGTTGCATCATCTGCCAATAACTAGCAAACATTCATGTGATACGTTACCAAAAGTAAAAAATTACATTATTTTTCTTTTCCGATCTGATGGATTTAATTCCGATGTGTGTGTCATTAACTTTTGATTTGACTTTTATTCAGGTGCTTATGTTGGAGAAATCACGGGTTGCTAGGCGACCAGAGGGAGAGCCAACTTTTCATATTTTCTATCAGATGTTAGCGGGTTTAAGCTCAGAGTTGCGTAACCAATTGCAGCTGAATACACTGAATGAGCCCAACCTGTATATGACACCACTACAACGTGTAAGTGAAATAAAACTTTACAATGATATTAGGATTTCCCAATCATTTTTACTTAATTTTATTGTGTAACCACAGAGAAGAGGTGACATATTGCTATAAAGGCTTGTTTTTGTTATGTTTTTTATTGCATATTATAATTGAAATATTTAAAGTTAGGAGATTTTGTTAAAATATGATTTGTTGTGTCTCATGATTAGATAGAAACTTTATTGTTCTTTTTGAGATTATTTATTCAAAATAATATTGAGGAGTTCATTCCTTGCTTGAAAGCATAGGGCTTCAATTTGAGATATTGATTCCAGTTCGAATTTTTAAATCTGTGTTTTAACCCTTAGGCTGAAGATCGTCAGAAAGCTTGCCAGTCCTGGGCGAAGATCCAGCATTCTATGACCATATTAGGTATACGGGATGATGAAAAGATCGCATTACTCTCTGTCTTGGCAGCAATTTACCATTTGGGGACAGCAGCCGCTGTAAAAGGTATGTTTTTGAACTTTTTTTTATCATGACACAAAAATGTGTTTAATGCAGGCTTGATTGAAAATGTAAAAAGTTTTTGAAAATTAAAAAAAATTGTCGGAATGACATCATGTTCAATAGGTGCATGATTTACTGTAGCGGTCTATTATAACTATTGATTTCAAAATTAACATTTGCTGTTAATGATGAAATGGTTTTAACCAGAAATACAGCGTGATCACTAAGTTCTGGGAATTTATCTGTCATTTCATTATTTTTCAACCAATTTACTTGAAATTTTCAAGGTAAATGGGGAATGTAATTTTGGGTTGGATAAAACATTCTCATTGTCATCTGATGTCACAATGGATAATTATTGTTACTATAGCAACATGATAAATGGCGTAGCGGGTCAAGTAAAATAAAAATGAATTCAGATTTTGCTTGATCCAAAAGTATGGTTATTAAATACCTATTTTGTTGACATATTGATGTGATTATTTATGTTTTCAAATACTTCTAACTTTAGTTTCTAAAGTAACACCTTTATTGTTATATAAGAGTGTACTTTGCTCTATTTTTGTATCATTCATCAGCATCCCAAAGTCACAGCCATGACTCAAAATAGCGGGGAGTTATTTATCTTCCATTATGACTATGCTCCTTCCCATTACTCAAGCTGCCCTTACTACTCTTGAAGAACTATGGTTCACACAAGTTATTACTGCCCCATATTCACTAGACAATATTCACCAGATGAAGCAGCATTAGGCTTCACTACATTCTGGGTACTAAAGCATTATATGAGAGGTCATAAGTTTGATTCCGATAAGGGACTGATTTCAACGGCTTGAGAAAATCTTCAAGGGATACTACAGGGATGACTGGAACACATATTTATGGACTAAGTTTGTCAACAACGCATGTGCGTCCAGGCTAATGGAAACAATCATAAAGGAAATGATCCTCTCAGCAATGAAGAATATTTCTGAATAAATGACTTTAAGAGAACTGTTCTACCTCTAGTACAAGTAGTTTGAAGCAACCATCTAGGCAAGATAAATATGTTTTGCAGGAAACTTTAAGATTAACATCAGTCAAAATTTGCTGATCCGCGATCCACTTTTACTTTTTTTGTAATTACAATAAAATAAATTATAGATGTGATATGTATTTGAAACATTGCTTGTCAATTCAGAATTATACGATGTTCACCTGCTGAAAATTTCAACTCAAATGGTTGAGAAATCTTGAAATGGCAGACCAATTCCCAGAACTTAATGATCACCCTGTACAATTAATGAATAAACACAATGTGTTTTACAGGGAACAGTGGGAAATACCAATTTGCACGACCAGCTGCAGCTCAGAAGGCTGCTAGTGCCCTTGGGACAACCCCTGAGGATCTTGCACGGAACATTTTCTCCCCAGCCCCAACAGCCTCTCTCCCTAGACCTTCTCAGTCCTTCAGGTTAGTGTCGTCTGCTATGTTTCATTGCATTATGGGATCTCCCGATCTCTCCTTTTACACAGATAAATTAATAAATGTTGTATTACATGTTTATTATTTTGTTGCTCATAATCCTGTTAGTGATGAATTCTTGTTTTAATGTTACCTCCCTTGATGTCTTCATGGACTAATCAATTCAATCAAAGTAGACCAATCCACTAGTTCATCAGACAACATTAGAGGGGTGTTAACCTGATTTTATATTTCAGAAGTCCATCTCCTCTTGGAAAAATGGATTTTGCCGAGGTGTCCAATGGTATTGAAGCCCTGGAAGGATTTGTTACAGGCCTCTATTCTTCAGTCTTTGATGCCCTTATTAGTCTTATTAACAGGTATTTTTTGATGTTTGATATAATCCAATGAATTACTGGATATTTGCGGCTCTTGGTTAATTCAAGATGCATTATGCCACATATTCTTTTGAATGATTACTAAATTACTAAGTAATGAATTACAAAGCGTTACTCAGAAACTATGTAAACTATAAGTCAGTGAAAACTACTCCAAGGAAAAAAGTAAAGATACCCCATGAACTTGAACTTTGTTTTTATGCAGAGCATTGTTGTCGAATCATCGTAGTAACAACTCAATCATTGTGGTAGATGTCCCAGGATTCCAAGCTCCTGCGTTATGTGGCAGGACTGGTGGTGCCACCTTTGATGACTTGGGTCACAATTACTTGCAAGAACGTCTCCAATTGTTGAACCATGACCTGACTCTAACATCCCAGTTAGACGTTTATGCACAGGTGAGTAACGTCTGCTTGTTTAATTGCATTATGGGATATCAATTATATTATCTCCTGACCATCACATCCCATGACATCTTTGTACATGCATCAACTGTTGAGTTGAATTGCATAATGGGATATCTTACATTTTATACTCAATTTTACTTTTGACTTTTACATCTCAATTATTTGATTTATTTGTAAAAGTTAAGTGTCTGCTTACTTATGTTGCATTATGGGATATGTCATATTTTATTCTCTCAGCCTCAAACTGTCACTTTGAAGTCAAATTGCATCCTTATTATTTAGTATAGAGGAAATGAATATGATTAACAGCCATTTTTTTACCTGCGATGTGAAGATATTCATAGATGTCCTTGTATTTACTCTTGATTACCATTGTATTTACACTTTTATTCATGTGTCATATTACCAATGATTCCCATTGTGGTTTACCCATGATTCCCTTTGTGGTTTACCCACGATTCCCATTACGTTGTAGGAAAACCTTGACCTTGATCTAGAGGAGGTGCAAGGAAGTCCAGAGGCAATGGTCAGCCTTTTAGACAAAGCTTCACAGCAGGCCATGGTAAGACATTCCTGTTTAGTTATTTCTTAGATAATGATTTTTTTAATTTTTTTAATTCAATTTCAACTACTTTGTTACATTTGAATAACTGTTGTGATAATGAAATGTAATATAGTAATATTTAATTGAAAAGATAACAACATAACATTAACCTTTTCAACATTGTATCAAGAGATATGTTTTGTTAAATAATTTAGGAATTTCATCTAGATCCCTCTTTCTAACATCTCTCTTTTTCTTCAGGTGAGATCTGGTAACATCAGTGACAAGGAACAAAGAGGGTTGCTATGGCTACTAGATGAAGAAGCCATTTTCCCAGGATCCTCAGAGTCCTCTTTTATGGAGCGACTCTTCATGCATCATGGTAGCCCTGCCGATAAGCGTAAGTTCTCATAAAAAGATTCCTGTCATGTGGGTCACGTTATACAATGCACAATAGTAGTAGTAGTATGTGGTCAACAATTTAAGTTGTATAGAATGTGAGACAATCATGCACTTTATTCAGATATTGTAGAGAAATTGTGATGAATATACATGACCTAAATGACATAATTTTGAAATTTGTAAAATTTCATGTAATATTTTTTCTGGACATGATATTTCAGGCAATACTTCTACAATTTTTTTTGAGTGCCTTTTTTTATTAGAATTTATTCATTCAAGGGGGTCAAATACATATTTCCAATCTCCCGAGGGCATTATAGGAAAAATGGACATTTGAACAATATATATTAATACATTATTTGCCAGCATCTTATTGTATTTGTATGTCTTTATTGTATTGTGTAAATGTTTACTAACTGTATAGTCCTATGTTTCTTGTATTGTGTATGTTTATTGTATTTTTTTGTATATGTATTTGTTTAGTACTAAGTCCTAAGCGAAAGGCACGTGAACGGCGTCAAGGTAACTGCTTGGTATAGAGTATATGTAGCTTTGTGCTTTAGGGAAAATAGCAATAGCATGACTTGAACAATAGGCGCCAGGACAACATAGATAGAATATAGAATCTTGCTCGCAGCATCATGTTAGGCTAGAATTGTATCTTATATGCTATCGATGTTGAGAAATAGGCGCCAGGACAACATTGATAGAATCTTGCTCGCAGTATCCTGCTAGGCTCGAATTGCATCCTATATGCTATTGATGTTGAGAAAATAGAAATAGCACGAGTGATGACCAATAGGCGCCATGGCAACATTGATAGAATCTTGCTCGCAGTATCCTGCTAGGCTAGAAGTGTATCCTATATGCTGTTGATGTTGAGAAAATAGCAATATCATGAGTGTCGAGCAATAGGGGCCACGGCAATATTGATAGACTTGTGCTCACAGTATCATGCTAGGCTAGCCTAGAATGGTATATTCTATATGCTATCACTGTAGGGTGCATGGGTCTGTACTGCGTCATAGAAATCTACATAGTGGTACTGTGTCAAGAAATTAATGTGAATTATTTGTTGTCCCTGAATATGACAGGTTGATGAACATATTATATTAATCTATCTGTTCTTCATGTTTTAATCATTGGATTTACTGCTCTTTGGAGTTGCCATTTCTTTTCAGAGTCTTCTACATCTCTTTTACTTTGGCCTGCATATTTTAGAATGCTCCAAAATACTGCTTAGATAGTGCAGCTGAGCATGTGTCCCTCTTTCTTTGAATTGAATACTGTATAGGTGGAAATATTCACTGTGCTCTAATTTCACTGTTTCCAGTGTGAACAAATCTTCGATGAAATTCAAAACACAGTGATACATTATTTAAGGAATAATGACCGAGATTTTATAATTTGTGGTGTAATAAATGACTGAAAATGTTATTCTGTTCATTGTTAAAAGACCGAAATCGCGTAGTGATTGAGTGATATGACATAAATTATTAAATCGAGGTCTTTGTTACGATTCTAATATGATAAATAGACAAGAAACACAACTATACGCATTTATGAATTTTAGCGGTCATACATACTCCAATATAGACCAGTAAATCAATTGTCCTAGCTATTGTGCATCACGTATCATATTAGAATTAACATTATAGTATGAAGAAAATCCGTCCATCAATGAAACTAAATCCCAGTCAGTCTACATTTCAGGATATTCCTTCAGCAATTAGCGTACCTGTCATGTCAAAAGCTTCAATTGTTTGTATGTGTAATATCTCTTGTTAACTCTGCTTATGTCTATTTAAAGTCATTCCATAAAGCACAGCCTGAGTGTACTTGGATCACACAACATTACAGTCTATAAGATTAAGCTTGTATTCCACCCTATTCCACCCTGCGGAGGAGCTCCATAAACGTACCTCCGCACCCAATATTTAGAGGGGGCTCATATCTGAAGAACATTTCCAAATTTTTATAAAATCACACAGATACTGCCTGGCTTCCAAGATGCAAAAATAATTTGCATGGGTAGTGTATCTTGAACACCATTTTTTATGAATGCTGGGGACGCAGTATTAAAAAGGATAGTCTCAAACTATATAGGTCTGGGAAATGTTTAAGGCATACTGCGTCGCTATAAAATGAATTGCACTACTATTTTCACAATTTTATTGATATTTGGTGTCAAAAACACATATCTTGGTATATTTGAAGTCCCAAAACGGCTTAGTTTCAGAAATATCCCAATTTTAAATTCAAAAATGACCGTTAGCTCCGCACCCTCCGCTCATTTGCGCCGCACCCAATATTTCCCACAGGCTCTGTCTGCATAGGGTGTATTCGCGAATGCAACTTACGCCTGTTGGCTAGTGGATTAACTTACTGTTTTATGACCAACTCATTTAAATATGAATGGAATGGTGGCAGGTACTATTCATATTTAAATGAGTTACCCATAAAATAGTAGGTTAATCCGGTAGCTGACAGGCGTTAGTTGCATTCGCGAATATACAAGTTTAGTCAATTATGGACTAGTTATTCCATCAAATGACACTTAGTGGAATATAGAAAAAGGCCTCTGTCTGTATGTTTGTATGTCTAATCCAAATATGCATGTGTCAGTTGGCTTCTCAAAATGGCTGTTTGTTTCAAAATGGAATGTGTAACCTCCCATGAAGGAAGATGTTACAATTATCAGAGTGGGCCATAGTCTAATGGCAGCTTTTTTATTGTTGACAATCTGTTTATAATGTTATTCTGGTTTCAGTGCAAATATTATTCTATTCGATACGTATTTCTCATTTCTTTAAAAATCTATTGGCCATTTTGAAAAAGATTGCATCCATTTTTACACTTTTTTTGTTGGAAGTTATGATATCCATTGTTTGAAAACTGTTGCTGGGATTAAGGTCAACCTGACATTCCATTTATCTTTAGAATTGCATTAGTTCCATGTGATTTTATATACAGCAGGATGTAACCTTTGATCTTTAGTATATCACATAGAATTTACAGGAAAATGAAATCACATCAAAGAACAAATCAAGTACGACATATGTTATATAAAACTTTCTGATACTTAGACCAACTCTGCCTTGCAAAGAGGAAAGTTGATAAGAGGCTGTGATATCTCAGGATACAGAAATGATCAAATTATTTTTTTAATTCACAGTAGTAGTAATGATGGTTTGGTATCTAGAATATAGGGCCGCAGTTAAATGATAAACAGGCCCAGAACATGTTTGATATGTGACTGTATACAGATTTATTGGGCCTGAATTACCCAACATGGGCCCAGAACATGTATTTATAGTAATTTTATATCCTGTTTTAGATAAACAATGGGATTTTTTTTACATTCTTGCATATGCTTTTTAGGGCAAGGAATGTTACGTCATGCCAACAATGAAAACCAGTTTACTTTGGCTCATTTCCAAGGCAACTGTCCCGTGACTTATGACTGCACTGGTTGGTTGAAACTGTGTCGGGAAAATCCATTGACGAAAGCCGCCGCGACAGTATTAGCTGACTCACAGAAGTAAGTGCATATTTTATAAATTGTAATTGTCTTTATTATTGATATTTAAAGTTCGTCACACAATTGAATATCTGTCAGGCTGGGTGTAGTCAGAAGAAATAATTTTAATGTCATTTCCACACTGACTATTGAGCTCTAGATATTCATTTTATATGACAATTTAGAATATAGATTACTTCAAGTTAACACCCAAAATGTAGTTGCTTTGCAAGCCATTCAGTATAACTGTTCACAATGTTTCTTACATTATTTACATTTGTTTTAAGAGGCTGTTTTTTGTTAGTGTGATCTGGAATATTTTTTTTTTTGTTTACATATTGTATATATTTATTGACAATGTATTCAATATATTTCTGATTAACCGTTGCCATTTAGGCAATCGTTGGTAAGCCTTGTATACACATTTAAGTGATGAAACATTTTATCTTTAAAATATATTGCAATAAAAGTTTTAATTTTGAAGTTACTGGCATGTGTCAACTCATGAGTAACTAAAAACAGGTGTATTTATCTTATATAGCAAATCGTAAATACATGACACTTGGATATGTATATTTTGAAAACCTTGATGAAGGATACTGGATGGTATAACATAATATACAGCAAGGATGACAGCATAGAATACTATTCCATGTTGGGGTTGCTAAGTAAAATATGGACATCCTGATCTAAAATAGATCAATACTGATTTTGTAATTCTCTCGAAAGGAAAACCATCTCATTTGAACTTTGCTCTGGAATATCACAGTTGACAGGAGACCTATTTTTGTCTTCATTCAGAATTACATTTAATTAACATTGTTCCTCCTATATCACATAAATATCTACTCTTTTTCACTGATGATCTTTCGTGCTTGGAGTTTTAATTTTAGTTCATCCGATATACTAGCATCCACATTGTTTTCACTACTTGGCATCTTGCTATTCCTTTTACCCTTAGGTTTGTAAGCATTAGGCTCATCATCAACATCAACATCATCATCTTCACCAAGCATGTGGTACAAATTAGCAGGGTCACCAATGTCCACATATGAATGGAGGCTTACATTGTCCTCATTTGAATTTGGTTGGTGGAAACTGTTGTCCTGGTTTGATCCAGGATTCTCAGGTTTCATCTTCTTCAAATCATTGATGAAATCTTCATTCAAATAATCTGGCTCAAATGCTTCATTATTGTGTGAACTTGTTTGTAACACACCATTGTTTTGAAAGGCATCACCTGTGGATTATAAAGAAGTTTTAATAGCTAGGAGGGCAATACAAATCTTCAATATCGACAAAATTGGAAATATACTTGCTTATTTTGAAAAAGAAAAACTGTACAGAAATTAAACAATGTAATTAGGCCTATGTATAATGTATAATTGTATATATGTTTTATTCTTGAAATATAGTTTTAAAAAAAAAACAAAAAAAAACTGTGGATTATATAGTTATTAACATTTAAAAATGCGTATTCATGTTAATTAATTTAATATTCCATGGTTAAAATGATTTTTAATTACATTATGGTTCTTTATACTCTTATCAGAAATTGTTTCATATTCTTAATGAATCTTTGTTTAACTTCATTGTAAATGAAATGATCAATCCTATTTGGGTTTTGAATTGTAAATATAATTCCTAAGTGGGGTAGGGGAACAATAAAGATTTTCCTTTTTCAGACTGTCTTTATACTGTTTCGGTGATTTCCCCTTTGGAACGTATGCTTACATATTTGTAAAGTCCTAACAGCCTGTTTTTTGTTTTGAGAGTAGATCAAAAAGTGGGGATATATGGATGCTACTTTTTCAGAATTAGATTTGAACAAAATTTATGCCTGGCATAAATTTGCAACAAAATTTGTGCCAGGCATAAAAATTGTTACAAAATTAATGCCAGGTTCAAATCTAATTCTCAAAATAAAAACCAGGCTGTTTCCTATGGTTAAGTTAGCACCTTATGTGTCCCATAGATATAAGTACTCACTCCTAGGTTGTGTTATGTCAAATTCATCATATCGACCAGATCTTCCATTACGACTATCAACTGGTTGCAAATAGCCTTCAACATGTACATTGTCCCATTGAGAAGTAGCACTTGTGTCCATGTTTCTAACACAATTCTGGGTCACATTGGGTTGCTCTGTATCACTGAGGTCTTCTACGCCAGGAGGTAAGCTGTTCGTCCTGGCCTTCCTTAAACTGTACAGGAATAGACGTTTCCGATAAACCGTGCCATCTTTTGATCCATCAGAGAAACCACAATATATTGGCTAGATTGATGATGTCATAGGTTGTACTTTTACAAATTAGCAAAAAGTTAATACCATTTTTGAATGGGCAGTTTGCTACCTACAACAAATGACATCATCAATCTAGCCAATAACTTATAGTTTCCCTAATGGATCAAAAGATGGCACGATTTATCGGAAACGTCTATTGAATATGGAAATAATTGTACCATGTAGTACATGTACTTGTAAAAGTCATTTTCCTAGCATTTTAAAATATTTGCAATTCTCTTGATACAATTTAGATATAATTCAACCCAATGTATTTGTTCAACTTTGCTTCTTAAGAGAGCTTTGTCTAAGGTAGGTTGTAACTAGACTTCAATTCCTTCATTTCAATTCCCTACCTTTTCCTAAAGATGTATACCAAAGCAGCTATTGTTGCAGCCACTGCAATACTTCCATATATGGTCACAGTTATTGCAAAAATAAGCACCATGTTGGGGTCAGAGGTCAATTGTTTATCTTCTTTGCTTGTTTTAATTGTAGGAGTGTTCACTTGCATTCCAATAGGGCAGGGGGAGAATGACATGGGTGTTCCTGTCACAGGGTTACATTTGATTCTTCTAATGTTGGGAGCTGGAAACAGAAGATGCAATAATATGATAGGGATGCATGAATCACTTCTTCGATCGTTGCTTTTATGGAAAATCAATTTTTTTTTGCATTTAGAGCCCATTGTTTGTTAACCCATCTCATGAATCACCTCTTTGATTGTTGCTTTTATGGAATAAAAACCCTTCTCGTTCAATCTTACAAATATAGTAAGAATACATCAAAAAGGTAGAATATAGGGTTCCATCTTTTACATGGCATAAATTATATAACAAATTTATGCTCATATAAATTTTGTCAAAATTAAATTTTGTAAAGATGGAACCCAATATTCTAACTACCATATTGGATACAATTTCATAATATTTGTAAACCTGTTATGTACTTATGCCATTTTGAAATCACTTGTATAATTCACAGTGCCCATGTCAAGCTGCTACTTAGGCGCGCAGTTTGTTTCGATCACAAACTGCGTGCCTAAGAACATTGGATCATTTAAGTTGGAGTCTATATTTTGAAACGTTATTTAAAGACATTTATCCTGCATTGTTTTCTTGTTCAATGCGTTCATTCTGTGGCGAATATACAAATCTTGCAAATACTAGCAAAAACTGTGTGCAAATGAATCTTAGTTTTAAAACATAAGCAGATTAATGGCATTTTCGTCACTGATTTAATGGGAATTTATACGTAAATCGATCTAGCACTTTAAACATAAATGACAAATACTTTAGACTCGTTTTATATTTAATTCCTTACACATTTATCATGTTTAATTCAAAATATTTCGAGATAAAACAGATAATCAGGAGATTAAAAAGAAATAAACCACAAACTGCGCGCCTATTTTAGCCAGAAATTACAACCTGTGCGCATACACTATTAAAACTACATATTATCATTGGAATTTCTACAGAGGTACGTGTAGGTGTTTTCGATGTAGCTTTGGAAATTTTGCTTTATCGTCAGATTTTATGAGATTTTCATATTGAAAGTCAAAATGTATAATAGAAGTGACAATTAAGTTGGGAACGAAAAAAACATTTATTTTCAGATCACCATCTTGGTGGATGGACTCTCATAGTGTTTCAATTATGGAGTTCTACTATTAGACACATATGTGCCTTGTATGGCGCTTATGTTTTCTAATAATACAAAACAAGCTTGGATAGGCAAGCAGTTTTTAAATATTAGGCACGCAGTTTGGGAAATACATGTGAATATAGGCGCGCAGTTTGACAAGAAAAATGTTTAAATCACGTTTATGGCGTATTATCGTTTTGAACACAAATTTTGCTGTTTTAATCAGATGGAGTGATCCTATATATTCTAGCATACACAGACACAATGGCTGAATAAACGGCAAATGACGATAAAAAGACATAGATATAACTTTACACTGTAAATTTTGAACACAGAAGTTACTTAAGACCCTTATATTGAGATAACTAGGTTTACATCGGGAAAAACATTGAGTACTATGAGTAAATTAAGTTCATCTTCACAGAATGGTACTATCTTTAGAACGAGACAAACCTTGTATTTTTCGTATTTTGGCTCTTTGGGAGTCGTGTCCTCCCCGTCTCACATTTTGAAATATGCGCGCAGTTTGTCAGAGTTTCAAACTGCGTGCCTATTAGGCACGCTGCTTGACATGGGCATCGTGTAATTGATCCTTACATCCCTTGCAGAATATTAAAAGAGTTGTTGCAAAACAAAATAGGATATACCTGCCACAGCGACCCAGAATATGTATGGTTTTCCAGCAGGAATATCGAAGTTCAGAGATACCGTTTCATCTGTTGCATTTTCTCTCAGTAGATTCGATGTTTCGAACTGTCTCACTAGATCTAGAGAATCAGGCCATTCTTTCAAATTCATTGTACTTTTATTTCCTAGGTAACAGTGAATATGTTAAGGCATACATGTAATATATAAGAGGTTAAAGGATAGGAATATTCCTTGCCAAACCATCTCTCTCCTCATATCGTAGCTATAACCATATATATGCTTGCCATGTTTAGCAAAACACGCAAAAATGTTTTGATATGGTCAAATTTGGTCACTTAGAAATGTGATGCTCAATTCCAGTAAGCTGCCATCTTTTAAAATTTCACACAGGAAGTGATGTCATCGACTCAACTTTGCATATAGTATTAGGTGAGGAGCTATAAAGAATTACAAAACTAGCTAAATATTCTTTTTCAACTTTGTATCTTATTTAATCCTTCTGAAAATCTCTTCTTTTATTCTAAGTTGACAAGCCCTGAAAATATTTTTGCACAAAAAGTAATGATCACTTGTCTAGAAGTGATTTTGTGCTACTTTCCTATACTGTTATGGGCAAGGTTATAGAAATTGAGAGTTGATGACATCACTTCCTGCAAGAAATCTTAAGAGATGGCAGCTCACTGGAAATAAGCACTACTAGATTTTTAAATGATCAATATTGATCATATTAAAACATTTTCCCATGTTTTGCTAAATATGGAAACTATATATATGATTATAGCTACCATATCAAGAGAGAAAGGGTCTGGCAAGGAATATTCCTTTAAGGTAGCATTCACGAGTGCAACTGCCAGCTACCAGTTTGATTACAGTTTAATGACCAACTCATTTACATACATATGAATAGTACCTGTCATGCATCCTGGTACCTGCAAGTTATCAAGTCAAACTCAATAGCTAACCTAAATAACTGTTTATCCTGCCTTTTTAGCAGCAATTTATACTGGTTAATGATGTGGCACATGCGCATCAATGCAAAACTTGTAAAATTGGCATCAAAGTCACATGATCACTATTAGTCTACTAATGGGTTGTACGTTTTTTCAACTTCAAAATGACATTTTTATTTATGCAAATTAATGGGTTAATCCGACAGCCAACACTCGCATTTGCAAGTGCTGGCTGTAAATTGTAAATAATGACAGTACATGTTATTCCAGGGTGCACAGTCAGAAGTACAATAAATATATTTCTATAGGAATGCAGAAATAATTGATTAATTGAATGTCTGGCCAAACAACTAACTCACATGTCACATAGTGACCCATCCCTAATTTGCCTTATTTTTTTTTTATTGAGTCATATACGACAATATTTTTTTTTAAACATTTACCTGTGTCGATAGTAAGGACAATGCTACCAGGGTTTGATGCCCTAACAAGATTTACATCTAGGAAACTTCCAACACTGACTTTGATGTCACAGGTGAAGGTCATGTTGCTTGTTGCCATAGTAGCATTAGGATAATCTGGACTGAGAATTTGATACCAGGGGTTACCACCCTTCAGTGTCTTATTTTCACCTAGCCGAAGTATGTTGATATCTAAAAATTAAAGCCATGATTAACATTTAGGTTTCTAAAATTATATTAAAAGTTTATCGATTAGTGCTAACTATAATAACTGAATATTCCTCTTTCTAACCTTGAGAAAAGTTTTTCATAGTTTTCGAATACAACTGTATCCTTTGTCAGTGATGCATTAATGTTGGATTTTTCACCAAAAAAGCTGTCCAACATTAGTCCGTCACTACAGTCGTATACAAAAGCTATGAAAACTTAGTTTCCTTTTCCTTTTCAAGATTGCACAGAGGAATCTTCAGTTAATAAACCTGTGTATGTGAAATGCCTTTGATTCCACTAAAACTGTTCCATTGATGGGATATGTTACACTTACAGATGGTTGATAGACATTGTGTCAATGGACCGTGAAAGGTTTTGCACTTTCAAAGGTGTTTCTTTATAAAGGTTCAATTAACATTAAGTCATCAGGATACTTTGAAAAGTGCCACATTTAGAGAGGAGTTCCACTGAGTTTGAATATATTGCTATGTTACTCACCATTTAAACAGCCATACTCCAATTCTATGGTCTGGCTTTTATATTCATCTTCTTCACTATCAACTGCAACACTGGGGACACTATATTGAAGGTAGTTTGGCTTATTTAGAATGTCTCTATAGAAATCTAATTGATCTTTGGGCTCCCGTTTGTTGTCATGTGTAATACTGCGTGTGAATTTGTTGACCTTCAACATGGCATTTCCACAGCATGCTTCTAGCATTCCTCCCGTCTTGGCAACAGTTATTAAAGTATTTGCATAATGAACTGGAACAGAATTTAAGTATGTAATCAGTACACCTGATCAAAAAGAAACATATAAGGAGCACACCAATCTCGAATTCGCAACTGCGTGACTACAGCACCCATATGCCTAGCTCAAACGTGCTGGGGCTTAAGACCTCTCTGCCAGCTCGACAATCCCAAATAAAAAAGGTTGTTTGTTAGTTGAAAAAATATTAAACTCAATATGATTCAAATCCAACTTTGACTAGTATGTATTCTTTACAATGTGGTATACTCACAGTTTTTATACATGCAAACATAAAAAATTAAACTGACTCATAAGTTATATGATTCATACCCAGCTTTATAGGATGTGAACTTTACAATGTTACACGAGTAAAAATTTATATACACATATCTCAAATTTATTGATTTCATTATTCTTGAGCATGTGTTCTTTACAATGTGGTATACCTACCATATTTTATACATGCAAAAATTATTTTTTAACATGTGATCTTTTTAATATCGTTTAATACTCACAGTTTTCTGTACAAAGTAGAATCATCACTGAGTGTAGCATAAACTTCTGTAGCTCCAAGATAATTTTATAATCCAATTTCATCTTGTTCTCGACTTGATCCCCTAATTATTTTTTTCCTTTGATTAAAATTTACTCTTGTTGTACCTTTGGTTCCTTTAGTTCTCTAATCATATACAGTTTACAATAAATACAGGTTTGTGTATTTTGTTTATTTTAGAGGATTACTTGGTAAATCGTATGCACTCGTTTGTGTATATTCCAAATCGTGATCTCCAGGGCACACTGTTAACAGTTTTGTATGTAAAGGAAAAACATTTTTAGATATAACTTCCTTGTTGCTAAGAGTGAAAGGATGCGACTGTCTGTTTAATTTGTATTCTTAATTAATTGCTTATCTGTTTGTCTTTTGTACCTTTAGCATGAGTCTTCGGTATGTACAGCTTCTGTTTAATTGTTGTTATGTTTAAAATTTATATATTATAAAATTGTTAAGTCTTTCTGTGTGATTCTGATTTCTTTGGCTTAAAAAATGTTGGCTCTCTCTACAGACCAACCTTATTCTGTGTTAATAAACTTGTAATATTATCAGTAATAAAGCTACATTTTGAGTCATATCTTTAATGTATTTATATTTGTAATTCCAGATTTGTTGAATCGCATCATAAATGTATATGTTCTTCCTAACCTTGTATTTATGAGTGATTTATGTTTTTTATTTTTAAAATATTATTCTTTTGAATGTTAATGGTATTCACATTTCTGAATGTTTATACTTAAAAAGATCTTTACAAACCATTTATTTCATTTGTCATGACATTTTTTATATCTATTGTATGCTATGCTCTTTAGATTTATTTGTGTTTTAAAACTTTAATATTTTCAGTCTTGAACCACAATTGAATGATTTGTTTGCACATATAAAATATAAGGTTAAGATGCCCATGACTTATATATCCTGAACCTCTATATCCTGGACCATGGTATTATATTTTCTGAATAAGACATATAGATATACAGTTTTAATGCTGGTAATGAAACTGCTTTCAATAAGAGTTTGAATGAAATAAGTGACAGGTACTTAGCATAGCATAAAATTCTGGGTATTTGGAAGTCGCATTCTGATTCACCTCATTCCAGTTCTGCTATTGGGAAAGCCTAGATCAAAGGTTTATGTGAAACTTGTGGAGTATAAACTCTCTTTCAAAAGACTTTTTTAAATAGACTATTATCTCGTTTATGGTTATTAAGTGTAGGTTAAGTTGAATGAGTACTAACAATGACTTTGAATGTGTATTCAAGGTGACTTGCTTGATTCAAATACAAGAGCAAAGTCATGTTATTGAATCATTTTGGTGCTATTAAAATGTCCTGATATTTTCACAAAGCAGAAAAGCAAGTTATGTATGACTCAGGTCGTTCTCTAGTCTTTCGCTGTGTTTTGTAATACTCTTTGGTCTTTCCTCTTTTGGCATATGTGCTTCCATATATACGATGAGAATGATCTTACTTCTTAAATCAGTCAAATTAAAGAACATTTCTTTTGCATATGTTTCATTCTCTCTGCTTTAATTCACATCATTTAAATTAAATATTTATTTTTGATTAATATGTTCATGTACTATCTAAGTGTACATCATACATCAGTTGCTTGTGTTTAAAATCTTGAAATGATAATCAGTACCCAACAGTTTGAAATTCAAGAGTTTGTAAAGTTAAAAAGTATATTATTCATTAGATGGAACAAAGGCCAAAAGGTTCAAATATTTTGAATTTATGAATGAAAATTACTTAACACTTGCAAAATGAAAATCATTTTATATGAACTTCACAATAATATTTTATTTTGGTTGGAAGTTGTAATCTTCGTTTTAAACTTTTACACATCAATGTTTTATAGATGGAATCTGTGCAAGATTCTATATAATGAATAATTTATGTGCTAGTCTTTTTCTATCAGCATTTTTCTTGCTTTGAGTTTCATTTTCAGTTCATCTGTTGTGTTAGCAAAAGTGTTTTGTCCTCTTGGAATCATCTCATCTCTCCTAGCCTTAGGATTATGAGCATGCGGTTCAGCATCCATAAGTTCAGTATCTGTATAAATATCATCATTCATATTAATTTTAGCCTTTGAATGATGGTTGTTAATATCACCAATTGAATTTGGAATTGCAGGATCATTCTCTTCCTGTTCATTTTGCAATTCACTATTGTCACGATGGCTTTGATATTTAAGCACATTGTTCTCCTGTTTGAGAGATATAGCCTCTTCATTATTCATGGTTTCCACCTCTCTCGTGACACAGGTGTCCTGATAGCTATCTGAGTCTGTGCCTGTTTCATATGCTTCATTTTCATGGCCGCTTGTTTTAGACTTTTCATCCCTTGTATTCTTGCAGTCGCTCCCTGTTAACAAAGAAATAGTATATCAATGTAAATAACCTGTTTAAATTTCTGAACACTAAGTTCATGTTATATGTGATTTTAAAATATGGCGTTGTGATTTGAAAACTCATTTTAAAAGGAACATACTGACCAAGTAAGAAAGTAAATTGAGAAAATTACAAAGCCAAAGGGACCATTACGACCAAACCCCTTAACTGGACTAAAGTGAAGTGATATCTCTGTTGATGTAAAAATAACTTTAAAATGTGGCACATCATAACAAGTGATTTATCATTGACTGATTATTTAATTTATACATGTACACACCCAAATACTAAAATCATTATGTTTAGTTCATTTTCTACTGCAAATACATGTAATTGTTTGAGCAACAGAGTATTTCCTTATTAAAAGTTTCTTATTTAAAGTTTCTTTAAAGTTTTTAGTCACCTTTCCCTTTTGGCATTTGTGCTTATATATTCCTTGTCATTACCTGGTGGACATGTTTCTCTGGTTTTGGTAGCAGTATCCATCTTGTTAGCATGTGGCTCTTCATCCATAACTTCATCCCTCATATAAACCTGTTCATTCTTATTAATCTCATCATTGATATTTATCTCCCCTGAATGATGGTGATTAATATCATCATTTGATTCGGGAAGTTCAAGAACATCCTCATTCTCTTCATTTTGAATTTGAAATTCAGTGTTGTCTCCTTGGCTTTGGAATTTGAACACATTGTTCTCCTGTTGATTAAATGTTGTCTCTTCATTATTCATGATTTCTAGCTCTCTCATGACATTGACGTTCTGATAAGACTCTCCACTGTCTGTGTCTTCATCTGCCTCGTGTAATTCATTATCACCGCCTCTTGTCTTAGATTCTTCATCCATTGTATCATTATGGTCACTACCTGTTCACAATTAAATTATATTTCACCTGTTTAGAAAACAAAAGACCAAGTCCATATTATGTGCCAATTTTTTAAGAAAGAAGATTCTTTTTTTATTTGAAAATTTACGTCAAAATAGAATATAGTGGTCAACTAAGAGACTTAATTGAGAGAAAGACAAGTTACCCCTAAGGTGAACTTTAGTGAACTGATTTTTTTTCTGTTAATATTACATAACTTAGACATGTTGCACTTTATGATAATTGATTTATCATTGAATGAGGATTGAGTATATACCTCTCATACAGTATACTGTATTGTTAAATTCATTATTTAGAGCTCATGCTTAACTGCAAAGATCAATTGTTTAAACAGCAGAGTATTTCTTAATGTAATTACCTGCTTGTAGCGAGATCAATAGTGCAAGAAAACAAGCAAATAGTTCATTCATGGAACGAAGCGTGAAACTTTCCACATATCATCAGAATACTATTCCCTTTGATTTAAGAGCCAGAGCCATTTTTGTGGTCCACTAGAATGATCAAAAATTAGTAAGTACCCCCTCCCCCAAATCCCGTGGGGGTGGGGAGAGTTAGGAATTTTTTTTATAAAAAAATTTCTCTGAATATGGTCATACTGCAGTTTCAGTGTGCCATTTTCATGACAAAGAAGTTTTGCAACATAACAAGATGATTTATCATCGATTTTCATCATTGTTAAAGACTAGTCATGGGCGACGCCCACTTTTCATATCTTGAACATTTAGGTTATTGAATCTTTATCATGAGTTGAACAAATGAATGTACTTCAGCTTTCTGGATAACACCAGATACCTTTTTGATGTTAGGTGCTATAATTAATCTTAGAATTTGACTTCTTAAAGGCTTATAACATATCACACCCCTGTTTAGAAGAAAGAAGAAAGCAAGCAACGGATGTCCCAGATCTACAACATGTATCCACTATTCTATGTACATGTATGTCAAGTCTCTATATTCTCCTCAAGAGAGCCTATGCTATAGATACAACTGTCCAGAATCTAGTTGATGAAGTGCCTAAACAGTTTGATGAATCGTGTGCTGACCAAGTGCCTAAACAGTTTGATGAATGGTGTGCTGACCAACAGAATGTACCAGTCTTCATGCTTTGGTTTCTGATTATTCAAATTCAAATACTGAGCCTTGACTATGTGAGGGTTATATGACAGGAGAATTTTCCTCTTTATCTCCAGATGGTTTCTCTTTAATTTTCATCATTGTTAAAGACTAATCATGTGCGACGCCCACTTTTCATATGCTGAACATTTAGGCTATTAAACGATCTTTCATGGATTGAACCAGAACCAGAAGGGCCACCACAGTCACAGGCTGCAGTCTCTAAATTCTCAAGAGAGCCTATGCTAAATATACAGCTGTCTAGAATCTATATGATGAAGTGATTTAACAGTTTGATGAATGGTGTGCTGACCAACAGAATGTACCAGTCTTCAAGTTTTGGTTTCCTATTATTCTAATCGAAATACTGTGCCTTAACTAAGTATGGGCTATCAGAGAGAGCAATTACCCTCTTTATCTCCAGTCAATATGGTTGCTGATTACCAGTTCACATAAGGGATATGCTACAACTCCAACAAATACATCCAGAAGTCTACGAAGCCTTCACGAAAGACTACTTCACTGTTACCAATTCAAGATGGACCTTTTTAGCCATTGCTACTGACCAGGTTCACAAGCAGAATAACAGTCTAGATAAATCAAGTGGTAGGGCTCTTTGACAACCAGACAACTCTAGTGAATGGTTGGGGGCCCTGAATTAGCCAGGCTGATCACTGAATTGAGAATTATATAACTAATGATCAAGATGAAGACCTATATAATCATGAACAAAGTATAAGCATACAACAAAGATTCAAAGATAATGTGAAATTATTATAAGAAACCATAGAATAGATGAGAAATCCTTTCTGGAGACATCAAATGACATTTACTCATTAGAAAACAAAGATATTGTATCCTCAATATCAGTCCAGAAGAAGTGAGTAGCTCCCATAATACTATCATTCTTTCGTGTACTTATAATTTATTTAAAAATCATGATCATCAGTATATGATGTCCAATCAAATTGCAGGATATGATCATGTTCAGTGCCCAAAGGTAGATGCAATGTTACCATCAAATTGGAATTTATTAGAGATGATGTAAACAATGTTTTGTAAGATGTATTATCATATCCCCCAATGCCCATTCAAGACATTTCCCCATCAACACATGAATAAGCACATCCACCGTGCAGTAAAGTCTGGGTACAACACATTGACGATTAGAACAGTAGACTGATATTGTCTGTCTGGCAGTCAGTATATCATCAGAACTCAAAGTTCAAAAATAGATAGTTTTGGAAAAGGTGAAAAATTAAAGATATCTCACTTCCCATGAAATGGCAGCTGCCCTTGGACATGGTAGGGATATGTGTCTCCCCTTATTTCATGCTCACACTGGTTCAGACACTACATCTGGATTCCACGGTTAATTAAAAACAACAGCATTGAAACATTGTATTACTTATGCGAGTTGACAAATGCACTTAAAACTTTGGCTGAATATCCAAATAAGATAGCCAAAGTTATGCCAATTATTGAACGTTTTGTTGTGATTTTATACAGTAGAGACAACAATGAAACGACTGTAAATGCTGCAAGACAAGAAATGTTCACAAAGAAAACAAATCAAATTGAGAGCATCCCACCAACATAAGTTGCATGCTTTACAACAGCATATCAAACATGTTCTATTCCAGGCAGTTTATTTGTGGGGCCAATTATACCTACGTCAGTCCTCCCTTCAATTGGGTTGGGAATCCATTACCACAAAGGCTGGGAAAATGATTTGGGTGCCAGTGTGGAACACATTGCCCCAAGTTTCAGATGCATGCCAAATGCTAGTAAAATGTAGGTGCAAACAACAATGCTCAACAAAAAGATGCAAGTGCTTTAAAGCCAATCTTGCATGTACTGCCCTGTGTTTGTGTGGACTTGGCACCTAAGTCAGTGATAATGATAATAGAGTGTTGAAGTGCTTAAATGCACAAAATAGGATATTTGAACTGCAATTAAGATACTTAATAAGGTAACTTATATCAATTAGTCAAAGTGCTCTCATTAAAAGCCAAAATAATGTATCATTAATTGCGAATTCTATATTATCATATCTTTATATCTACAAGAGGATGTGGCCTTTCACAAGCCTTTAACAGTGAAATTGACTTACTTACAGCATCTATCATTTTAACATAAATAACTGACTTAATCTTATCAATACTATTCAGCCTTATTAGGTAATTATTGTATTCAAAATAGAAGACTCATTAACTTGTATATTTAACATGTTGATAAAGTGGGCGTCGCCCTTGGTCAGGCTTTAACAATGAATATCCATGAGAAATACTGATGCAATCTTGAAAATTGCTTTTAAACACTGAAAATAACATACTAAAAATGAAGTTAAATCATATTCAAAAAAGAAATTCAACAAAAAAATAATTCTTCCCTCCCCCTCCCCCAGGATTTTTATGGGAGGGGGTATTTGCAATTTTCGGTCATTCTAGTGAACCACAAAAATGGCTCTGGCTCTTAAATCAAAGGGAATAGTGTCCTGATGATATCTGGAAAGTTTCACGCTTCGTTCCATGAATAAACTATTTTTGCACTATTGATCTCGCTATTGGTGTGTCTTTATGTCTTTATTTGTTTGATTATCAATCTTGTATGTATTAGCTTCAACATTTGTTCTCCCTATTCGCATAAGGCTTGCTATCCCAGGAGGTCTGGTCAAATAACGGTGTGAAGGCACTTTCACTTTGTAACTGTTTGGAATTAAAAAATAGATTTTTCAAGTACATATTATATTGTCTTAGAATTTAACATATTCTATCTCTCTAAGAGATCTTGTGTGTTTTACTTGTTTATGAACATTATAAGGGGTTACCAATATGAAACTGTTCTTCAATAATACAGTGTGGTCCAAAATGCATTAACTTTGCTGTTTGCACCTGTAAACTTTACATCAAATATATAAGTGACTGAACAATACTCAGTAAAATCTTGGTGCATTTTAGAGGAAGAATTGCGATTTTGAGTTAAATTTTCAAATGTTCCATTTTTTGGACCACCCTGTAATGATTTTGTCCTGACAGCCATAAAGTCCATTTTATAAAGCCCAAGATTATTATGTCAAATAGTTACCTCTTCCTACAGGTTAATATAACAGCAGCTATAGTTGCAATCACCACAATTACTACGATTATGGACACACATATTATGATGATAAACCTTGGGAATCTGAGATGAATTTCCCCTGGATGATCTCTTTTTTGGACTTCAACTTTGTCTTCATTCATTGTTGGTCTTTTCATGCATAGAGGGAATGATTTAGGTGGCAAGGAGATATCTTCATCATCTTCATCTGATTTACTTGAAGAGGGATTTGTTGCACTTTGGTTGCATGGAGAGAATGACATCGGTGGAAAGTTTGCCGGACTGCATTTGATTCCTTCAATTTTCCCGTTGGCTAAAAATAAATTTAATTATCTTGCCAACTTTGGACTCCATTGCATCAAAACCCTCATGAAAATTAGGACATCATTTTATCACATAATACATTGGGTTACATGAGTAATTGAAGATAGTGAAAGGTTAAGAGCGATTTTAAATTATGTTACCACAAAGTCATAGCAATTGAACATGAGGTATCCATGTTTGTTTGCTAATATTGCTAAGACTGTTGCAATGCTAGAGGCAATTACACAATGCTCTAGATGAGCTCTGTTTTGAACTAAGATAAAGTACATTAAACTGAGGCCACTGAAGAATTCATTTTTTATTGTGATTTGTCTAAATATACCAATTATAAGGCCAAACTAACCTGACACAGATGCCCAAAATAGGTATTCATCTTCATAAGGAATTTTGATGGTCAGTAACACAGTCTTATAAGTGGCTTTCCCACTCAGGAGTTTGTATGGTTCAAACTGGCACTTTAGGTCATTTGGATACTTCAGCAATTTCTTCATTGTATTTTCATTCCCTGAAATATGTAAGACATGCGCTAGTGAGACAGTGGTGGTCATGCATGCTTATTTTTTTGTTCAATTTGTGAAATAGAAATGACCCTTTAATACTTGATGTACACAGCCAATATAATTTGTCGCCGTTTCGGCATCGAAAAATTCGGCGCTGTTCCGGCACCGTTTCGACACTGTTCTGGCACCGAAACCTATTGATACCAAAATTTGCCACAAGACTAGTCAGTCAAAATTTGGCAATGAAACGGCGTCGGAAACAGATTGCATTTTAGGGGTGTATAATATAATGAATATACTAGATAAAATAAATAAAATTAATATACTGTATGTTATTATTCATAGTCATGTTAGTCTGTTAGCTGAAAATATAATTGTGTTTAAATCAGAGGCACAATTCCTTTGTTAATAAGGTGTTTGTAACAAATGGTGGCGACATTTGGCATTGCCTTGTTTTACCTACCTAAGTCTAATTTAAATGTAACATTTCCAGGATTTGGTACCCAAACAAGTTCCACATATATTGTTTCATTAATCTTGATTGAGATGTCACAGTTAAAGGTCAGGTTGCAGCTTGCCGTTGAGACCCTGGGATAATCAGGACTAAGGATTTGGTACCAGGGGCGGCCACCCTTTAATGTCTTATTCTCACCAAGACGAATAATGTTGACACCTTGAAAGTACAAATGATATTATTTTTAATTAAGCATCTAAGTTTTGAATGACTTTTAAGTCTCATATACGTTTGTATTTAAAAGTATTGATCATCTTTGATGCCAATTACGTCATGCCACATGAAGAACTAAACAAACATATCCTCTAAAATCCTCACATGCCACTGATGATTCTAAATAAATTTGCAACATCCTATAACACATTACCTAACCAACAGCAAAACAAGCATTTAGTTTTATTCATTGTCTTTTATGAACAGTTATGGGATTTCTCCACATGTCCACACATGGCCTCTGTATTTTTTCAGAGAAGTTTTCATGTTACCTTCCTTACTACCAAGATAAATGATCGCCACATTGTTATGGTTGTGGAAGTGGTTTGAAATTTGAAATTGGTCGTTCATTGAATACTTGTGACTCACCATCTAGGCAGTTATAGTTAACCTCCATTATCTGTTCTTTATTCTCTTCTTTATATTCATCATCATCAGCATCATCATCCTCGCTATCGCTACGAACAGGTGGAACAAGATAGTGAAGTTTGTTTGGCTGATCTAGAATGTCTCCATAGAAATCCAATTGAGGTAATGTTTTGTTGTCATGTGTTGTGAAATGGGTGAATATGTTGGCCTTCAACATAGCATCTCCACAGCATGCTTGAAGCAATCCTCCTGTCTTAGCAGTTGTTAAATTTTGTGCATATGCAACTGAAACAGAATTTAGCATGTAATCAGTACACTTGGTCAAAAACACTCTACCCTACCACATGCCCATTTTTAAAAGGGATACAGGCTGCAGTGAAGTTGCAGATGGAGCGGGTATTGTCTGTCTTTGTCTGTGTGACTTTTCTGGAAGTATACACTGCATGGAGTCTGGTTAGTATCTACTGTGGCTCATCCCAATTAATATTTGACCAAACTCTCTCCGTTATTTACAAGAATTGTTAAGAGTTTTGAATGCAGATGCATTTCACCTCAGTAGGATGACTAGCAGATTTTTTTCTTCGATTTTATAAAAAATGAACATTTTCACACCGATCTTGCTTTTTGATTTGTTAGGCATAATATCATGTATACCTGAATTGATCCTCATTAAGTTGTTTCATAATTAACAGAAGGGTTTAACTTACATAATGTTAAAAGAGTTGAATAACACCAAACTTAGCTATACTCACAGTTCTCTATATATAGTAGAATCATCCCTGATTGTAGCATACAGTTTTTGAGATTTAAGAAACTGTTGGAGTACATTTTGATGTCGTTTTTCTCAATCTTCCTCATTGTCCTTTTCAATATGGGTTCATAAGTTGTATTTTTAAAGAACAACATTTTTTGCTCATTTCTTTATTTTCCATTATCTTTTGCATTTTCAGAATGTTGTCGGGCCAGTACAATATTGCCATATAGCATATGTTGATAAACTTATCTACTGTTTTGCGTTTTCCTATAATTCCTCATATAGACTACATATAATACAGTATTTTATAACCATGTTCTTTTGGGCAATATTGGAATGTAAAAAGACTTTCTTTTTCTTTGTTAACATTTTCTGAATATATTTTTCTAAAAGATTTTGTTAAGTGTAACTAAAAAGGAATTCTTGGTTTCTTACAATAAACCTCTCAATTTCAAGAATTCTTTTGAAAGTCCTCTTTGTAAGACTATCTACACTCTTAAAATATGTGAGAGTATACGTTTTTTGTTTAACCTTCACCAATCAGAATATGCACTCTAAAAGTTATATCATGTTTTCGTCCTGAAGTATAACTACACTTATTTCATTTTAAAACTCCCAGGCAATTCCACATTTGATTTGAGCTTGTTAATATATGGTCAGCTTCAAAACTAGAAACAGCTGTTTAAATCAGAGTGTTGTGTTGCTCGCCATAAATGATTCAGAGTATGTGTATTTATCTTCCTGGTCTGGATTTTAGGGAGCATTCAAAAGATTGATTTAAATCTGAGTTTGTGTTGCTCGCTATAAATGATTCTTAGTATGTGTGTTTATCATCCTGGCCTGGTCTATAGGGAGCATCCGGAAAAATAAATGAGGGGGAAGGGGTCATTAGCCATAAAGTAAGTGCGTGCTTTATTAATTCAATGCACTTTGGTACGATAAATAACAAAATGTGAAAAAAATAAGGCAAAATTATCTGAAAATGAGCTTTTTGAAGACTATCAATTCAGTCCAAGTTTTGTCAATAGGGTCTGATCTAGTTTGAAAAACACTGAATTCATCGGGGCTATATATCATATGTCAACATTTCTCAACACAGTTATGAGGAGGGAGGGGGCCACAGATTAACTGTTTAAATACAGTAAGTAATCCTACATCGAACTTTTGAGATGCTCCTTTAAATGTGAAGTGTTTGTATTCTCTCAAATACTTCGTTTGAATCATATATGTACAGAATGTTTTTGCCCTAAGAATATTTGATGTCATCTTGACTTTTTAGTTTGATTTTATAAAGATATTCAAAGATTCCCGAATTCGATCAAGTTTTGTTATCCCACCGAAGTAATCTTGAAAGGGATGTAGAGAAATTGTTCATTTGTTCATTCGTTTGTCTGTCTGTTTGTAAGATCATCTGTTGGTTAATAACTATTAAGTTGCTGTATTTTTTATTCTATTGTTGCCTTTTTAGCAGTTTTGTATATCAATGAAAAATGCCAAACACTTACAAAATGAAAATCATCATATGACCTTTCCAATTATATTACACTTTGGTTGAAAGGATTGGTAATCTGGATTGGTCTCTTAAACCTTTTATTGAAAACATTCTGTAAAAACATGTTCCTTTATGTAATGGCCACTGATTGACAACAATTTAGTGCAAAAATTATGTTAATATATTTTTTATGACTGTTTTTGTTAACATTTTTTGATTTTTAGTGCAATTGTTTTTTGTTCCTTTCTTCCAGTTCTTGAGAATGAAATAACATATCTTTCAGAACCTTGTTGGAACAAAATAGTATATACAACATTTTCTTAGACCTCTCAATATAATAGGTATACAAAGGAAAATTCAGTTGATTTGACAAAAAGTGTTCAAAAAATTAAAACAAAACTCTCCAAAATAGATGAAAATTAAATTAAACTTTTTATTTCTTAAGCAACATACTTTTTTAAATCAACTAAACTTTCCTTTGAACAATTACAATATTGAGAGACCTAAACATGTTGTGTTTATGTCATTTTGTTCCAATGAGGTTTGGATAGATGTTTCATTTCATTTTGAACATATGATACCAAGAGCAAAAGAAGTATCTGATGTGTTTTCTAAAATAATATAGAGAAAAGTTTATATATTTTTTTCAAATTAAATTGTTACCAATCAAAACGTCATCATTAAATTGATGATGTGTAACATTTTCAGAAATTGTTGATGACTGGTTTAACAGAAACATGTGTTCAATTCAGTTCACCATATCAATACTGTATTTTGTCATCTTAATTTGTAGGTTTATATAGATACAATGTTTATTTATTTATTTATTTAGCCTCCAATACTGAAGAATAGTTTGACAATTAAAACAATCTTACACTATACCTTATGCTAATTAGACAATTACAATATCATGAATTATACAAGTCATGTATACATAGGCAAAATTTAGACCCAAAATAACAATGGATACATTAGTAAATCAGCTAAAAAATCTTCTTTGGTACATAATTGAGACACTCTTACATGAAATAATCAAAACATTATCCCAATTTTTCATTGGAAACTCCATGCCTAAAATAATGTTATATAATATCTCACATGAAAGTTTCTTAAATGTAGGATTTTCCTTAATCAAATTCTCAATCATAATATTTCTGATATCAACATAATTATCACAACCCATAATAAAATGATAAAGATCCTCTAATGAGTTATTATTGCATTTCTTACATTCCCTATTTTCTCTAGGTAAACCATGGTTGTTAATTTCTAAATTATGTATACCACATATCAACTTAATCATCATATTACATTTTTGCTTAAGTATACACATTGGTATAAATTCTGTGTCAAAAAATGTCAATATGTTTTCTATGGTAAAGATTCAAGATTCAAGATTTTATTGTGTTTCAAACAAAACACTTGGTTTACTAACAAAATCATTACAGGACATAATACTGATAATTAGAGTTAATACTATTCTTTTTCACTTATCATCCTTCTTGCTTGAAGTTTAAGTTTCAGTTCATCTGTTGTGTTAACAAAGATGTTTTCCATGCTTGGACTCATCTCATCTCTCTCAACCTTGTAGGCATGTGGCTCATCATCAATAAGTCCAGCATTCATATAAATATCATCATTCATGTTAAAATCATTATTCATGTTATTATCATTATTCATGTAAACCCCCTCCTGCTTGTGAGTAATATCATTCAAATCTGGAAAACTCTCATCTTCTTCATTTCGAAAATGAAATTCAGTGTTGTCTCGATGACCATGGTATTTAAGCACATTGTTCTCCTGTTGGGTAGATTTAGCCTTCTCACTATTAATCATTTCCATCTCTCTCATGACGATGATGTTCTGATATATTTCTTCGCTATCTGAGTCTGTATCTGCCACATTTGCTTTATTGTCATGACCTGTTGTTTGAGACACTTCACCTTTACAAATAAATAGTAAATGGATTGTATATACTCTGTCTAAAATTCTGATTTTAGGTAGGATCATTTTTTGGATTTTAAAACCCATTTCAAAACAATATACACTGGTAAACTAATACCTAAAAAAGTAAGGATGCTATCCAGATACTGAAGGAAATTTCAAAACATTAGAGATAAATCCAAATAAGCCAGTACCTGAAAACACCAGAACCTGAAAACCCAACTACAATTATCTGTTATCTTGGTGCTGTCATAGGAAAATCCTTATATGGAGCACATTTCCATCGCTACTTTTTATTTACGTCTCTAAATAATTAGAAGAAAATATTCTGTTTAGTTACCTGTTGGTCTTGTTTCTTCTGTATTAGTATCCATCAGGCCTATATCACTTGTTTGTTCCATTCTTTGAAGGGTTGCTACACTGGGAGGCTCTGTCAAATTGGGACGTAACGGTGCTTTGTTACCACTGAAAAGGAAATTATTAAATTCGTTAATGATATTAATTATTGTCTTAATATTTTATAATACTCTCTTCTCTAGAGAAATTCTTTTTCAAAGTATTACGTTTTTGTAATTATCTGATTGATTGCTGAATAAAATCACACGCTGTTTTTTTAGTTTTTGAAAAGCCTTTAATTTGGCTCAGTTATTTTTGATTGGTTGTCATCAACTGCCTACCTTTTTCTACAGATACATATTGCAGCAACTACGGTTGCAATCAGTGCAGTGGCAACAAATATGGAGACACATATTATGAGAATGAACTCTTTGTTGTCAATGGTACTTTCTTTCTTGTTTTCTCTGTCCTGGGTATCTCCATTGTCTCCATCTGTTTCGGTTGAAGCAGGATCTTTGTCTTCATCTGTTTCCGTAGAAGGGGGATCTGGTGCACTTGGGCAGAGAGGGTAGGACATGGGTGATGAGTTTGTATGACTACATTCAATTTCTTTAATTGGGTAAGCTGAAAATAGATTTACCTTGAGGTCAGATAGGTCAAAAAGACCAAATGAGGTATGAAAAGATACATTTGTCAAGGCCAAAAGGTCAGAAGGTCAAAAAGGCCAAATGAGGTCTAAAAAGTAAATTTTCAAGGTCAAATGTCAACATCATCGAACTAGGTCTCAAATAATGTTATTTATATACCCTTGTGAGTAACATAAGCATGCATTATCAGAAGTAACTGTGCATATGATTTAAGGAATAAATAATGATAGGCCATTCAATATGGTGAAATTCAGCACGAGTTGGACAGAATGTTGTACAAAGCACGAACCGAAGGTGAGTGCATTTGTACTAACATTCTGTCCAACGAGTGCTGAATTTCACCATATTGAATGGCCTATCATTATGTATTCCGATTCAAACATAAAAATTAGTAAAAGCCGTGTCTGTGGAACGGGCATGAAGGAAGAATACGCATGCTGTCAAGATTCTGAAGTTGGCCGGAAAAATTTTAGAATTTGTTTGGGCTGTTCTATTTTACTCCCCGTTTTAGATTTTATACAAAACAAGGAAGTCAGCCATAGTTAAATAGTTACAGTAGTAGTTACGGAGGGAGTAAAAAAGAACTGCTATCCCCGGACAGAGCCCCAGATGTGCAGCTGAGATGTGACGTCACTCAAAACAATGCAAATTGCAGATTGAATAGAGCATGGCCGTGCATCTATGGAGAATTAGAGAACGTTCTATATTGGCTATGCTGCATTCTGATTGGTTGAGAAATTCGAATAGAGCACGGTCATGTTTGAATCATTTATAATAAACGCTCATGTTTTCAAATTTGACCTTACATACAGATAATAAGGCTTAACATACCTGACACAGAGGCCCAAAACATGTATTTATTCCTTGCAGGAATTATGAAGTTCAGAGACACAGTTTCGTTTGTTGCTTTTTGTCTTTGGAGGGTATATATATCAAACTGTTTTATAAGCCTATCAGGCCACTGCACGAAATTCACCATTGTACTTGTATTTCCTTAAAAAGCGATTAACATTGAGACATGTGCTATTGAGACATTATGCATAAAAGTTCATTTTGAAGTTTGCTTTTAGAGGTAAATACAGGGAATATCCCTGAATACACCCCCAATCTGCACTCTAAAATCACGGTACCATACTGTATATTAAGATAGTACCATACAGTACCGTAGGAGTATAGTGCCATACAGTGTTTACGGTACTGTACAGTACCATTTTAGTCTATGGTACTGCATTGTACCGTATTTCACGGTACTGTACAGTTCCATTTACAAAACGGTAATGTACGGTACTGTTGCAGATCGGCTGTATATAGAATACCATTTATTATTCAATCGCTTGGTCAGATTCATATACAATAGAAACAGAAATAGCTTTTACCCATGTCCATATTGAGGAGAATGTTTCCAGGGTGTGGTGCTCTCACAAGATTCACAAATATTATTGTACCAACTTTGACTGTGATGTCACAGGTGAAGGTCATGTTGCTTGTTGCCACGGTAACGTTTGGATAATCTGGACTAAGGATTTGGTACCAAGGGTTATAACCCTCCAGTGTCTTATTCTCACCAAGCCGAATTATGTTGATATCTAAAAATTGCAAGTAATACGTATTTAATGATTTATAAGTTGTTCAGCTGTGACCCAAATTCTTATATTTAAGAACCTCACAAAAATGATAAAATCAATTTCTTGGTGTGTGGAGTTAAACTTGCTAATGTCTCACCATTTAGACAGCCATAATCAACCTCCATTGTTTGGTCTTTATCATCATCATCTACATTAACAGCTGGAACATGATATTGAAAGAAGTTTGGCTCATCTAGAATATCTCCATAGAAATCCACTGATGGTAATTGGAATGCAGCTTTTTTGTTGTGTGTTATATTGCGGGTGATTTTGTTGACTTTCAACATGCCATTTCTGCAGCATGCATGTAGTACTTCTCCAGTTTTTGCCACAGTTTTTTCACTATGTATGTATGGTACTGGAGAAGAATATAGGCACATTTGATGTTTATAAAGAAAAACCCGAAGTATGCTCTTAAATGCATAAAAGTTGATCATAACATTTAATTTCAGGGTAAACAAAATGAAAGATTTACTAAAGGTTAACTTTTATTTCTTCTCTGAAGATTAAAAGTGTTGCTGAACACCATTTTTTGAAAAGCTTTAGATTAATATTTAATGTACATTGTATTATACTCACAGTTTTCCATACATAGTAGAATCATCATTGATTGTAGCATACAGTTTTTGAGTTTGAAGAAAAGTTTGCAATCCATTTTAATTGTTTCCCCAATCTTAATTGTGATCCTTGTCAATTTTGTTCATGCATTCTTTAAAGAACTTTCAGATTTTCAGATTTTGTAAGCTTGATTTTGTTTTGTATTTGGAGGATTCCTTGCTCATTTCTCAATTTTCCATTCTCTTGTGCATCTCCAAAATGTTACCAGCCCTGGATCTGTTTTACAATGGCACTAACATAATCGTGATATTGTTTTTCCAGATCACACTTCCTTGTTGTATTTTGACTGTGTTATAAGATGTAGATTGTGCATGTCACATGTGGCATTTCGAAGAAAATACATAACCATACATCATTGTCGTAATGTTTGGGCCACCGTGACATTGACTCTTTACTTGTATGCTCTATAAACATTAAATTCAATACTTTTTTGTTAAAAACTTTTATATGTGTATGTAGGCACATTCTTGCTTTGGCACAATCAAGTTGGTTCAAAAGGATTCAATTACATTCTGATTTTCTATGTGTATTTTTCACTTTTTGTAAGAGCTTGCATCATGACTTTGATCGTTCATATTGAAAACAAAAAATGAAAATCACGTTATTGAACTCCAATCTCTATAATATACATGTATAATATAAGGATGCATAATTATGCCACAGAAAAATCTCTTGCATGCAACCCACAGTGAGGGTGATAACAATCTTTTTTTATTAATGTTACCAAAATTGATCATTTTTGGAGATACATGTATTAAAAAGTGCATTTATGGAGATATTATAGTGCAGTTTTAAAGAATAGTCTGACATGAATTCTCTTGATGAATGAAGTCACGATTTATTCACCAAGACAAATGTTTTTGGTCCAAAAGCACGAAGAGACCAATTTTGTTTTATGTTTGTTCTTTATAGGTGCATAAAGAGATTTATTTCTAGATTTACTTTTGACTCATACTCTTTTAGATTACTTTAGAAAGGAGTATATGACGTGTATAATCTTAAAGTCCATATGTGATTCATTCATAGAGGGTCACATAGAAATGAAGTATTTAGAGAAATCAATTGCAAATGTCTTCTTGATGAATTGCCAAATTCTGGAGAGGAGTTTGTTATTTATACTTTAATTTCTTTCCACTGTCAGATAAAAGTTTACCCCCTCCCCCACAGATATTTTCTTGCACATTACTAAGTAGGGGATATTTATGTTATGTCACCATTTCTTTGTGAAATATATAACTTTTTTTGTGGCCGGTTATCAGCAGATGGTGTCTTGAAGTTGGTATTCGGTGTCAGCGTGTGGCATCTGTAACAAATGGCAGGTCAATACCTTGTTTTACATACCTTACTAAGTATTGGAAATGTGTTTTTCAGAGAGAATGTGAACTTGTTATTCAGCACAATGCGAGGGCCAACAAGTAGCAGCATGACAGGGTCACTGGTGGGAATGGATGGTACATCCTCTTTACGACGTACATCAAGTTTACGACGATCCTACACTACAGGAACTGCTGGACTCAAACGTCGCTCAGTCTGTTTGCAAATGAAGTTTCAAGTGGTAAGTTTATCTCCTTTATTATAATGAGCCTAAAATTGAGTGAATGCCAAACATATCCTTGTTACTGGCTATTACACATTCCTCTGGGTAAGACCGATTTAAGTTTTGCATTTAATCAATCAGAGAACACTACAGAATCATGTTAATATTTTTACATTTTCCATATCAAACTTTTCAGTGACATATTTTTTAAAAGAAATTAGGTGTTTTTATTATTATTAAATAGGATCCTCTATTGTAAATATGAATTTCAGCGACATCTTTTTTTAAAGAAAAAATAGATTTCTTTTATTACTGGATCCCTCACATATAAAGGTATTAATTTTCAGTGTCTTCTCTTTTAATCATGCATTTAAATGTAACCTTCATTATTTGATATATTTCCTGTAAAAATGATTGATTACAGCCTTGCAAATAATTTACAGTCATTTATTGCATTTACAGTCATTTCTAATTGCCCAATATACTAAGTTAATCATTGTGTTTCATTCTAGGACTCCCTATTGGATACTCTACGCAAAAGTACAAGTCACTTTGTGCATTGTCTTCTGCCGCAACACAATGCTGGCCTATGTGATTTGAAGACCCCTGTAGTGGCAAAGACGGAAGATGATATCGTCCTCAATGTTCCCCTTCTTAGAAACCAGCTTAGGGGATCACAGATCTTAGATGTCATCAGAATACACAGACAAGGTAATCAATTGTCCTAAAAACAGTGACCTCTTTTTATCTCCTGATGTTAGAGATAAAAGATCTGTAAAATATGACTGCCAAAAAGTAAAACACTGGATTAATATGATTCCTTAAAGTTATGGTTAGTTTTGTTCACTTTGTTTAAGCCATCATATTTTCTGGTCCTTGTTCGGCATCAGTGTCTGTAACAAGTGTTACACATTTCTTGGTGGTCAGATACTTTTTCATATTATTGCCTTGTTGTGAAACCCTGTTTTGATCACACTTTCACTATTGTCATCAATGTGTGCTGATCAGTATGCCTATAGATCTGGTCAGGCTGGAAGGCATCTGATAAATCTTATTCTTATGCAGATGTGATATAAGATTTCTATGTTGTTTCTGATAAGAAACAGCATATATCAGGGGTGTACAAAATCAGGTAGTTCATTCAAACAATAGAGATGGACCCTCCTTTTTGTAAATCAACTTATTCTTCGACAACTATCAACATTTGACCATCATCCCTTATATGGACATATTGCTACTTGCAGGTTTCCCTGAACATATGCAGTTCTCCGAATTTGTGCGAAGATTTGGTGTGTTGGTGGATGCCAAGATGAACACAGAAGATGAGAAAGAAAATGTAGAACAACTGATTGCTTTGCTAGAAGTTGAAAGGAATAATCATAAACTAGGGCTTAGTCAGGTAAGGAATTTGAATTGTTGACCCCTTTGGAAGAAAGAGGTTCAATTCCAAAGGGGTTGAAAGGAACAATTATAAACTAGGGCTTAGTCAGGTGAGTAATGTACAATTATTGACCTCTCCAGGGGTTTACTGTCAAAATTATATCCCGAGACTGTAAACCGAGACCGTAGGTCGAGGTTTACAGTCGAGGGATATAATTTTGACAGTAAACCGAATGGAGAGGTCTATAATTGTTTTGTTAGTCCGAAGAATATCTGAGATTTTACTGACCCTTGAACACAACACAGGTTTGTGGGTGGTTTTACCTTTTCCTGACTTCTGCAGTTCCACAACCATCGCTTTGAAAACATCGTTTGATGCCTTGAATTCAGATTTGGTAATGTCCATCTTAAGTGTCTCTCTGATGTATCGTGCCACTCCCCATTTAAGAAGCTGAAATGATTTCAACTTATAAAGTCCACCGTCTTTTTTTCTAATACCAACGTAAAACTTTTTCAAAAAATTATCTACATCTGCCACGGCAGTAAGTTCACTCAATGGAGTCAAATTACTCTCCTGGGCGAAGTCCACTAAAAGCTTTGTACAAAGTTTTAGATTTTTCTTCGTATTTTGACTGTCTTTACTCTCTAAGATACTAATAATATCCTCATCTTCAACATTTTTGAAACGGCTAGTGCTAGCGGCGGCCATTTTATCGTCTGATAATGACGTCATTTTAGCGGAATGCTGGGAATATTATTCACCGGCAATGCATTGCGCGGTGTACAGTTAAAATTATTCACCGCTCGTTGACCAATCAAAATCGAGTATTTCAACTGAGGTACTAACAATACAAATTGTTAACCCCTAGAGACGTAAACTGGATACATTTTATGCCGCATATCAGGAGTCAGGTAGGAAATATAAATTGTTGAACCCTACAGAGGTGAACTGGACAAATTGTTGACCCCTATTGAAGTGTTCTTGGTAAATCGTAGGCCCAGATTAGTCAGGTAAGGAATATAAATTGGTGACCTTTCTTGAAGGAGATAGTGACTTTTGGGTATACAACTTTTACTGTGATAGAATTTAGGATTCTGGAATGATACGAATTGCAGATTTTTGATTCTACATCAAAGATAGATGTCACTTGTATGATACTAAGGGTATTTAATAGTCTTACATACATCTTGAAATACAAATCTGAAACTGCTAACAAATATGTGATAAATTAACAAAGTAGTTTGTGGTACTACCAAATGTTTTTTCTAGAAGAAAGTGTCATGTGGTTCATTATTTGAATTTTATGTGGAATTACAACATGCACTGTAGAAAATGGCACAGATCTTGAACTACATTTAGAAAAATAAAGTGCCAAACAGTAAATAGGAACTGCTATACACAAATAGGAAAATAGTATGCAGTAAATCGGAACCACTATGCACAAATAGGAAAATACTTTGCAGTAAATCGGAACCACTATGCACAAATAGGAAAATACTTTGCAGTAAATCAGAACCACTATGCACAAATAGGAAAATACTTTGCAGTAAATCAGAGCTACTATGCACAAATAGGAAAATACTTTGCAGTAAATCAGAACCACTATGCACAAATAGGAAAATACTTTGCAGTAAATCAGAACCACTATGCACAAATAGGAAAATACTTTGCAGTAAATCAGAACTATTATGCACAAATAGGAAAATACTTTGCAGTAAATCGGAGCTACTATGTACAAAGAAGAAAATCCTAAGCAGTAAATCCGAACTACTGTACACAAAGAGGAAAATACTTTGCATAAAATCCGAAATTACTGTACACCAAAAGGAAAATACTTTGCAGTAAATCCGAACTACTGTACACAAATAGGAAAATACTTTGTAGTAAATCAGAACTACTATACTCAGTGGAAAATACTTTGCAGTAAATCAGAACTACTGTATACAAAGAGGAAAATACTTTGCAGTAAATCAGAACTACTGCACACAAAGAGGAAAATACTTTGCAGTAAATCTGAACTTTTGTACACAAAGAGGAAAATACTTTGTAGTAAATCCGAATTACTGTACACAAAGAGGAAAATACTAAGCAGTGAATCAGAACTACTGTACACAAAGAGGAAAATACTTTGCAGTAAATCCGAACTACTGTACTCAAAAAGGAAAATGCTAAGCAGTAAATCAGAACTACTATACAGAAAAAAGAAAATACAAAATAGTGAATCAGAAATAGGAAAATAGAAAGCAGTAAATCAGAACTACTTTACACACAAATAGTAAAATACTATGCATTATCTGAAGCTTCTACAGATGAATAAATGCTACATGGAAATCTACATGAAATGTAACCGTATTATTTTGGAATTTAATATTTTTTCACAAAACTATGGTCTATCTATTTTTTGAAGTTAAAAAATATGAAATCCATATCTGAAAATATCAATACATGAAAAATAAGAGGTCAGTGTAATGGAAGTATATCCAAATATGGAAAGAATAGTTTAAAAATTCCATTTGGAATGTTGAGAAAATTGGATTAAATGTATAATCCAGCTTATATCTACATTTTAAAATGGCCTTACAATAACATTTATCCTAGCTCTTTTCGGGGCACTTTTCAGTTGTGAAATTGAATTCAAGGTAAATCATGTTTTATAATCAATTTAAATATGACTGAAGTTAAAAGAGTTTAATGGTACAGCATGTTTTCACAAAATGCTTATTTCACTATTTAGCATTTAAGTAAACATTAAAACACTTGAACAATTCTGATTACAGAAGCAGTTTCTTAAACCCTAATTTGATTACATGCACAGATTCAACTTGAAATTATAAGCTAGGGGGTATTAAATTCTACCTTGAAATTATCTGGTAAGCTATACTTAGACACCCTTGCTTTAAATGTAATGAAATCATGCTTCTTTAATCACCTTTCTCACTGAAATCATGTAATTTATGATGATTTTTGCATTTTTGCATACAGTTTTGAGTTTTTATTCTGCTTTACTTTTTTCTTTATTTCTTGATGATTTTTCTCCATATTGCTTAATTTGTTGAAATAATGTGACCATTTGAGATTTTATTCATGGGACTTAAAAGGCTTGAGGAGACTTAAAATAACAAAGAAGGTAACAATTACTGTATGTTAAAAATTTAAAGGCTCAACTTGATCTCCTCCCTCTTTTGCTGTCTATTGAATTAAATAATTGTTCACAAAATGTCATAATAAAAATAAACCTTTCAAAAATTGATCTAGTGCTTGTTGTATACTGTGTGGTCAAAGGAGTATGGAGTCAATGGTTCAACTAATTTGCCATAGACATCTATGGGAACTTTTAAAGACCCCAACGTTCAAAGCATGAAGTCTTTAAGAGTGGATTTAAGTGTTATTTGTAAGAGACATGCATTGTACACACCAGTGTATCCACTCTTAGATCATGTCAACATGCAAACTTTAGACATATAGATTTATTTGTGATAAACTTCTGGATAAAGTTGCAGAAAAGTTATAAAAAGTGAATAAAAAGGTTGCAGAAAGTTCTTAAAAAGTACTGGGTTGATGTCAAGGGTTTTATTAATGCATCACTCGCATGATTGATATCAAATAAAACACACATGTTTTAAATGGACAAGGAAAAGAAAAGTGAACTAAGTAAAGGAGATTGCCAACAACTTAGATGTGAATTTGTTAACAGTTAGGTTTTAAAATGGAAAAGGAATGACATGAGAAATGGATGGAATGACAAAAGAATGTAACAGAAAAATGGAATGGAAAAACTAATTTGTTAACAGGTAATGAGACACTGGATGTGAAAATTGAAGAAATATGTTTATTTATTGGTATGTTGACACAGTGTTACCAACTTCATCCTTCACATCATTTTACATGTACAGCAATTTTGATAATAATTAATAACTGTTTTTGAGAGTTTGAATCTGTATTTTATTGAATCTGTATGTCCCTGTTACAAACCTTAAAATATATGGTTCAAAGATGTTGTTACATTTATTGTTTAGATCATTGTTTTAAACTGTTTATCATGTCACCACCAGTTATAGTCTCCAAATTTTTTGTGGCTGGTGCTTTGTGGTTGGTGTTCTGTGGTTGGTATTTGGTGTTCTGTGGTTGGTGTTTGGTGTTCTGTTGTTGGTGTTTGGTGTAAGATGGTTGGTATCCAGCATCTGTAACAAATGGTGGGTGGTGACATTCTACATGTTAATGCCTTGTATGATTATTGCTTTGTAGAGTTTGTAATGAATGGATATATGAATGAAATGAGTATGGATGAATCAAGTACATGTCACTATCTATACCTCCAAGGGGGAGTGTATTAGTGTTTTGATTGGTTAACTAAATAGAGGATTTTATCAGAACATTGAATTTTCACAATTTGATTTAAAATCTTAAAAAACACTCAAGAAGGATAGTGAAAGTATCTGATAGATATATGCCAGCATTTAGATATTGTAATGACAACTGGTAAGCTTCTAAGCAATGAATGGTTTAATTTATGACTTTTAACAATGATAAGCAATCATGAATCTCTAATTGTTTGCTCACATTTTTACTTCAAGAAAGTACGATTCTCGGTTTGGAGAACAGTCTCCTGGGCTAATAATTTTTTCATGAAAAATATAGAAATATTACCCAAATTAAACTATGAATATTCAAAAGAGGGCATTTAAATCTACAAGATGTAAAAATGACAAATTGGTCTGAAGCAGGGGTAACGCTCAATTAGACCGATTCAATAAAATACAAGTCTCGATTTGGGGAAAGAAGTTCATCAGTGTACTGCACTTATAATTTTTTGCAAAAAATCTAGAAATATTACCCAAATTAAATTATGACTATTTAAAAGAAGACATTCAAATCTATATTATGTAAAAAATCAAATCTGTCCGAAGCAGGGATAATGCTCATTTAGATTGATGAACTTCGTTCTCCAAACCGAGAATCGTCCTTTGCTCATAAAATTTTCAAGTTCATGTCTTATTGTGTTTATGTCTAAAAAGTCAGTTAGAAATCTCATTTGGAACTCTTTAGATTGTAGGGAGGGGTGTGGGTGCACTATCAAAATCTGTTTCTTTAATTTTATCCACGTTCACTCATATATGTATATTGTATATACAGTAATTAACTGGACTGTTCTTTTGTATATTAAAACATGCAGTACTTTAAAGTGTTCATTTCATGTGTGAGTCTATTCGTTCCTCTCTTGTTTTCATTCAACTTTTTTCAATTTGTTTCTATTTTCATTTGATTTTAAAACATGGGATTTGTGCAAAATGACTCTAGGCATGATCAAGTCAGTCATAGTCAAGTCTATGTTTAATATTGTTTTTTATTTAAATCACGTACATCTTTGTATTTTGGAAGTCCTCCAAAAGAAACATTAATTCTTATCCGAGTACATCATTTTTTATCAAGATACGATTGTTTTTTTGCAAATTCGATTGCTATAGCTGTTGCTTGATTGACGAGCTGTCCAAATGATTCTCGAACTTGGTAAAAATGGATTTTCGCTCAGTTGGTTCAGTGAAGTAATCAACAATTCAGTGTGAGGCTGAATCTTTATTTCCGATGTGTAGATTATTATCGAGAGTGCTGATTGGTCAAATCTGTGGTTTTCAAGAGAGGATCCTATTGGAGTGATGCATTCTGGGGATATAGAACATTTTACCAGAGGGTGTAGTATGTGTTTTTCAGCAAGGCCGCCACGTACGTATCCTTGGACGCCTCCTGCAAAGTTAGGTTTTCCTTTCAATTGTGTTTCATTTACTTTGAAATATGCATACATTCCTTTGTGCAAAAATGTTGTCATGTCCACACCCTGGCCCTGAACGAAAAAATGACCATCAGCAATAATCAGTTTCTTTATCGGATCCAAGGGGGCTCGTATTACAGATCCAGCGTCACTATAAAATATGGCACCATATTTCGTGACAGCATCTTGTAGTACCAGCGCTTTCCATGAATATCGTTTTCTACTTTCCTTCCTTATATGGTCAGGTGTGTTAAGAGGCAAGTCATTAATCTGAACATTACACCAACCTTCAGCTTCTTTCTTTTGTTCTGGTTGTAATCCAAGATCGTAGACTATAACAGTCATGTTTGGTTCCCAATAATGAATAGAAGCAACAAATTCAATGAGTCCAGAAAAATATAGACTATTTGCAGCCGTTACAATTTTGACATCTGATATCATGAATTTTGTTTTTAAAGTCGATATCTTATCCACTGGAAAATCATCTGTTCTTGCACCATTGTAGCATGTCAAAACAAGAACAACTGTTACAATTATGATCGCAAACATTATTATTTTCTTATAGCTCTCAAGACATTTTATGAATATTGTGATCATTTTTGGATTTGCTCATGGTTCTGTAAGCTATCTCTTTAAAAAAAAAAAAATCCAATGACGAACTATATTGTATTATACAGGGTAGTAAAAAAAATGGAAACCCTTATGCTGTTTTCCTCATATCATTTTGAGTTTTTATTTTATTCAGCTTGATTTTTTTCTTTAGTATCCCATTGAACGAAGTTCGGAGGGATATAGGGAACGCCTCCGTCAGTACATCCGTACATTCGTCCGTCTGTCTGTCCGGGCAATAACACAAATACCGTTGGCACGATTTTGTTCATATTTTGTACACATATACCCAAGGGCGGTAGAAGTTCTCATCGAAAGCCGATTAACCAAAATGGCTGCTCATTTAAAAATGGCGGCCATTTTAGTGCAGATTTTACAGTTATTTAGGTACTGCATGTAAAACTGTAATAGCGATATGTTTTAAATGTAAAAAGGTTATATAGGACATTGATTAAGCTAGAAATGTAAATATAGCAGAAATCAAGGCAGCCATCTCGAAAAATGGCTGCCTTTGCAGGCCATTTAACGATTTTTGCTGTAAATTGAAAAATAGTGGAGTGATGATGTTCATATTTGGTATGTGAATATTTTAAGCATGGCACAATGTCTAATGACATTTTGGGTAGTAGATGGCTATTTTGAAAAATGGCCGCCATTTTTACATGTACATGTGTTATTTAAAATTTTTTACTGTAACTCAAAAAGTAGTGAAGTGATTTTGTAAATATTTGGTATTTGAATACTTTAAGCATGGCACAATGTCTAATGACTTTTGGGTCATAGAAAGGGCATTTAGAAAAATGTCCGCTATTTTTACGTGTGTTATTTTACATATTTTACTATAACTCAAAAGTAGTTGGGCGATTTTGTTCATATTTTATATAATATAAGCATGGCACACTGTCTAATGACACTTTGGGTAGTTGGCGGCCATTTTGAAAAATGGCCACCTTTTTACGTTTTTTACTATAATTTGAAAAGTAATGAAGTGATTTTGTTCATATTTGATATGTGAATACTCATTAGCTTGCGCGCTGTCTCATGACACTTCGGATAGTAGGCAGCCATTTTAAAAAATGACTCATTTTTACATTTTTAACTATAACTCGAAAAGTAGTATAGCGATTTTGTTCATATTTGATATGTGAATACTTTAAGCATGGTACATTGTCTAATAAAACTTTGGTGAGTAGTGGACCATTTTGAAAAATGGCCACCATTTTTATGTGTGTTATTTTACATTTTTTATTATAACTCAAAAAGTAACAGAGCGATTTTGTTCATATTTGATATACGCTACGCTTTGGCGCTGCTGTTGTTCTGGTTTATAAGTGCGTTGTGTTACCAATTTCATCCTTTACATTTTGATAATTAACATGTTATCAGTAGTAGAATCTCAGAATCTGTATTTTGACATCTACATATGTCATTGGTTTAAATATTAAAATATATGGTTCAAAGATGTTGTTACATTTATTGTTAAGATCATTGTTTCAAACTGTTTATCATGTCACCACCAGTTATAGTCTCCAAATTTTTTGTGGCTGGTGTTCTGTGGTTGGTGTTTGGTGTTCTCTGGTTGATGTTTGGTGTAAGGTGGTTGGTGTCCAGCATCAGTAACAAATGACAGGTGGTGACATTTTACATGTTAATGCCTTGTATTATCATTGCTTTGTTCGTATAGTATATAATGGATGGATATATGATTGAAATGAGTATGGATGAATCAAGTAACTATCTATACCTCCAAGGGGGAGTGTATAAGTGTTTTGATTGGTTAACTAAATGGAGCATTTTATCAGAACCTTGAATTTTCACAATTTAATTTAAAATCTTAAAAACACTCAAGAAGGATAGTGAAAGTATCTGATATATATATGCCAGCATTTAGTTATTGTAAATGACAACCGTTAGCAAGGCCTCAATGAATGGTTTAATTTATGACTTTTAACAATGATAAGCAATCCTGAATCTCTAATTGTTTGCTCACACTTTTACTTCTAGAATTTGCTCATAAATATTTCAAGTTCATGTCTTATTGTGTTTATGTCTAAAAAGTCAGTAAGAAGTCTCATTTGGAACTCCTTGGATTGTGGGGAGGGGTGTGGGTGGGTTATCAAAATGAGTTTCTTTAATTCTAACCACTTTCACGTATATTGTATATAATTAACTGGACTGTTTTTTGTGTATTAAAACATGTAGAACTCATGTGTGAGTCTATTTGTTCCTCTCTTGTTTTCATTCAACTATTTCCAATTTTTTTATTATTCTCATTTGAGTTTAAAGCATGGCATTTGTGCAAAATGACTCTACTCATGTGTGAAAATTATTGATACAAGATGGCCAAAGGGGTTTATTAAGTTTTTATTTAGGCCCTTCATTTCTATTTGTATGTTGAGTATCCTCCAGAGAGGCTTAATATGTTCAGTGTTTTTTTTTACTTTGATCATCTTTGTCTTGTAATATGCCCGAGGTCTCAGTGATATATGGCCCGACCTTGGGAGGGACATTGATCTCTGAGAACCGAGGGTATATGTGCCACGATAGTGACATAAACGATTTATAACATACCTATGATGATGTAGACTGGTCAGAGAGTACCATTTTCTTATAGAATTGACAAACAAATGGTTTGAAAATGATTGAAATGAGTTTAGAAAAACGGCTTGCTCAGTTTTATCTTCAATTGATTGGTTATGACGTCAGCGCCTTGACCATTCAGAAAGTTAGCGGACGCGGGCTTTTCAAAACTTATATTGGCCCGCTGTCTTGTGTACACTTTGCACTATACATCATCATAGGTATGTTTTAATGTTTTTTAATTATTTAAGTCACGCACAGGCCTGTAGCCAGAATTTGCCAAGGGGGTTCACATTTTGAAAAATTCCAAGGGGGGTTCACTTGTGACAATTTTGGTCCAAAAATGGCCAAAATCACTTAAAAAGTGCTCAGAATAGTGAAAAATTGCATGATTTTGAAAGATTTTTTGGCCAGGGAGGGGGGTCCACTCGAACCCCCCCCTGGCTATGGGCCTAATGTACATCTTGGTATTTAGTTAGTCCTTCAAAAGAAACATTAATTCTTATCTGAGTACATTATTTTTTATCCAAATATGTTTGTTTTTTGCAAATTAGATTGCTATAACTGTTGCTCGATTGACGAGCTGTCCAAATGATTCTGGAACTCGGTAAAAATGGATTTCGGCTCAGTTGGTTCAGTGAAGTAATCATTAATTCAGTGTGAGGTTGAATCTTTATTCCTGATGTGTAGATTATTATCGAGAGTGCTGATTGGTCAAATCTATGGTTCTGAAGAGAGGATCCTATTGGAGTGATGCATTCTGGGGAAATAGAACATTTCACCAGAGGGCGTAGTATGTGTTTTTCAGCAAGGCCGCCACGTATGTATCCTTGGGTCCCTCCTGCAAAGTTACGTTTTCCTTTCAATTGTGTTTCATTTACTTTGAAGTATGCATACATTCCTTTGTGCAATAGTGTTGTCATGTCCTCATCCTGGCCCTGAACGAAAAAATGACCATCAGCAATAATCAGTTTCTTTATCGGATCCAAGGGGGCTCGTATTACAGATCCAGCGTCACTATAAAATATGGCACCATATTTTGTGACAGCGTCTTGTAGTACCAGTGCTTTCCATGAATATCGTTTCCTACTTTCCTTCCTTATATGGTCAGGTGTGTTAAGAGGCAAGTCATTAATCTGAACGTTACACCAACCTTCAGCTTCTTTCTTTTGTTCTGGTTGTAATCCAAGATCGTAGACTATAACAGTCATGTTTGGTTCCCAGTAATGGATTGAAGCAACAAATTCAATGAGTCCAGAAAAATATACACTATTTGCAGCCGTTACAATTTTGACATCTGATATCATGAATTTTGTTTTTAAAGTCAATATCTTATCTATTGGAAAATCATCTGTTCTAGCACCATTGTAGCTTGTCAAAACAAGAACAACTGTTATAATTATGATCGCAAACATTATTATTTTCTTATAGCTCTTAAGACATTTTATGAATATTGTGATCATTTTTTCGATTTTCTTGTGGTTCTGTAAGCTATCTCTTTTTAAAAAAATAAATCAGATTCCGAACTGTATTATATTGTACAGGGTAGTAAAAAAATGGAAACCCTTTTGCTGTTTTCCTCGTATCTTTTTGAGTTTTTGTTTTATTCAGCTTGATTTTTTCTTTATTTCTCGATGAGTTTTCTCCATATTGCTTAATTTGTTGAAATAATGTGACCATTTGAGATTTTATTCCAGTGATTTGAAGGGCTTGAGGGGACTTAAAATAACAAAGAAGGTAACAGTTACTGTATGTTTAAAATTTAAAGGCTCGACTTGATCTCCTCCCTCTTTTGCTGTCTATTGAATTAAATAATTGTTCACAAAATGTCTAAACAAAAATAAACCTTTAAAAAATGGGATGTAGTGCTTGTTGTATGCTGTGTGGTCAAAGGAGTATGGAGTCAATGGTTCAACTAAGTTGCCATAGACATCTACCGGAACTTTTAAAGACCCTAACGTTCACAGCGTGAAGTCTTTAAGAGTGGATTTAAGTGTTATTTGTAAGAGACATGCAATGTACACGCAAGTGTATCCACTCTTAGATCATGTCAACATGCAAACTTTAGACATATAGATTTATTTGTGATAAACTTCTGGATAAAGTTGCAGAAGAGTGAATAAAAAGTTTAACAGTTTATCATGTCACCACCAGTTATACCAGTAATCCCAACTTTTTTGTGGCCACTGTTCTGTGTTTGGTGTTCTGTGGTTGGTGTTTGGGTTAAGGTAGTTGGTGTCAGGTGTCTGTAACAAATGGTGGGTGGTGACATTTTACATGTTAATGCCTTGTATGATTTTTGCTATGTTTGTAAAGTATGTGATGGATGGATATATGAAAGAAATGAGTATGGATGAATCAAGTAACTATCTATACCTCCATGGGGGAGTGTATTAGTGTTTTGATTGGTTAACTAAATGGAGCATTTTATCAGAACATTGAATTTTCACAATTTGATTTAAAATCTTAAAAACAATTAAGGATAGTGAAAGATATATGCCAGCATTTATTTATTGTAAAGATAACTGTAGGCTTCTAAGCAATGAATATTTTGTGACAGCGTCTTGTAGTACCAGCGCTTTCCATGAATATCGTTTTCTACTTTCCTACCTTATATGATCAGGTGTGTTAACAGGCAGGGCATTAATCTGAACGTTACACCAACCTTCAGCTTCTTTCTTTTGTTCTGGTTGTAATCCAAGATCTCAGACTATAACAGTCATGTTTGGTTCCCAGTAATGAATAGAAGCAACAAATTCAATGAGTCCGGAAAAATATACACTATTTGCAGCCGTTACAATTTTGACATCTGATACCATGAATTTTGTTTTTAAAGTCGATATCTTATCTATTGGAATATCATCTGTTCTAGCACCATTGTAGCATGTCAAAACAAGAACAACTGTTATAATTATGATCGCAAACATTATTATTTTCTTTTTTATTGTGATCATTATTTGGATATTCTCGTGGTTATGTAAGCTATCTCTTTAATCAGATGCCGAACAATATTGTATTGTACAGGGTAGTAAAAAATGGAAACCCTTATGCTGTTTTCCTCTCATTGTTATCATTTTAGCAAATAACTCCCTGATATTTTACACATTTGCACATCATTCAATTTCGTACCAACCTACTATATTTTATGACCATCAAGCTGATAGTCACAATGTTACAGCACTTTAAATACTCCAGTGGCCACTATTGTGGTTGTAAGCAAACCTCATCATCCAAAATGTCCCTACACGACATCTGCCTGTGAGGATACAGCAAAGATTTAAAGTGTATGAGAATGACCTCAGGACAATTGCAGACCTCAAAAGTGAGATCATCCGTGCCATTCAGGCCATACCTGTTGAGAAATCCATTTGGGTCATTGACATCTGTGCAGGTTTCCCTACAACAAGATGATGGCCAAACCTGAAGCATGTTGGTCAAAGTGTGGTAACATTGCAACTATCAGTCTGATGGTCATGAAATATGATGGGGTGGAAGGAAATTGAATAATGTACAAATGTGTCAAATTTCAGGGAATAATTTCAAAAATGACAAAGATATGAGGAAAATGGAGGGTTTCCATTTTTTAACCACCCTGTATTACAAAACTAGCATTTGTATTTGTATGGGAGTCAATGGAGCTCATACATTTAATTCTAACTGTATTAGAAATCACCCTCATAATGACATTATTGCAAGAAGTTCCATACGTATCCCATATCGCACATTCTGAATTCTCAATAAAAGCATATTTATTTGCATTGGAGAGTAACATATTGTCTTAAAACGTCCTTGATATAGGGGTATGGAACGTAACGTAAAAAATCCAGTAGGCGATAATAAAGAACTTGCTGGTTTAGTTACTTTTTGCAGTTTTTCCATTTAAAGTATGTAATGGATGGATATGTGAATGAAATGAGTATGGATGAATCAAGTACCTACAAGGGGGGGTGTATTATTGCTTTGATCTGTTAGGTAAAAATAGATAATTTTATCAGAACTTCTATATTTTCACAATTTGATTTAAAATCTTAAAAAAACAGTCACTAAGGATAGTTGAAGTATCTGATAGATATCCCAGCATTTAAGTTATTGCAAAAACAATTGTTAGGCTTCTTAGCAATGAATGGTTTAATTTATGACTTTTAGCAATGATAAGCAATCCTGAATCTCTAATTGTTTGCTCACATTTTTACTTCTAGAATTTGGTCATAAATATTTCAAGTTCATGCCTTATTGTGTTCATGTCTAAAAAGTCAGTTAGAAATCTCATTCGGAACTCCTTGGATTGTGGGGAGGGGTGTGGGTACGTTATCAAAACTGTTTCTTTAATTTTATCCACGTTCACATTACCCTTTGCATTCGTTCAACTTCACTTCTTAAAAATTCTTAAAAAAGTGCTTCGTCTTCACTCTTTCAATTTACAATAAATCTCTAATCTCACCGAGCCAATCAGAGTTCGTCGTCAAAATACAGACGGCTATATATATGGTCATTTCCTATGACATCACCGCATAGTTAATGAGCACGTATTTAGCAAGCATTCCTTCCACTTTGCTGATTGGTTGAGAAAGGGTCAGCATGATAGAATTGAAATGATTAATTACACGAGCTGTCACAGGCTCCAAACTTTGGGATGGGGCTGCTAAACTGTAATATACATATATGTAGTATATACTAGGCAGAGGGTAGTTTTAAATGTACATGTATATTGTATATAATTAACTGGACTGTTTTTTGTATATTAAAACAGGCAGAGCTGTGTTCATTTCATGTTGAATCTGTTTGTTTCTCTTTTGTTTTCATACAATTGTTTTAAATTTTTTTCTTATTTTCATTTGAGTTTAAAACATGACATTTGTGCAAAATAACTCTTTGCATGTGTGAAAATATGGCCAAAGGGGTTTATTAAGTTTTTATTTAGGCCCTTCATTTATATTTGTATGCAGTATCCTCCAGAGAAGCTTAATATGTTCAGTATTTTTTAACTTTAATCATATTTGTCTTGTTATATGCCAGAATAGTCAAGTCTATGTTTAATATTGTTTTTATTATTTAAATCACTTACATCTTGGTATTTTGTTAGTCCTCCAAAAGAAACATTAATTCTTATCTGAGTATATTATTTTTTATCCAAATATGTTTTTTTGGTGCAAATTTGATTGCTATAACTGTAGCTCGCTTGACGAGATGTCCAAATGATTCTGGAACTCGGTAAAAATGGATTTTCGCTCAGTTGGTTCAGTGAAGTAATCAACAATTCAGTGTGAGGCTGAATCTTTATTCCCGATGTGTAGATTATTATCGAGAGTGCTGATTGGTCAAATCTATGGTTCCTAAGAGAGGATCCTATTGGAGTGATGCATTCTGGGGAAATAGAACATTTCACCAGAGGGCGTAGTATGTGTTTTTCAGCAAGGCCGCCACGTACGTATCCATGGACGCTCCCTGCAAAGCTAGGTTTTCCTTTCAGTTGTGTCACATTTACTCCAAAATATGCATACATTCCTTTGTGCAATAGTGTTGTTGTGTCCTCATCCTGACCCTGAACGAAAAAATGACCATCAGCAATAATCAGTTTCTTTATCGGTTCCAAGGGGGCACGTATTACAGATCCAGCGTCACTATAAAATATAGCACCATATTTCATGACAGCGTCTTGAAGAACTAGCGCTTTCCATGAAAATCGTTTCCTACTTTCCTTTTTTATATGGTCAGGTGTGTTAACAGGCAAGGCATTAATCTGAACGTTGCACCAACTTTCAGCTTCTTTCTTTTGTTCTGGTTGTAATCCAAGATCGTAGACTATAACAGTCATGTTTGGTTCCCAGTAATGGATAGAAGCAACAAATTCAATCAGTCCGGAAAAATATCGACAATCTGCAGCCGTTACAATTTTGACATCTGAAATCATGAATTTTGTTTTTAAAGTTGATATCTCATCAACTGGAAAATCATCTATCGGAGAACCATTGTAGCGTGTCAAAACCAGAACAAATAATATAATTATGATTGAATACATTATTATTTTCTTATAGCTCTTTAGACATTTTATGAATTGCATGATCATTTTTTGTATTTACTTGTGGTTCTGTAAGCTATCTCCTTTAAATACATAAATCAGATGCTGAACTATATGTTGTATTGTACAGGGTGGTATAAAAACTGGAAACCCTTACACTATTTTCCTCATACCTCTGTCATTTTAGGAAATAACTCCCTAATATTTTACACATGTGTACATCATTCAATTTCTTACCAGCCTACTATAATTTATGACCACCAATTTGATAGTCACATTGTTGCAGCAGACTTCTACCTTTGTGGATGCAGGAAAGATTAAGAGTGTATGAGAATGACCTCAGGACAATTGCAGACCTTAAAAGTGAGATAATTCGTGTCATACAGGCTACACCTGCCGAGGAATGCATTAGGTTTTATTGTGCCAGCTCGGACAACTGTGCAGGTTCGCTACAACCTGATGATGGCCAAACCTGAAGCATGTTGTTCAAAGTGTTGTAACATTGTAAATATCAGTGTGATGGTCATGAAATATGATAGGGTGGAAGGAAATTAAATGATGTATCGTGTATTTCAATAGCATTGGCATGTTATAGAGATAATTTTTGATTAATTTAGGCAAACCACAACTGTCAGTCAACTCATATTTCTTGCTGTTTAGTGTAAAGTTAAAAAGTTTAGGGAGAATTTTATTCAAAATGTCGACATTTCATCAGAAATGTATATAATAATTCTGCAATAATATTAAGGTGGAGAAAATATTTAAGTAAAGATTTGACAAAATGCTCTAATCCAAAGTTTATACAATTTGTCACGAATTTTCACTCTCCAGTTGAAAATTGAAATTTTCAATGAAAATCATTGCGAGAGGCCACAGTTCCTATGCACCATGTTGATACAGAAAGATGTGTTGAGTATGAGAATGAAAATAGTAATATATCTCAAATGACAGGATATTAGTGGTCACAGCTTTCTATCAGTTCCTTTCTAGTTTATTGATAGTTTGTAAACAGAAATATGTGGTGAGTGCCCGAATGAAATCAGTGATACATCTAAATAGACAGGATATTAAAATACACGTGTATGTACCTCTATCAAAATTAGGTTGACAAATTAACAATAAAAGGACCTGTTCAATTAAAACTTGTTAATTTTGATAATTGAACTATTGAATGGTATAGGGGATTATGTGAAGCAGAATTGGTGCATGACCATTCTGATGCTAATAGCATCCCCCAGGAAGAGCATGGATGGAGAAGGTGTAGTTAACCACAATGGGGCTGAAATCTTATGAATACAGATCCATTATGACAACTTTATTGAGCTCATGAGTTTTATCTAATGGAAATACGATCTAGCTGTAAGTATCCTTGCAAAGACCAGAAGTCTCAAGTTTGGTAGCTCAATTCCTGGATGGGGGGAGGGGGTATCCCTCTGCTTTCTGACTCCTTATCACCCCCACCCCTCCTTATCATCCCCACCCCTCCTTATCAGAACTTCTAAATTTTCACAATTTGATTTAAAATCTTAAAAAACAGTCACTAAGGATAGTTGAAGTATCTGATAGATATCCCAGCATTTAAGTTATTGCAAAAACAATTGTTAGGATACTAAGCAATGAATGGTTTAATTTATGACTTTTAAAAATGATAAGCAATTCTGAATCTCTAATTGTTTGATCACATTTTTACTTCTAGAATTTGGACATAAATATTTCAAAAGTTCATGTCTTATTGTGTTTATGTCTAAAAAGTCAGTTAGAAATATCATTCGGAACTCCTCCTTCTCTTCTTAAAAAAGAGCTTCGTCTTCACTCTTTCAATTTACAATAAATCTCTAATCTCACCGAGCCAATCAGAGTTCTTCGTCGAAATACAGACGACTATCTATATGGTAATTTCCTATGACATCACAGCATAGTTAATGAGCACATATTTAGCAAGCATTCCTTCCACTTTGCTGATTGGTTGAGAAAGGTTCAGCATAATAGAATTGAAATGATTAATTACACGAGCTGTCACAGGCACCAATCTTTGGGGTGGGGCTGCTAAACTGTAATATACATATATGTGGTATATACTAGGCAGAGGGTAGTTTATAACTAGACTCTGCACGCAGGGTACGTTCACGTATATTGTATATAATTAACTGGACTGTTTTTTATCACACCATCGGTGGGATATAGTTGTCATACTAGTCGTGGTCGTGGTCGTGATCGTGGTCGTGATCGTGGTCGTGATCGTCCCGCTTTTTGTCATCGCCGTTTAAGGAAAACTGCTCATCAGATTTTCTCCAAATTCGCAGAGATGATAGAGCATATGAAGTACTAGAGTTGATTAACTTTTGGGTGGCCATCTTGTTTTCTGGCGGCCATTTTGAAGGTTTTTCGAAAAATCTTGTCATCGCCATTTCAGGAAAACCGCTCATTGGATTTTCTTCAAATTTACACAAATGACAGAGGATATCAAGTACTAGAGCTGATTAACTTTTGGGCGGCCATCTTGTTTTCTGGTGGCCATTTTGAAGATTTTTCGAAAAATCTTGTCATCGCCATTTCAGAAAAACCACTCATTGGATTTTCTTCAAATTTACACAAATGATAGAGGATAGCAAGTACTAGAGCTGATTAACTTTTAAGTGGCCATCTTGTTTTCTGGTGGCCATTTTGAAGGTTTATCGAAAAATCTTGTCATCGCCATTTCAAGAAAACCGCTCATTGGATTTCCTTCAAATTTACACAAATGATAGAGGATATCAAGTACTAGAGCTGATTAACTTTTGGGCAGCCATCTTGTTTTCTGGCAGCCATTTTGAAGATTTTTCGAAAAATCTTGTCATCGCCATTTCAGAAAATCCGCTCATCGGATTTCCTTCAAATTTACACAAATGATAGAGGATATCAAGTACTAGAGCTGATTAACTTTGTGGTGGCCATCTTGTTTTCTTGTTCTTGAAATTTGTAAACATAATAGGAGAACAGTTTTCCTGGTTCATAGTGTCTGCCTATTTGATAGTGTGATCTCGTTCACGTCCTGTGCCTTGTTTGTATATTAAAACATGCAGAACTGTGTTCATTCCATGTGTGAGTCTGTTTGTTCCTCTTTTGTTTTCATACAACTGTTTTAATTTTTTTTCCTTATTTTTCTTATTTTCATTTGAGTTTAAAACATGACATTTGTGCAAAATGACTCTTCGCATGTGTGAAAATTATCGAAACAAGCGGTATGGCCAAAGGGGTTTATTTAGTTTTTATTTAGGCCTTTCATTTCTATTTGTATGTTGAATATCCTCCAGAGAAGCTTAATATGCTCAGTGTTTTTTTTTATTTTGATCATCTTTGTCTTGTTCAGTCTGGCAAATAAGGATTTTTTCCCTGTAGCCAAATTTGTCCAGAGACATTAAAGACACTCTGGCCAAAAAAATTTCTGTCCCGCCATTATTTTGTCGAGTTAATTTTGTGTTCACCTAATTTTGACTGTTAAAATAAAGGAAGGAATATTCATTATTCTCAAAGCACTGCTATTAATTCTGAATTTTATCTAAATAACCACTATAAATCTTATTTTCAATCGTCCTGAGATTTCAATGTACACAAGTACATGCAGTTACGAAGGTGGTGTTATTTGATTAACCTAACATTTGATGGGGTATGGAAAGTCGAAACAGGAAGACGTTGAATTTCAAAATAAGACTGACAACGATACGGCATTACTGGGCGCTATTGAAAGTGAATATGGTAATCTATCGATCAGATTAAACTGAAAGTGAAAGTGGATTTGTTTCCATATCCAGTTTATCATTGTAACCACCTTTAAATATGCGATGGACTGGTTCTTAATGTGCCCGGTATCTATCCTCATAGGATCAACTTCAAATCTAGTGTATTTAATCTCCCTACTAGAGCTGATTAACTTTTGGGCGGCCATCTTGTTTTCTGGTGGCCATTTTGAAGATTTTTCGAAAAATCTTGTCATCGCCATTTCAGAAAAACCACTCATTGGATTTTCTTCAAATTTACACAAATGATAGAGGATATCAAGTACTAGAGCTGATTAACTTTTAAGCGGCCATCTTGTTTTCTGGTGGCCATTTTGAAGGTTTATCGAAAAATCTTGTCATCGCCATTTCAACAAAACCGCTCATTGGATTTCCTTCAAATTTACACAAATGATAGAGGATATCAAGTACTAGAGCTGATTAACTTTTGGGCAGCCATCTTGTTTTCTGGCAGCCATTTTGAAGATTTTTCGAAAAATCTTGTCATCGCCATTTCAGAAAATCCGCTCATCGGATTTCCTTCAAATTTACACAAATGATAGAGGATATCAAGTACTAGAGCTGATTAACTTTGTGGTGGCCATCTTGTTTTCTTGTTCTTGAAATTTGTAAACATAATAGGAGAACAGTTTTCCTGGTTCATAGTGTCTGCCTATTTGATGGTGTGATCTCGTTCACGTCCTGTGCCTTGTTTGTATATTAAAACATGCAGAACTGTGTTCATTCCATGTGTGAGTCTGTTTGTTCCTCTTTTGTTTTCATACAACTGTTTTAATTTTTTTTCCTTATTTTTCTTATTTTCATTTGAGTTTAAAACATGACATTTGTGCAAAATGACTCTTCGCATGTGTGAAAATTATCGAAACAAGCGGTATGGCCAAAGGGGTTTATTTAGTTTTTATTTAGGCCTTTCATTTCTATTTGTATGTTGAATATCCTCCAGAGAAGCTTAATATGTTCAGTGTTTTTTTTTATTTTGATCATCTTTGTCTTGTTCAGTCTGGCAAATAAGGATTTTTTCGCTGTAGCCAAATTTGTCCAGAGACATTAAAGACACTCTGGCCAAAAAAATTTCTGTCCCGCCATTATTTTGTCGAGTTAATTTTGTGTTCACCTAATTTTGACTGTTAAAATAAAGGAAGGAATATTCATTATTCTCAAAGCACTGCTATTAATTCTGAATTTTATCTAAATAACCACTATAAATCTTATTTTCAATCGTCCTGAGATTTCAATGTACACAAGTACATGCAGTTACGAAGGTGGTGTGATTTGATTAACCTAACATTTGA